AATGGGTCCATTTAGAGTGAACAAATATGGAACATTCCCCTCCCCCGAACTGAACATCTTTGTGCATCATGTGTATCGATGTGGTCACTTCACATTTTAAAAAGAGCAGTCCTGTGTCTGTCTGTGTCAGCTGACCTGGATCTAATTATAACCTCTACTCACAGAAAGATATCTACCAATGAAACAAGGAGTCTGACTTCAGAGACATGATAATTCTAATGGGCCTGGGCATTAATTATAATAATGAGATTGACTTACAGCTAGCTATTTTTAAGGGCTAAACATATCTCTCACTCATGGACCATGACTCCTTTTTGTATGATAGCAGGTCTTTCTTTGACCAGACAATGAGATAAAGGAAAGTTTAAAGGGACTGTCATTTACCATTCCCGCTGCGATCAAGTCGCCTGGGGGTTCGCCGACCACTTAAAGCCAATCCACGAGTCTCCTGGTTCGTGCATGACCTTTCCTTGTGTTTTTTTTTTTTTAACTTTAATTCACAATGTCACAACCCAACCTGAAAAGCAGGAAGAGGATGTTTTCACACCATGTGCACAAAGTCAATGGGTCAGAGGGGCTTCTTCAAAAATGTAAAGGACAATAAGGGGCACCTTCTTGCTGAAGTAGCATCAGTGGTGAAGTGGTAATGAACTTCTGGTCTAGACCTTACATGAAACAACTTCATTGATTCTGACAAATGTCCAATAGGAGACATTTGACCTTAGAAAGACAACATTAAAACCCATGGTGCAGGTCCGTGTGTCTGAAACAACCATGCAAAAAAATTAAGTTGAGTGTCATATATTTATCTTTTTTGTCAACATTTTATTGTTTTTTGTACAAAAAACTGTATTTGAAGTTTTTGAAGCCAGGTGATGCCGGTTGCCGTATTGAAAATGCTGTCTTAACCTAACTTACGACTTTCAACTTAGTAACAGGCAAAGAGGTGGAGCTGAGGCTGTCCTGACAAACAGCTACAATGCTCCCACTTGCAGTCACATCAGTCAAACCCCCGAATTATGCATAACCATGATCTTTCAGAATGTCAAGACAGAAGAGTTATAAAGAAAAATCCAACACCCAATCCAGTGTGCTGACAAGACATGAACTATTCAGATCAAAATCGATTTATTGTTTTTATTTTTTTAAAGATTCATTTTTGGTCTTTTTGTGCCTTTAATTGAGAGCTAGGACAGTGGATAGAGTCAGAAATCAGGGAGAGAGAGTGGGGAATGACATGCGGGTAAGGAGCCACAGCTGGATTCAAACCTGGACCGCTCGCTTGGAAGACTATAGCCTCCATACATGGGGCGCACGCACTGACCACTGCGCCAGCAGCACCCTTTGAAATTAATTTTTTCACCATCTGTCAACATGTTTGTTTCTGCTGTCAAAATGGGAATTTGAATGTGCCTTTTTGGGGGGTTTAGGGCCAGCCTCTAGTGGACGCTCAAGGTAAATGCAGTTTTTTTTATACTTTTGCTAATTTCTCAACACCAGAGGTTGCAGTTTGGTTATATATGCCATGGTATAATCACATTAGAGTTAAAAATGTATGTCTCACTGTTTTTCTAGAGTTTCTTCACTGTAAAAACATTCATGACAGTTTCCTCAGATCCTCTTTTTAATTTTGTTTAAATCAAAAGTGATTTATCCTATTATTGCTATGTGTCTGTGGATGTGTGTTTGTGTTCAGGGGCTAAACAGCATATCAATCTGATACATGAATAACTCTTACTCTAAGGTTATACTCTGACCAGTGGGTGGAAATCATAGGAAGGTTTTTTTTAAGTTAATCCTTAAAAACACACGTCATCATTTCTTGTCACAAGACATAACTCACAATAATTGATTCAGGAAATAGCTGAATGATAACAATTATGCAAACAAAGACATCAGGAGAGAGCTAACAAGACTACACAGCTTAATTAGGAGCATCATTAACGAGTAAATGATTTGATAAGGGTTTTGGGGGGTGGGGGTGGGGTGAAGGAGGGGTATTATTCCTCGGAAATACAAGGGAAATCCCCTGAGGATGGGAAGTGACCCACATTCTGGAAGAGGAAAGATGGGGGGGCAACCCCCATTCCACTAACTGGCACCCCCATATCCCCCCTGGGCGGCCCGCTGATTGGTTCATTACCCATAGTAAACACATCAGCTACCCCCAACCCTGGTACGTACACACTCACAAAAACACACATATATACACACCCTGCCCCCATTCCAGTCAGTCTATGATCATCCTGCCCCCTTGAAGACCGATGGCCAGATTCCTTCAGTGCCCTAATGATATTCATGCATAACTCCACACTCGCTCTATCTGCAGGAATTCAGGGAGGAAATATTCTTTTGTTTGACCAGACTTTACCAAAACTGTTCACAGAGAAGGAAATAAAACATTTATTTTGCAATTTCTTAATCTAGAAGTAGTTATAAAATCATGTTTTCTATTGAAGATCTTTTACACGTGCTATATGTTGCCACCTGGCCTGTGATGAAGTAAAGATTATGCTTATTTACTTTATAAATTTCATAGAAAATATTCCTAATACCATCCATATTACACTTCATAACATACACAGTTAACATTATGGAAATTCATGTTTGATATCCACTCATTTGGTTGGTTACTTGGAGTCTCTTTATTACATCCAATAATACAAATTTAGCACCAAATAAAGACGGAGAATTGGATATAGATTTGGATTTATAAGTTATTTTTTTCAGACATGATCATTCTTAATATCAAATATCAAATCTTTTAAATACCCTGTTGAGTTTTATGTTGGTATTTTGCATCTATTTTTACAAATGTATTCTGAAGGCGTATATGTGTTTTTTTTAGATCTATATGACAGTTATGGGCAACATTAGTCATTGTCTATTGTCTTATATTTAAAGTGTAGAAAGTGCTTTGGGCTTATGTGTGAACTGATCTTGGTTGCTTTCGTGCCTCCCATTAACAGACAGGTGAACCTTATACCTGAGGGTGTTTAGACACCTCACACCAAGGTTGTTTACCTTCAGTTTAGATCAACACCAGGTGCTTTATTCATTTGGACACTACTAGAGAGGTGGGGGGTGTACTGTTAAATCTCATGTATTTCAAATTCTCCTTCAGGGTTGCATCCTGCCATCTGTAAAAAGAAATACCCCTCCTGATGTGCTGCACTTTGGTCCAGACCCTCCAGGGATTTGGATTAACGTTGTCTGAAGGTTAAAGTTTTGGCCGTGTTGCATGCAAGATGATTTGACTTCACCATCTGATGTCTGTGCCTCTCTGCCCTCCATTAGCTGTCACTCCTGGTTACTGCTGCTTCGAAGGGTGGCTGGCCATTGTCCTCAGGCGGGGTGCTGCTGGCAGCTGCGCTCAGAAGGAGGAGAGAAGCGACATGCTGCTGTTAGGAGCGACATGATTGGTTCAAATGGAAACAAAAGAAATCTATCACACAAAGCAAAATACAAGAGAAATGTAAATAGTGATTAATGACAGAAATTACACATTTTAAAACAAGAAAACAATAAGGAACGTACAAAAAGAAAACACAAAACTGATTTAAAAATGGTTCTAATGATGCAAGCACTCTTTGATTTAGCTTAATTTTATAGTAAAAACACTTAGACATAATAAACACATTGATACTAAATAGGTTTTCCATGCATGTGTAAATCGACCAAATATCAATACACCATCTCCTGTTATAACTAACCCATAGAGCCAAAGACAAACTGGATATTTCCAACAAGTGGAGATGTTCTGTAGGGTGAATTATGATGCCAAATGAGCATTTTTATTCATTACAGACTGTTTATAATAATATCTATCTAAAAACGGAGTCTAGTTGCACTTTTGAACAGCCTGTGGAGGTATTTTCCACCTGAGCTTTGTGAACCCATCAGCTAACTGAACACCTGTGTGTCAGCCTCTTTGCCTCAGTCTTTGGCGCCACCAGGTGTTCCCAGAGGAGACTGTATCATAAGGTCTCAAGAACATGTTCATCAATACTTTAGTGCAGGGATGGGCAACTTCGTTCACAGCAAGGGCCACATTCATTTAATTCTCACTGCCAGAGGGCCAAATTGTGGGATGCAAAAAACAGTCAATTATGTCTCAAATTTAACTCAACATATACCAGTGATCAAATATTATTATGGATATATTTCTGGTTTTCATGATTTCATGGCAGATTTTGTCACATTTTCTTCATAAGTTTCCAATTAATTGATATCTAAAAATTGACCTGAGGGCCATGTTGAGGGTTGATGGGGGCCGCCAGTTGCCCACCCCTACTTTAGTGTTTATCTAGTCTATGAAACTGAGGTTGAAGCAGAATATTTCTTAGTAAACAAATGACAAGAGGACAATCAAAGTCATAGTGTTAGTTCGCTAGTTTTTTAAAATGTTTTTCCTTCCATGTATTACTGCATTTATTTTACTACATCTTTAGAGTCGATATTAACTAACCACTCACAACCGTTGCGTGGAATATAAAAAGTTTTAATCTTCTGTCTAATGTGATGAATGTTATTATTTATATTGTTTTTTTGTGTATTAGAGAAGCACAGAACATTTTGTGGTGCAGTGTGCATTGACAATAAAGACATTTATTTATTCATTCAAACTGCAGAGGCAATGTGGTTAGAAAAAAAAATAAGAACAGGGTTGTTTTACATATTAATGTAGCCTTTATATATTAACAAATAATGGCTTCGTTTATTGGCTCAAAAAAGTAAGTACTTAGATCTGTTAAACTTAGATTTATTGTTAGAAAAATTGCATTTAAAAAGCCTCAAGACGCAGGGCAAATTTGAATAATAAAAACATGACAATAAGGCAAGACACAACTCATCAGACCAAATATTTTAAAGGCTGAACAGAAAAACAGAAAGCCAGTTATTAATCGAAACATGATTAGATCTTAGATCATCTTTGATTATTCCTCCTGGGCCGTGAATGCATCACGCAAGTTAATCACGTGACAAAGACAACAAACAGACCGACCGAGCGATCCTCTGGTTCTTTGAAACCCGCAAAAAAGTATTTTTCTAAAGACAAAAATAATGGACAGAGGCGACAACCCCAGCGCCGCGATATGTGGGTTATGTGGAGAGGCATACGCTCTGCCTGGTAGGATCTTTACATGTCATATCTAAGAAGTTTAACTTTGATTAAACCGTGTGTGAGCGGAGTCAGGAGCGGACTTGTGCGCTAGGTAGCAAACCAGTGTCAGCAGCTAGCTGTCCGGGTGAATTAACGAATGTATCAGGCAGACCCAGAAATAATGTATTTATATAAAAGATGTTAATTTACAACTCATTACCTTTACAATATTTCCCGGACGTTATGATTTTCTTCTGGGATTGTTACGTAAAGCGAAAGCTGTAAATCAAAACTGTTCATCCGTGACTGTGCGTTCATTGGTGTCCGAACGGGTAGGAAACAGGAGTTTGCGAAGGTGAAAACCATAAAATAAAATAAAATAAAGAATATAAAAACATTGGTGGAGAAAACTTAAGTACATGGCGCACAGTGTCGTCGAGTTGAATGACTTTGACACCATATTGAGCGGAAACAAAGCGGGCTCGACTGAAAAAAAAAAAAAAGGGACGTTCAAGGTCAAAAACTTGTAGTCATTCAAGCGTTGGAGATCGACTTTTGGCTCATTTATATGTTGAACTACAACCTTCAAGTGTTGTCCATATAAACTAACTAAGATAAGTGAATTAAATTGCCAAGTACCTTTCAATCTGTCAGTAGTCAGTACCTACTATCCGTGCTGTATTTTTTAAATTTATTTTGTTTAGCTTTGTTTAAGAAAAGTAATTCATTTATTTTGTTTAGCTTTGTTAAATAAATGTTAAATAAAAATGTTAAATAAATAAAATAAAAATGTTAAATAAAATAAATGTTTTGTTTAGCTTTATTCAAGAAGAGTAATTAATTTATTTTGTTTAGCTTTATTCAAGAAGAGTAATTAATTAATTTTGTTTAGCTTTATTCAAGAAGAGTAATTAATTTATTTTGTTTAGCTTTATTCAAGAAGAGTAATTAATTAATTTTGTTTAGCTTTATTCAAGAAGAGTAATGCGCATATACAGTCAGGTAAACAAAAAAAAAAACAATATCACAATGTAAATCAAGTAAAGGCAATTAAATAACTAAATAACATACAGTAACCTTCATAAAGGAAAGTACAAATGAAAGACAGTAATATACAGAATATAAAGTAAAATAAACCAATAAAGACGCATTTAAATAGTGAAATCATTATTTAAATATAGGGGGAAAGGTTTTATAATAATGCAGACATTTGTTATATTTTCTGTTGTTAATTAAAAGTAGTGATTTCAGTCGGGACTTTAACTCTAGATTAAACAAAAATTCAATTAATCCACTCTCATTTGTTTTGATTTGGAGGCGGACGTGACGATTTACATTTAATTTCTCACAGCATTGTGGGTGGTAAAATACAATTAATTCCCTGAAAGCACGCATCCGATCCTATCTGCATGAAACTGCATGAAACACTGCATGAAACATACTGAATGACCACAAAAGTTCAGTATACTGAAACTCCCTACTGAATATTAAGTACTGCCTACTGAACTGTGACAATTCGGGAAAGGGCCATAGTGTTGGAAATTGGTGGAAGTTACCATATTCTGAATTGAAGCCTGTGAATGCGCCTTAGAACGCACCGAGCACACCCTGAACACATCATTATCTCAGACCAATTCAGTTTTTAAGAAGTGAAGTTTGCTGCCTTGTAGGAAATTGCTACCATATCACGATAGATTGGCAGAGGCTATCTGCGTCCCCTATGAATAACCCCAGGAGAACAAAATGACTTCACTACTCACTGTTGGGAGCAAGTTTTGTACTTTGTTATTATCGAAGATTTTGTTTCTCGATGGACATTTTTATCCCATCAAATTATGCTCCCAGTTCAGAATCTATTTACGACACCACTACTCGCAGAAGGGGACGCATATTTTTAATGCTCTATAATACAACCTTCATTTAAGAATTTAGAGAAAGTATTTCTTGATGGACAAAAAGGCCTTATCAAATATGCTCCAGTCCCTGAACTGGACAGAACGTCATGGTAGTACATCTCGATGGGTTGCACCTTTGTTAAACTATGGAATGCTAAATGCTAGTTTGAAGCTTGACTGTTGCCAAGCAACCCAAACATTCTCCTCAAAGAGACGCTACTCTTGATTGGTTATTTGATTCATGTCTGATGCATTTTTAAAATACTAGATACAAAGAGGGAGCAATAACAGACACTGATCAGACTCACATTTATGAGATGAGATTTAACTTTATTGTCATTACACAGATACAAGTATAGAGTAACGAAATGAGGTTTGGTATCTCACCAGAAGTGCAAATAAGCAGAAAGTGCAAGAGTCTGTGCTATGTACAGTAATTACCAAATTTACAGATGTAGACTAAAAAAAGTGAATTATTGGGTTTTTGGCTGGATTAATGGGATGCTATAAATATAAATAAATGCTATAAATATAAGTATATTCTTCAGATTATAATATACAAATTGAGGTGCAGTGAGCATGCTATACTAGATTACAGATAATATACAGAATATGGACATATTGTACAGGTCGATAACTTATTGAGGTGATACAAACATACTATAATACAATAATTCAGATGGATGAGAGATGTGTGTGTGTGACCAGGAGGAGTGGTGGGAGGATGATGGGTGAGAGGTGATGTGCAGGGTAAGGGGGTCAGCGGGGGGGCGGAGTTCGGGAGGGAGAGAGAGACAGAGTTCAGAGTTCGGGGGGGGGGGATGGGGTAGAGTTCAGTAGAGAGACAGCTCTGGGGAAAAAAGCTGTTCCTCAGTCTGCTGGTTCTGGTCCGGAGGCTTCTGAAGCGCCTACCGGAGGGCAGGAGGTAAACAGTCTGTGGGCAGGGTGGGAGGAGTCTTTAAGGATGCCGTGAGCTCGCCGCAGACAGCGTTTTCTTTGGACGTCCTCAATGGCAGAAGTGGACACCTTGTGATGCGCTGGGCAGTTTTTGCCACCCGCTGTAGCGCCTTACGGTCTGTGACAGAGCAGACCAACAGCATGTTATTTAGGAACATCTGAATATTATATTGTCATTGATCTGCCATGAAATTGCCTTTTCCATGAAGTTCATGCCCCTATTTGAATCAGTCCAAACTGATCAGGCCAACTCAATACATATTGTACATTTTGATTTATTGAAAAATGCATTTCTTAATGTTACAAAACATTTACTCAAATATAAAACAATTGTATTTTTTGTAGCTAGGTAAATTAGCAGATCAACTGAATCATAATGCCTAACGACTAGTTTGAACTGGTTCGTACCAAATTTATGTACCGGTACTTGAATCGATTTTGTGTTTTATTGATTACATTATTTCTTAAAACACATTGAATTGTCACAGGGAAAGTCATACAGCTAGGTTTAGATATACAAATCTTGATAATTATTTTTACAAGAACATTTTCAAATAAATCCCAAACATCTTCGTACAAAATCGGACAAAATGACAGCAATGATAATTCTTTACTTGTTTGAATTCTTATGCTTTCAGTGCTTTCCATAGTGTGGGATTGCCTTGTGCTTTTAAATAAACAAGGAGGCAATGGGACAACATAATCTAGAAATGTACCTGCCTATGGTTTTGCACGCATAGATTAAACAGGAATAAATGCAATGCATTATTCCTCCCTGTCCATTATGTACTTTTTCTTTATTTTTTTAGAGGATGAAGTCGACGGCAACCTCCCTCGTGTGCTTCTATGTGGCCACATCTACTGCACATCTTGTCTGCTGTCCATTGAATGTGACAGTACCATTAGCTGTCCAGACTGTGAGGTAAATCATCTGTGATCTCACTCCTCCAGCTGGAGAGGGAAACATTTGTGATTTACATTCAAATCAAGGCTGCAAATGTTGAATTTGTTGGAACTAAATGGAACAAACCATCTCACTTTTCAGGTTGAATCGAACCTCCCTGAAGGCGGAGTGAACGCTATGCCAGAAGATAGCCGGATCATAGGCCTCATCTACACTGCCAAAATGAACAAGTTGAAAAGGTAAAGTTTGTTTTTGAGTGTCACACTGACCTAATTTGAAGTCCTCCTTGTTATATTTTTCAAAGTGATGTAAAAGAAAAAAATAGTGTTTACTTTTGTTTGTGATCCCTTGAAGCGATCGCTGTGAGAAATTCAAGTATCGCAGAAGGAACAAGTTAGTGTCCAAGGACGTGGTGCAGGTATGATTTGTGTATCACAGGGGTTGTGGGGGGTAATGAGAGTTGTAAAGCCACAAAAGTTAATATTTATATTCAATTAGTCTCAAGCGGTTAAAAAAGCTAAAATTATACTTTGATCAGATTGCTCAAAATGTGTAATTTGATTATTCAGCCAGTGGATGTTGTGAAGACTGAGAGGGCTGTGGACGAGGCGTTGGCACAGGGAGCAGAAAATCATGCTCTTCTAGAAAACATCCATGAGGTAAAAAACCGCTAGACGCCAACTCCTGCACACACCTTTTAGAACATCAATCTTTAAATGATTTATTCCTTTGTGAAAAAAGAAGAAAAACATCCTCAGTTTCATAAAAAGTAATCACGGCTCAAAATGTGTTCTATGTTTCATCGACAGACCCTGAAGACCGGTCTGGAAGAACAAGTAAAAAGTGACAGAGCTCGTCTAGAGATTGAGATAAAGCAAGCAGCAGACAAGGCTATACATGCTGTTCAAAAGTGGTATGGCTATACACACTTCAACATTATTAAACTACTGTGGGCAACTTTTGTATGAATGTTTTGCACTCTCTGTGAACAAAGACTGTCATGTCTTTTAGGGCGTTTTCACACACTGATCAAACGAACCAGACTTTGAGGCAAGCATACTCTGATCTGGGTCCTGGTCCCTAGTGTGAAACCACCCTTATTTATCCTGTCCTGCACACTAACAAATATTCTCTGAAAAAGAGAAATCACCTTGCTTGAGTTTGAAAACTGCCTCTTACTGTAAATGTATTTTATGGGAAACAAACAGTTCTGGTCCACGTGCTACAAATCACCTCATATGAATCGACAAGCACTAACAGTTTTATTCACTTGAAAACTACCCTAAAGCAAGTGTCCTGTTTGATTGAAGGTTTTGGAAGTATAAAAAGTGACAAATATTTTTACGATTGTATTTTTTGTTGTCAACAGGAAGGATGTGCAGTTGAATCAGCTGTCGAAACTGGAGGCGCGGTTCTCTAACAGCCAAGCAGAGCTGTGCTGTGTCCAGGAGAGGATCAGGTCTCTGGGGATCGCTATGCAGATGGCCCGAGAAGTACGCAGAGTTCCCTTCCTTGTGAAATACTGCACCCTGGATAAGGTAGGAAATTCATTCATCCAGAGTACAATGCACAGTCAGAATCTATTTAATAGAATATTGTATGTAAATCCAATTTCTGTTGAATTGTGTGTGAAAAGTGTGTGTGTGTGTGTGTGCTTGATAGGTTTTGGAGACGTTGCAGGCTCCTGTGGACAAGCAGTTATTTGATATGGAATGCATTACTATGGGCTCTGGACTGAGGTTTGTCATAACAGCAGCAAGTGCGTTACATCAATGAAGCGTTAGTGTGTTGAAAAGACAAGCGCTGGACGGCCGCTGTATGCGACACTGCGTTGCTTTTTATTGCATGTTTTATATTTTGGATTGTATTTACTCCATGAAGCAAAGAGGATATTGGTGCAAGACACGATCCTTAGGGGGAAAAACTACGGGGAATATAATTTGGAAAAGAGCCCTTGCGACGTCAACAGCGCCTGTCTGAACAGTTAAATATTTTCAATTGAAAAGTTTGGAGGGGCCGCAAAAATGGCTGAGCGCTCGTAAAAAAATGACCCTGGTGCTTTGCTTTTTTTTCCGGGCAGCCGCCTGTTGCAGTGAATCTCTCTCCTCGTAGAAAACAATTGAAAAAAGATGTTGGCTCTCAGAAAAAACCAACGCGAGGTGGACATCATGCCTTAGGGAGACAGAAAAAGAAACGTGTGCATACTGTGATTTATTTTTTTTGTACTAGAGATGCATGAAGTAGAAGAGCCTTACAAACCTGAGTGTGAAGCTGTGATTCACACTAATGGTTTTGATTTGTGCTTATGTTTGTTTTCAAGCTATATTTTCCAGCCAGAGAGTCTAAACCAGAACCTGGTGTTGTCTCTGAAAATGGATACAAGTTATCCAAAACGGTGAGTCTATTGGCTCTATAAGAAAACACACTTGTTTTTATTCATGATGACAGAAAATAGTGCTGCTGCATTTTTTGATTTCTTCGTCTTCGAATTGCCTCTGCTGCCTACTGCAGGTTTTTCTTTAGTTTTTCTTTCGTCTTTCTTTTACATCTAAATAATAAGTGTACATATATCTAAAAGACATTCTTCATGTACAGTTTATGGCACGTGTCATACGTCTTTTGAAAAAAAAAATGTCCTTATGCTTCTTTTTCTCAGCTTGTCTAGGTTTCCACCAAAAGGCGACCAGCCTGCAAACTCCCAGGAAGTCCTCCTTGCAGCATGCAGAGACTGGGAACAGTAACAATATCTCACCCAGACACAACAAGCCCCTCAGGCCACAAAAACAGGACCAGGGGAGTCCGAGAGCCAAATGCTCATTGCCACTAGCGTTCTCTTCAAGCCAGAGACCTCGTCAGAGAGTGAACCTCTCCAACCGCAGCTCCCCCTCAGACCTCAGAAGTCCAGACGTGATCGTGGAGGAGATTATAGACGAGGGAAAAGGGCATGGTGTGTGTGTGTGTGTGTGTGTGTGTGTATGCTCCTTCATGGCGCCCTGTTTGACTTTTTTTGAAGATTGAAAAGAAATGAAATATCTCTTTTAAATGCTTTCTATCTGTGTGCAGCTCACCCACCCACTGGCCCTGAACTGGCTAATGACAAATGGAGAATCCAAAATAGAAGGAAAAATCTGAATCAGATTACCGGCAATAAGAGAAATGGTGGGGAGAAATTTAACACAAGTCCTGTAGTTGAATGTTTCTATAACTAACAATGTAAAACAAGAAAAACAACAATCTATAAACTCTCAAAACTCTCAAAACTCTTACCTCTGTCTCCCTCTCTTCTTTTCTTCTTACTCTTACCCGTTCATCCTCATATTCCTCGTATGTCAAGCTCCTTCTTTTCATAAACTTGTCTTTTATTGAACCCGGAAACCTTCACCAAATTAGATTTTCTTTAGCCTGTGCATGTTTTCTCCCCCTCTGCCTCCTTTCTCACTTCATCCTTTTTCTCCTCCCCTAACCTGCTTTGCTCTTCCCTCATTTATGCCCTTGGCACCTTTCCTACCAACCCTATGATTCCTTTTTTCTTTTCTTCCCTTCTCTCCTCCCTACTCCTAACTATTCTCTTAATTTGTACTTATATTTGACACCAACATTTCCTCCCCCTCTCTTCCTTTTCCTGTTTTACCGTCCTAGTCACCCAGTGGGTTGTGGTCTCCCACATTTTGAACCCAAGTCACTTCTATGTCCGCTACGTGGCTGAGAAGAGGGAGAGCGAGTTGCTCTCCAGGAGGATTAACCACTTCTGCAGCAGGGAGAGTTGTCGCTTCACTTCCCGTGACAGAGTGGAGACTGGTATGTGTGAGTGTGTGGCCTCCATATGATGGAGAAATAAGGAGAATTTGGAACATCCTTTAATCAATAGTGGTGGTTAGAGACTCAATATTTATCAGTACATACCAACAATCCTCTGTGAGTGGAGTGGAGTTATTTTTTTTCTCTCCTGATCTTCAGGCTCCCTGATCTTTGTGAAGCAGAGGGAGGGACTCTGGTGTCGGGCCAGTGTGGTCGCACTCACACAGAGCGGATGTGCAGAGTCTGTTAAAGTCTGCCCAGTGTCCCAACTGGCCAGCATCAGAGTCTTCTTTATTGATGGTGGCCAAACCAGAAGCTTCACCATACAGAGGTACACACAATATTTTGACTCATTTTCTTTTTGCTGCCCTTTTCTTCATTTACAGCGTGTTTGTCAGTTATTAAGTGGAGTGCTGTAAAGAGGCTGTAAAACACCCTTTGTTCTTTTTTTCCCCAGTGAAGAGGGATCCTCTGAGTCGTCACTAAAGGCAGTCAACAACCACCTGAGGAAGGTGTGTGAGTTTGGGCAAGCAGAGCTGGGTCAGTTTGCTCCTCAGGCCATCAGGTGCTCATTCAAAGACCTGGTCCCATATGACTTGGTAAGACCACTGAACTTTTAAATAGATTATGATCTACTTTTCTAAAATACTGTATTTGTTATTATTTTCAAAACAGTATTGTTGCGCTTCAAACACAGCATTTCAGAAAATAAAAGAAACATTGCAGCATAAATGATCTGTGTGATGTTATTTTAAGACGGATATCTCAGCGATGAAACCAACACAGAAACCAGATTTTACAACTCAATCATATCATTTAGAAAACAAATAAGCAAAAGTGTTTCAAAGTTAGGTTTAAAGTCACATATTCTCCTCATCAACCAGTTTCAATAAGTCTCAGAGTTCCCCAAAACATGCATGTGAAGTTTCTTGTTCTAAATCCATTCTGATCCTATATTTGATCATGCCTATAAACCCCTCTATTTCAGCCCTGCTCAGAACAGGCTGTTTCTGTGTCTGTACCTTTAAATGTGACCACACCCCTCTCTGGAAGGGGCTTGTGTGGCTCTGGGTTTCTTGCTCCATGCCCTATTGTTTACGGTGAGAAGGCAGACTCAGGGCAGAACAAACACCTAGCTTTGGGAGTGTCAACCACCTGGGGGAGGGGTTGCTGCCCTTTGTGATGTCATGAAGGAAAAATCTCCAAACGGCCTGTTTGAGCACACATTTTCTGAAAAGTGGAGCAGGCAAATGCAACGAAAGTTCGTTCTTATCTGCACTGTAAAGTACAAGTTTGAATGACAATAAAGAAAGTCTAAGTCTAAAAGACGGAGAGGATGGACTTTTCTCATAATTGGGGGGTTTGTAGATGGACTAAGAAAAACATTTTGCATAATATGTGACTGGTTTTTAACACATCTGCTACTTTATGGAAAAGTCCTGTGGTGCTACTGTTTCTTAAACAGCTTACTGGCTCTCCAAACATTAATTCAATATTCAAAATATGTCCTTGTACTAAACTGGATAACAGAAAATAAAAGAAAACACAATGCTGTTTTTTTAAGGTCGACAAAAATACTTTTCATTTTGTCTGAGACTCTCTTCCTCAGCGGGCAGGGCAACACGTTGAAGGGTGTGCAGAAAAGCAGAAAATAATTGTTTGCTAATTTTAACCTTCTTGATTTTTTAGACAAATAATCAGAAGGTCGGAGTCAAAGGTTTCCTTTTTGATAGAATTACTATTGTTATTTTTTTACATTAAAGGAAACAACATCTTTTTGTTTTTGTGAAGTAGGGTTGCATTTTAAAATGTTAATTAATGTTTTGCAACAGAAGTAGGTAGAGGTGTGTGTGTGTGTATAAACTGTGTTTTTACTGAGCGTCTGTGTGTTTTTCTAGTCAAAGGGCTGGACTGAGAAGGCACAGGTGGAATTCCGCTCTGTGGTTGGCTCTGCGGCAGTGGAAATGCGTCCTTTGAGTCTGGACAGAGACTCTTTACTGGTGGACTTAAGAAAAGCTCCCATGGACCAGTCGAGTGATGTGCCAATCTCTATCAGAGAGTACCTCGTCTTCATTGAAGTGGCCAGGTGAACGCGAGTCTCTGAGAGTTAACAGAAAAATGTTAAATATTCACCAGATGTAATCGGCTAGTGAAGAGCATTGAATTGATGAAAACAGATACTCTGTAATAACAAAGCCCAATCATGAAGTGGTCCTTACTTTGGCTGTTTTTACATTTTGCACATAGGTTTTATTCTCCAGTGTCTCTGGGCAGGAAGCCCCTATCGTACTACCCTCCTGTGTATCCCAAGGTCAACAAAGAGGTCAATGCTGTGGTGTCTCACATCAACAGCCCTGCTGACTTCTACATCCAGCTGGTGAATACGCACATAAAGAGACAGACATGCACTTTGGACAAACAAGGCTCTGATGCCAGGGATAATTATAGGTTAACAAAAGAAATAAAACTGTGTGTGCTAAGAAGGGAAAATGTGGTAGTGTCTAAAGGTCAGCATGTTGATGATGTCCCAGGCTGATATTTAAGACACTACCTCTGTGTTTTTACATTTATTTTTGTTTTGTTTTTCTGTCTCGACTGTAATTTAACCTCCCCACTTCTCCACCAGGCTGACAACATGGAGTTCTTTTTGCTGTCAGCGAAGCTCCAGGAGTGTTACAACGCGTCAACAGTGAGTGAAGAAGATGACCTCAAAGTCTACTGCCCTGTGATAGAACAGGCGTATGTCGCCCGCTTTGAGGACAAGCGGTGGTACAGAGCTCAAGTCGTAGGTGAGGGTGTGTCAATGAGTGTGTCACTGTTACAGACATGTATATTTTACATGTACGTATTTCTTATTTTCAGAACAATACTAATAGTGTAATGTCAAAGTTTTTTAAGCAGAGCGTGGGTGCAAAGCTGCTCCCTCAGTCAAATAAGCTCCAGCTCATCATAGTCTGCTACTATAATTTATAACTTTAGATTGATATAAGTTGCTTGTACATATAGTGACTTAAGTAAAGTAGCTGAATACTCTGAAGTAATATTTTGTGTGTGTGTGTTTGATCTAGGTCTTCCTGGGGGAAGAAAAGTGGAGGTGCGCTATGTGGACTTTGGCAATAAGACAATCTTATCTGTCAGTGATTTGAGGAAGATCAAGGACGAGTTCTTTGCACTTCCTTCAATGGTGAGTAAATCATCTTGTGACCGATACTTTTCACTCTTGACACCTGCTGTGAGTTTCCTGTAATGATGAGATCACGCTTTTCTTTAATCAAGCCGCTTTGTGGTGCAGACTGGCTGTTAATTTCTGAGAGAAGTTCGGTGACACAAAAAAACGGCCAACATCAGTAACTTTACTGTTTCCTTAATACATTTTCAACTTTATTAATAAGTTAAGTTACATTACAACTACTGCCTAATGTAACCCTAAGAAGTTCCTTTGACATAAATCTAAATTATTTCTACATTTCACTGATATGATTTGTGTCTGCATCACAGTTTTCCTAATGTCTGATACTTTGATACGCTTTGATACTATGTGTATTCAAACAATATAAATCAATTTTTTTAGGATTTATTGTATGGGAGAGTACCGTAGCTTTAAAAAAAAAAAAGTTCTTGAGTCATGCCGATCTCTGGCCATGCAATTTCAAAACGTTTTGTGCCTTCATTGGAGAGACGGGACAGTGGATAGAGTTGGAAATCAGGGAGAGAGAGAGAGAGAGAGTGGAGAATGACATGCAGGAAAGGAGCCACTGATCGAACCTGAACCTCGGCCGCCCGCTTCGAGGACTACAGCCTCTGCACATAGGCCACACAAACCAGCATGAGGTCCACAGTGCTCATGAGAGCCGTCTCTAAATTGCACAAATACACTGGGAAGATTTTTTGGGTAATTAAAAAAAAGAAATACCTAATACAAGGTAACTAGGACTTGTATTTTTGTTGCCATATCGAAACAGTTAAACAGGAAACTCTGGTATCATTACATCCCTTACACCTGCGCTTATTAATGAGAGCAGTTTTCTTGCATGTTACCATAGAGAAAAAAGTTTTCTAATAATCCCGTTGCGCAAAATTTGATTTATTTTTGTACAGCAATACCCAATACTGGCTGCCTAGTATTTGTATTTGTGATGCTGTTCTATCGAGACAGGTATCGATATTGTTTGTTTTTACTAGAAACGTATAGAAGTTGACCCTGATGTGCGTTTGAATTTAGTTTGGTTTAGTCAGTTGGAAGTCTCTTTTGCTGTCCAGGCTATACAGTGCTGTTTGTCAGATGTGAGACCTGTGGATGGAGAGAGCTGGACTGAAGCCTGCACCGACAGATTCATCAGCCTGGCTCATCAGAAACTGGTCACTATTGTTGCCACAGGTAGTGTTTGCATGTGACTGCAGGTTTATTAAACTCTGAGCTTCTTTTTTTCTTCTTGTAGTCAAATTCCCTTTTTTGTTCTCTGGGTTTATTTTTTCCCTCTCTTAATCCCTGCAGGACCGGTCCTTAAGTCGAAGCCTCTGCCAGTCAAACTGTTCGAGAGCAGTCTGAACGGGCCACTCGCTAACATAGCCGAGCTGCTGGTCCAAGACGAGCTCGTCTGCTTCAAAGAGGAGTAAGAATGGCCTCTACAAGTGCTGAGGAAAAAAAGCCACTATTATATATGTTGATCTTTATATGTATGGTGGTATTAAGAACACATGTAATTTTGCAGTCCGATATGAGAAGGCAGAGCGAGGAACAGTTATCTTCTCATCAGTAATGTCATCTACAAATAGTCAGAGTCATGCTTTAGGAAAAACAATTCCTAGTTTGGCTTTGTGTACTTTCTTATTGTACTATTATTTTATCTAAAACTCTCTACTCTCCCTCTCCCTCGCTTTTCATTTCTCCTCTTCTTCATTGCACGTTGTCATCATTTCACCTCTTGTTCTCTATTCACTGTCGCCTCTTATTCCTCTTCTGCCTCTTTGCAGACCTAAGTCAGAGAACTCCAGGCCTGCGGGTGATGACTCCGCCATTTGGGACCCTCCACTTGAGCTTGATGCGGCTCCAGAGGGCGTTAGTACCCCGGACCAGAATACCAGCGGAGAGCAGAATGTGGAGCCGGTGGAGTTTGAGCCTCAGCTGAAGCTTCCTGCCGACCTCAAAGATCTGAAAGTCAGAGTGAGCCATGTCAGTTCACCGAGCAGTTTCTACGTCCAGCTCACCCAGTACGACTCTCAGCTCAAAAGGTCAGTAGGACACAACGGTTTACATATCCTGAAGGTACACGCTTGTAATGAAGTACACAGTATATGCTTTGAACACTAACTCCTCCTACTTCAACTAAAACAACTACCAACCAAAGGAAAAGTTTGCAGTTTCCAGCATCTTAAGTGCTTTAATCTACTTATTCTGCCTCGTATTTTTGAACATCTATACTTCATTTTATTTTATTTTTTTAGAAGCGTTAGCGGGGGAAATTAGATTTGAGTGTCTTCTTGGATTGGAGAATTATGATTTTAATTTTTCTCTGTTCTTCCTGAGATAACAGAAAGTTATGATGCTGATTATTTTATGCAGCTCTAAACACTTTGTTAAGTTTGCTTGGCTAATATTTTTGCTGTAATATTGTTACACACATCCCTACGTGTTTGTTTTAATTCTAAAACAATTAGCTAAATATGAAACTGAAGACGCTTCAAGGGGTCATTTGAACAAAAAATCTAATCTAAAAATCTAATCTTTTTTACTTTTACTAAACATTTAAAGTAACAAGAGCATATTCTCCTGGCTTCAAGATGTTTGAAGCAAATTAAAAACTTTGATTATTTCTTGTTTGTTTTTTTACAGGATGTGTGAGCTGGTAAGGAAGGAGTGTGCGCTCATGGAGTCCGACGATGATGCGGTGTGGAAGGCAGACGTGTACTGTGCTGCTCAGATTAACGGGGTTTGGGAGAGAGGGCAGATCTGCTCTGACATCACATCCAGCAAGATTGCAGAGGTAATAAAAACCTTTGCTCCAAAAAGTAGAATTTGCTTTTCTACATATCAACTTTTCAGCCATTCAATGCCAGCACATGAAATGTAAAGTTGTTTGTTTGATTTTGTTTCTGGTGTATTGGACATTATTTGTCCAGATATGTGAAAAAAACAGGCGTAAAGACAGACAGATTACTTCTCTTATAGGTGATGTTTTAAAATGTTTGCTGTCTCTCCCCATCTGTCGGCCGGCTGGTACCAGGTTCTGCGCTGTGACCATGGAAACAAGGTCAAGGTCCACGCCAGCAACCTGCGGACGCTGCCATCGTACTTGATCGGTTCTCTGGCGCTGGAGTGCACGCTGACCGACATCAGGTAAAAACTGTGACAATGATGAAATAAAATAAAAAGACACGCACATCCCTCAGAGGGTGGTGGATCATAAAAACAACAAAAAGGTAAGGAGAGAAAAACAAGATCTGCACACCTAGAAGCTCCAACATGCTCTACCTCAGAATAGATCCTTCAGACGGGAGCTTCTCGATGTGCAGATCTTGTTTTGTTTTCCTAAAAACAGTCACAGTCTCTCACTCACACACACACACACACACACACACACACACGTCTTCAGTCATACACTAACACACATACATACAGCATGTATAAAAGACACAAACTTAGAGCAACGACCAGATTTGTGGTTTGACAATATCAGGGTTTTATTTTGAAAATTGGAAAGTTAAAATGTTCAGTATGTTTGATTGTTTTTTTTTATTGAATATGGCATATCCTAATCCATATTTAGTCTCTTCATTAATATTGAATTGTTGTTCTTCTGTTGTCTGTATGTGGCAGTGCTGATAATAAACGATGTCCTTAAAAGGTGTTCACACTAATTGTTTAAACAGTGTATGCATGTATGAAACTCTTTCTTCTTTTTCACTCTTTTATTATTCACTCTTTTATGTCTTTGACTTTTTCCTCACTCCCCTTTCTCTCTTTCAGGCCAGCAGGGGGCCGATCCACCTGGACCGCTACAGCCTGCGATTTAATCTCCTACTACCTGACCGGAGCCTCGGCTGTTATGACCATCAAGGTCCTCTCTACCTGCTGATATTTCTGCCTCATTCTAAATGATCCAAATGCATTTTTTTTAAATGCATTCTCAAAGTAGATGCCTTACTTCAGTTACTCCACCTCTTTATATTCCTCCCTCTCCTCTATGCGACTCTTTTCTTTGTTGCTGTGATGACCTAGTTCCTTCTCTTGTCTTCTAGGAGCTGACGGATGAGCGTCCACAGCCCGTCATTCTGTTCTGCTCCAATAGGATGGGACAGTTTGTCAGCATTGCAGACTTTCTGGCCAGTGAGGGGCTCGCCCTGCGGGAGAGGAAACCCAGGTCTGGTTGTGTCTTGTTTCTTTTAATTCACAGATCTTAAATGACATAAGCAGCCTGTCTATACCGTCTAAATGTAATTTTTCTTCACAACCACCTTATTGGGCTGCTTCTAACGTTTTCTTATGTTGTTAGAAATTTGAACTCAATTCTTTCAGTGTTGTGTTTTCCCTGAACTAGTATCAAATTTCTGAAACAACTTGTTTTATTAGTAAGGATTTTAGAGCCTTAATTCTTCGTTTTCAACAAGCCATTCTTTGAGCCAATACCATTTGTTTTCTAATTACATTTTCTTCTGGGGCAGGGGGCTGATGTGCCCCATGTACATCTGTAGTCCTCCAAGTGGACTGCCCGGGTTCAAGTCCGACCTGCGGCTCCTTGCCCGCACATCATTCCCCCCCTCTCTTTCCTGTTTTCCTTCTCTATCCACCGTCCTACCTACACAAAGGCAAAGCCTTGAAGTACACTCCATTATCTGAAGTGTGAATCTGTTTTCTTGCAGAGACGCTGAAGATCAAAAGCCACAAGAGGCTGATGCGCCGTCTCCAGTGAGCGTGAAACAAACTGGTGGTCCTGATGGAGACAAAAAAAACACACCATCAGCTTGCAGCCTTCTTCCTATCCCTGATCAGTCCTCCCTGGTCAGCGGTCCGACCCACCCAAAACCTGCCCCCCGGATCATCATGTCTGCTGAGAAGGTGATGACATCACACTCTCTGTAAATACGACAACAAATGCAAACGTTTCTGCATCTTGTCTAGTAATACATTTTGTTGGGTGCGAAAGTAAAAATAAAAACCAATCCGTAACCACCAATCTGTAACACATTTTTAATTGTCAGACCTCTCAGATCAAGGTCTGCTTTCTGTCCCCAGAGTGAAAACTTTGTACAGAGAGGTGGTGTTCAAGTTTTAATGAACCATTTTCTGGGAATGTAATTAATAAAGACTTTTCTGTTTTGCCAGTACCAGCTATGAAAACTAAATGTAGGACTTAAAAGTATGTTGCCCTGAAAGTAATGCTACAGAGTCATTTCATTCACCTGTTTTATCTCTTGAAGCTGCTTTTATCTTCTTTATTGTTTTACTCGCTTCTATATTTTTATAAATCACTTTGAAAAATACTTTTTGTTGAATAAACTAAAAGTGTTTGTGAAAATGTGTGCAGTAATTACCCATAGCTCAGGTTGTATTCTTTATGTGTGTGTGTGTGTGCAGGTGAAAACTCAGTTGTACCAGCCCCCGGAGCTGCCATGCCTCGGTCACATCCAGACTAGTGTTTCTGCCATCGGAGAGGACGGCATCATTTACGCCAGAACGCAGAATGCAGGTACAAATCAGAGCACACCTGTTTGTTCAATAACTCTTGATTGTAATTGTGCTTACAACACGCTTTACTCAAACTCAAGCAGCATCCACCGCTTAACAATTAAAGTGCAACCAATTTGACCCACGACCCTAATGTGGAAACCAAACGAAGACATTCTTTGCTCAAAATAATTTCACATAATTATCGTCAGTAAAAGTCAAACTTAGCTGCCTAGCCACCTAAAGCATTCAAAAAGACGCATCTTTATCAGCCACCTTATTTTAATTTTAGAGAGGGGGAATGGCAGATGAAATAACAGTGTATTCTGTCTAAACTGTGTGTGTGTGTGTGTGTGTGTGTGTGTGTGTGTGTGTGTGTGTGTGTGTGTGTGTGTGTGTGTGTGTGTGTGTGTGTGTGTGTGTGTGTGTGTGTGTGTGTGTGTGTGTGTGTGTGTGTGTGTGTGTGTGTGTGTGTGTGTGTGTGTGTGTGTGTGTGTGTGTGTGTGTGTGTGTGTGTGTGTGTGTGTGTGTGTGTGTGTGTGTGTGTGTGTGTGTGTGTGTGTGTGTGTGTGTGTGTGTGTGTGTGTGTGTGTGTGTGTGTGTGTGTGTGTGTGTGTGTGTGTGTGTGATGTTGGGTTCAGAGTGTCAGCTGGAGCCGCTCAGGGAGAGGATTCAGAAGAGCATGAAGACTTTGCCCAGACAGAAGCCCTACACCTGGAAGTCGGTGCTGGGCTGTGCCGTCATCGGATCGGACATGTTGTGGTATCGAGGACAGCTGCTGGAGGTGCTGGGGGGACACGTTAAGGTCAGGAACACACACACAAAAACACACAAAAACCAATCCTCTCCCAGTAACTTTGGACGGAGCTTTCAAGAACTTTTTAAATAGATTCAACAAATATCCATCCATACATTTTCTTTTCAGTAGTTTTATCACATGTTGATATCTTTTTTTATTTATTACTCATCATTATTTCTGATTTCTTCTATTGAGTAGACTTTAATTACCAACATTTGATTGATGGATATATGAAAATATGGAGATAGAGATTGGTTGGTAGTTATAAACAGTGCGATTATTGGCATTAGATTTATAGATCAACAGAAATAGATGTAGATACAGCAGCAGTACCTCAATATGTTCAGAACCTGTCAACTTTAGTTCTATGTTTGACCTATACGACCCATTTAAATTCATCTTTGTTCATCATCTGTGATGTGAGAACTTCCTGTTTCCACTTTATAAACAGATTCAATATTTTATCATCGAGGAGCCTTTAGCCTCTTTCTCCTGGTTTACATGATATGATACAACTTTAACATTTTGTTCGCTGCCTGAAGCAAACCAAAAGCTCTTTCTGCTGATGTGGTGGAACATCTCTATAAGTCTCGAGTAAATCGTTCTCTGTGTTTGTGTGTGTGTGTGTGTTATCAATATCAAAGGTACAATACGTGGATTACGGTCTGGTGGAGAACATCCCGGTGGTCCATGTGTACCCGATGCTGCTGTGTGACGATGTTCCTCAGCTCTGTATGCCCTGCCAGCTGCACAGCATAAACCCTGTAAGTGTGTCAAGAGGATCAGCTAGCGCCTAAATATTCTGGACAAAGAGAGAGTGAAACAAAGTCTTGGCGTGAAGGTTCATTTAGAAGACTTTCAGAGCAGTCAGCTTCAGCTTCTGGGGCTTACGCTCCCCAAAGTTTGATACCCTCTTTATTGATATCACAAAATGTTTACTCTTATTTAAGAAGAATTAAATGATCACTCTCATCTCTCTGTCTCTTCAGGTTGGTAGTCGGTGGCACCTCGACGCTGTGGCCTTGCTGAAGGAGTTGTTGCTGAACCGTTGTGTGGACGTGCAAGTCATGGTAGAATAAAATACTTAACCTTTTTACAGTTTCACACCTGAATACGTTAACTATCAATAGAATAAAAACATCAAGTAAAATACCCAATGTGTAAAGGATTGTTTCTATCTGTTAGGAGCTGCCGTCTGACCCGAGGGGGCCACTAGCGGTTGAGATCTTCCTAGACGGGATGAGCCTCAGCCAGATCATGTGTCACCACGAACACGCCTCCATGGAGCGCCCAGTTCCAGCACAGAAGGTTTGTGTTCCATCGAAGTGTGTTGTTTTCCTGAAACTAAGAAAATCTGACCAAACGTCATCAATAAGGAGTGTGTTTCTCTGCAGGGACGTGGCATGATAATTCCTCCTCCTCTCCTGGACGATTGGGACATCGACACTGAGGTATTGTTCTAAATCAGCGACTCACTTTGTATCAAACCTTTTCGTCTTTTCCTACTTTTACTTCACTGGATTTTTGGGTAAGACACAAAGAATCACCTCAAAAGGAACCATTCGGGTATTTTATTGCTAAAGAAAGATAAGAAATAAAACTGTCATCACTGAAAGACGGAGCCGTGAAATCAGACGACGTGTTTCAACGACTTTTCCAGCATTGAACAGTCAACCCCGGACTTTTACAGGCATACAGACATTTTAGGGTTGAGTAACCTTAAGACTGATATCGATGTTTTTGTTCAGGGTCTGCGGGACCCAGAGGAGCCGATGCTAGGGCCCTTCATGTACCCACAACTGCCGCAGGAAGGAGAGCACTTCAAAGTCAGAGTGATGCACCTGTGGACCCCAAATGAGGTTACTATGATCTACTGAACAACTTGCATCCATCAAGTATAAGATTATAAATTCAAATGAAGGAGTGGCGTCGATGCTATAATTGAAATAAAGTCATGATTTCAGGATAATGTCCAGAAGATGGATCAGTATTGTCCAATATACTCAAGTATGAATGATGAGGTCCTATACACTCTAGAGTCTTGTTTTCCCCCCTGAAATTCCTTTAAAGCTGCATGGATCATCAGAATCAGATTACTGGGACATTTGAGCTCAAGTCATTATTCATATTGTTGGTACTCCTAATAACATCATCTCTGTCTCTCTGTCTGTCGATCAGCTGTTCCTGTGGCCTTTGGAGGGAAGTGGCGATGTGGAGGTGGACGGAGAGACTCTGGATGAGGCTCTGACCAGAATCAATGAGGACATCAACGGTCTGCCTCGACTCAGCAGCTTCCCTCACGGTAACATGATCATGAGATGGGGAGGGGAGAATAAACGCATTTCAAAAGATTAAATATTAAATTTTTACCTGAAATAATAGAATAGAAAAGAGTATTCACCAAACTAGTATAACTTGATTGTATTAAATTGGGGTTCATGTATCTGTTGTTCGTTGAATTTATAGTTCTTAAACAGATATAAGAAATTAAAGAGAGGTGTTTTTTTTTTAACGGATGGTCAAACGTTTGAGTAGATGTTTAGTGGTAGACAAAACCGAAAATATGAACTGACTTTATGACTGTTTTGTTTTGTGCAGGCAGCCCGTGTCTGGCAGAATACAGTGACGGGCAGTACTACAGAGCAAAGCTGATCAGGATCACCAGCGTGGAGCCCGTCAAGATCCTGGTCCAGCACGTCGACTTTGGCTCTGACGACACTCTGCCCCTGAGCAGGTATGAACTTCTCTCACAGCAGGAGTATTCAGATACTAGACTTAGACTGAGTTACTTTTATATACACTTACCTAAACCTAGCATCCTGGAGTCACCTTCATCATTATCATAAAAATAAATTGTAAAAGTAAAGGAGATTATTTCCATAAATGTACTCTGAACTTGTTGGTTTGGATCTCATCGATCTCTGAAGCCTCTGGACTCTGGCATCAAGTGGAGGTGTTGTTAATCTGTTGGGTTTTTATCAGAGATTCTGTCACTTCCCAACAGGCTGCGTCAGATGCCGGCAGAGCTGCTGGGCTTTCCGTCAAGGGCGCTCAAGGTCAAAGTCGCCGGCTTCAAGGCTCCAAATGTCAAGCTGGAGGAAGGCATGCTGCCCTACAGCCCCGGCTGGAGCGTGAAGGCTACAATGGCCATGATGGACTGTTACACAGCAACATCACAGCCTCTGTTGTGGTAAGGAGTCATCAGTATGTTTCCCTGTGTGGTTACTTGATCTGAAATATGTAGAACTAGTTATGTACAGGGCGCCGGTTTAGCTCAGTTGTCAGATTGTGTGCCTCATGTAGAGGCTACCTCCCTTGACGTTGCCTGTTAAAGTTCATCGTTCCTATTTAAATTTAAATTCAAAGTTCTGCATCTTGAACTTCTAGCTTGTCTATATTTTAGCCTAGATGTGACTGTTTTACATCGAGGGTCTTGATGCCTTCCTGTGCCCTTCTTCTTGTCTGTTCAGGCGCAGGAACCAGAGCTCACAGTGCTTCTGTACAATGAGGAGGAAGAGCTGGTGCATCTGTCTCTGGTGAGCAGGGGACTGGTTGAACTCGCCTGAAAGCAGAGCAGAGTCGTGCTGTTTTGTTCATATCTTCATTTTGTTGCCGTTTTAAGTTTTTAACTGTCCCACATATTATGTCAACCTTTACTTTCACTATGTTCCTGTAATAACAGAGATTTACTTTGAAGTTTGGCTGTGGTGTTTGAGTGAGCCGCGTTGACTTTGCACTTAGTTTTTTCTGGTCTTTTGACTCGTGTGAGACGACTTGTTTGTGTGAAGGTGAGATTAAATCTTCCGATGCTGACTGACGTGTCTGCGGGTTTCTTTGAGAATAAATACCTGGAGTTCCTTTGCTGCTAACAATTATTAAAAAATCAATGAATCCCAATAAAAAGGTAACATTTATTTTACAAAACATTTACAGTCAGCTAAGAAAATAAATATGTATTTCACATTTTTACAGAGTCAAAGGAATGTAAACAAACACTTAAAAACAGCGTTATGAAGCAGCTTGAATCTGCAAGCACAGGCAACAGTTTGTGTCCAGCGTCTCGTTATTCTCAGGCCTTTACTGAAAATGTAAACAAGCTCTCATTCAAATATTAAGGTTAACAGGACTGTGAATGAAGTCTGGTAGGAGATCATGCTCTTCATCACTGAAACACTTGAGGTGCTCTGTTGAGTTCCCGTTAACAAAGTGAGTATCCTTCAGGTCTGAGAAAATGTTGAAGCAGTTCAAGTATTCTTTAGCGCCTACACCCTGTTGTCCACGATGACGTTCCCGTCTTTGTCTTTGATCCTGAGTCGTCCGGTCGGGTAGCTGGTCTCCTGCCTGCCGTCTGTGTAGACGGTCTTCACCGTGCCGTCAGGGTACTCTCTCCTCTTGTAGTCGGCCGTGTGGATCTCCCTCTGGCCCGTGTTGAAGTGGATCTCCTTGGTGCCGTCGCTGAGAGAGGCAGCACACATTCACACAGCCAGTTTAGTGTTCATTCAGGTAGAAGTGGTAGAAACTTGAAATCATTAATGAAACTCACGGGTTGACTTGGATGATGGTCCCGTCTGTCAGCACGCTCTCCTCTCGACCGTTGGGGAAAAGGTTTTTGATTGTCTGATCTGGGAAGGTGATTTCTTTGCGGCCATCCGGGAAATGCTTTTCTGGAGTGGAATTTAAAACAGGCAATGTTAAAATGTATTACAACAGAATAATCAGTGCCATGCTGTTTTCAGAATCAGAATCAGGTTTTATTGTCAAGTACATTTACACATTCAAGCAAGACGACTTGGTGTGTTGGTGCTAAACAATTAACAAGGAAATAAAGCAGAACTCAGTAAAAAGGTGCAATGTAGGAGCTGTGTAGTGGACTATGAGAAAAAATCTTAGAGTGCATGTAAAGAAAATAAATTTAAAGTCCAGTGGGCGTTAATGTAACGCATAAAGAACAGTTCAGTGTCAGAACATTTCAGAACAGTTTCTGTGAGAGGGGTGAAAATAAACCCGAGTTAAACAGGTAATTTGACTTCCTACTGATCACTCACCTGTCTGGTTGTTGGGGAAGTGCAGGACCTCGATACCGTCTGGGTAGGTGACGTGTGTAGTCTGTGTTTCAGCGTAGTAGTAGATCTGAGCATGAGGAGCAGAGCCATGAAAAGAGTAACCAGTCAGGTGAGAACAGTGCTTCTTATGGCTGTTAATTCGAGTTAACTTCCGGTAAATTAGGTTTCCATTTATCTAAATCGTGGAAAACCTAAGCAAGAGGATACCGCCTCCTGTACTTTAGAGAGCTTATTGAATAAGGAGTTAAACTGCCCGTCTGCCCCCGGCACCTTTATTGTGTAACACGGAGGCTGGCAGGAAAATGTCTGATAAATCCAGGGAGGAAAACTCAGCTGTTGCTGTTCACACATGCAGCCAACTCCAAAAACCTTGGTAAGAGTTTGTGAAAACACCATAAAAAATATCATCTCTTTCCAGAGACTCCTGCATTCTTATTTCTAAAAGGTGCCTCTAATGGAAAATTTTGGGCTTTGGAATTAACAAAAAAAATATATAATTTGCTGAATCTTATTTTTTACACCAGATGTGTATTTGTTTTGAGTGTGAGCAGAGAAGGTGTTTGTGGATATTGAACACCGCACCACCACAGCAGCAGGAAACGACAAACACCACAACAGTTAAAGCCGTATGAGTTTGAAGTGACTTAAGGTAAACGTCTCACCACTCTCTGGTCGGCTGTGACCTGTTTAGTGTCTCCGTTGAAGAAGGTAACTTTGACCGTCAGCCCGTCGGCTGAAACCTCCTTCTTCGTCCCGTTGGGGAAAGAAATGAGACGATCTCCACTCGCCAGAACTTTCTCAATCTGCGAGGAGCAAAACAAGAACTTGATTAGCAACTTTACAATTCAGGGGTAAACCACTTCATCTCATCTTTGGTATTTCACTTTTTAATGGAAGCTCCACATCTATGCGAGCCATTTTACAAAAGCTGTAATCAAGACACCGAGTAGTAAAGATATCAAACATGTGCTCATATTCAAAGTGACATTCACCCACCTTCCCATCAGGGTGTGTGATAACCTCTCGAGCTGATTCTGGCTCTTTCATCTCACTGGACTCGGGTTCTTCTGGCAGGAATTCTGTGTCCTACGATGAAAAGAAATATTCAACATCAGTTCAGTGACTAACCTCTGATGTAGAGCAGCCTGTCCGGAGAAGCTCAAAGCAGGTAAGGAGGTAAAAATGGAAAAGCAGGGCTGTAACAATTTTACACTACCTGCCTTTCTTTTGGTATTTGTCATTAAATTAAGTACATGTACAATGCATAGACTTGTTGGAAGGATTTAACAGGACGTCTCTTACCGGAGAGGTGTTTGATTTTTCTTGATGTCGCAGCTTCTCCTGGCTCTTGCAGGGAGCTGGCGTTGGCCTCTCTTCTTTCCTCCGGCCGGGCAATGATGACGAAGAGAATGATGACGAAGAGGATGCTGGTATTGATGGTTTTCTCAGGCTGCTCTTCATCGCTGCAAACGATAAACACGACAACCATGGTTACTTGTGGAGCTAAAAAAAAAAACCTTTGTATCTATAAGTCCTGATAAATGAAATGTGGATTAAAAAAATAAGTGATGGATCCGAATGTGTTTGAAGGAAGCATCTCTATTACAAAAACCTGCAGCTCCAAAACCCACACATCTTAATCTGAGAGAAAAGGGAAGATATTTCAGTGTAATAAATAATAATCTTGTGATTTAAAACACTGACCTGCAGCAGCCTGACTGCTCTCTCTGCAGGTCTTTCCAGGAGCTGCAGCCGTACTGCTCTGTGGAGGACTGATGCTGCTGCTTCCTCTGGAGTCGAGAGGACTCTGAGCACACAGACAGAGAAGGCATTATTACCTCCTCGCAGCCTAACCATATACACAGACAGCACAACGTCGTTTTAAACATGCTTACAGCGAATTTCACTCCTTTGGGCACAGATGAAACGTTGCTGTCAAACATCTTAGGACCGTCGTTACATCCCTTGTCCTTCTCTGCATTGACCGGGCTTTTCTTCAAGGCGGTGAAGCGGAGCTTTTCCAACATGCGCACCTTAAATAAAAGAAAGAGAAGGTCTCACAAAAGTATGGAGCCCCTGACGTCCTGTAAATGGGTATTTTAGTTCATCTTGTCGCAGTAGTGAAAAGCTTAAACACTGTTCTTAACACTGTGGGTTATATAGTTGCCATGGAGATGAACAAGAAGCTATCATTTAGGAAGCACAGTGTAACACAGTGAAACAAAATTAATCTACAGCAAATCAACAACATCACATACAGTAATTGTTTGATATTAAATCTGAAGATTCTCACAAACATACCACATGGATACATTACACATTTTAGCAGAACTTATTACATATCAAGTCTGCAGAGGCTCCAGCAGGGGGCGCCCACGTTACACAGAATACCAGTCACAGAGTCAAAATACATAATAAACAGTGATCACACATTAACAGTGAATTACTGGTAAATAATAAATAATGATGGCACATGATGATAATTGGGGGAAAGTGGAACGATTAACACTGCTTCATTTGCACAAGATAATGTATAGAATTCTGATTATTGGACGACTTTAAAATACAAGCGTATGGGAGGGATAGTCTTTTAGCGGTTAGCATTCAAAATAAAGACATCATTAAAACCTCATGATAACAGGTATGATATCTGGCAGACTTGTCTTTAACAAGCGTTGAGCTTTTTTTCCCATATTCAGATCATATACATCCAGTTACATATTACAGGTGTAAAGGGGGTCAACAGGTGATTACCTCATCCCGGAGAGAGTCGTTATCTTTGTTCAGGGAGTCGATTTGCTGTCGCAGTCGGCCGTGTGTGGAGGCCCAGCGGCTCTCCCTCCCCCTCAGCTCCTCCTGCAGGGAGATCAGCTGCTGCCTCAACACCTGGCAGGGAGGACGAGGACGGATTAAAGGGAAGTTCCACCTATTTTAAGATTCCTCTTTACTACACCGGGGTTTCACAGCGCAAGGTTCTTTAGGGTCACAGCTTCTTCGACTGCAATGTGACTTGTTGGACTGTTAGCCTTGTCATTGTTTCAATTAGTCATATTCAGGGCACCAGATGGCCTAGCGGGTAGGTTGTGCCCCATGTACAGACACTTTGTTGCTCCAAATTGGTGACATCAAGTCAGCGTGTCATTATCTGGCTCCACATTGAGTACATTAACGACTGTGTATTGAGAAATTAACTGACTTGATTACTCCAATCTCTATCTTTTATCTTAAATAGCTACTTTTTCTTACCACTTGGGGGCAGCAGAAAGAAGCTTTAAAACGACACTGAAATATCATCGACTCTGGAGTTGATATCACAAATTTGATCCTTAACCAAAGTCTATAAAAGACAGTAACAGTTGTTGACTTTTTTTATTTTAAATATGGTACAAGATCTGCACCAAATAACACCAAGTGTATCAGTGTTTTTGCTTCTGATCAGTTTATTATCATACATGTTGTTCCTGCTCATATACCACACATACTGTAACCATTGTTACTATCATTGCAGCTATAAATCTATCTTCTTCATTGTTGTTGTTGCTCTGTTAGTCTCCATCCTTCTTTCTGCATCTCCCTCTATCCCACTTTCTAACCCCAACAATGTCGGCAGACGGCTGCATCATGAGTCTGGTTCTGCTCGAGGTTTCTGCCTCTTAAAGGAAGTTCTTCCTCGCCACTGTGACTTTGCTAAATGCTGCTGAGTGCTCATGGTGGATTAATGTTGGGTCTTTGTAGATACTGTAACAAAGAGTACAGTCTAGTCTTGCTCTTTTTGTAAAGTGTCTTTCTTGCGATATCGTTTGTTATGAATAGGCGCTATAAAGAGATGGTTTCTTCACCTGGATTTCTTCTCGTTCCTTCTTGTCGGGGATCGCTCTGGCAGCCAGCGCGTGCTTCTCAAAAAGTTTGCGCTCCTTCTGCAGCTTTCTGTTCTCCTCTCTCTTGTGCTCCTCAAACTTGGCCAGCTCCTCCACCTTGGTCTTCTCAAACTCCAGACGCTCTTTCCTACATAAAAAACAAAGTGGACTTTACTTACCGGTACATAGATTAGGAGGAACCAACATTGTTCATTGAAATGGAATCGGGTAAGCAAATAAATGTAGAGTTTAATGAAGTACAGTGTAAAGAAGATTGCCTCAAAAATTCCAAAACATTTCCATTTGATCATTGATAAGATATGGAAAAATCTCCACATCACAATAAAGCCACAAGTCCAATGTGTACAGAAGCATAGCGCTAAATATAATCAGAGACAGTCAAAGCATAAAACAGGTAAACACAAGAATATATCGGACTGGAAACTTCTGTTTCATTTAGGGGTGTTCGAGGTTATTAAGTGGAGAAAGAATGGATCACCTGAGATTTTCCTGGTCTTTCTCGTTCTCTTGTCTGAGTTTGGTCAGCGCAGAGTTCTCCTTCTTAAATCTCTCGATCTCGATCTCCAGCTCCACCAGTCTCTCCCTCAGCTGTCTGGACTGCACCTGCTGGCCTGGGGGAAAAGGACACAAACGCATTTACACATTTTAAAAATAAAGTTAAAAAAAAACACATGTCAAACGAGGAAGCCTGCTCTCTCAGGTGAACTGATTTTGAATTTCAAGACCAATAATTATCTGTTTGTTGTGACTGATTCTGATGCTCAAATTGCTAATATCTGTCCTATCAATGCAACAATGAGGTTATAAATCTATACTAAAATTCTATTTATTCTCAGATAACAGCAATTTCAGAAACATTTACACCTACATCATAACATATATTTGTTTCCTTTGTGAAACATGTGTAACCAGGGGGATTAGATGTATTTCAAGCTGCAATGGATGCATGAATTTCCCTCAGGATCAATAAAGAATCTCTCTATCTCTATCTGTCTTCAGTGAAGTGAGACAGGTTATGATTTTTAATAGACAACAATCGTTTGTCTCACCTGTGTCCTCCTCTGCCTTTTTCGACTCGGAAGCAGCAGAAGGAGGTGGAGGAGGGAGCGGTGCATTCTGGGTCTTTGGCTTCAGCGAGGGGAACAGCCGAGTCATGAGCTGGGAGGCAGGGGGAGGCTCCTGATTGGCTGACCTGATAACTGCACCTTTATCCACCTCCACAACTTCACTCACTGCCACCTTCCTCTGCAGAGTCCGCTCTGGAGGTGAAACTGTATTCACTGTTGCCTTGGTAACTGGACTTAGTCTGCCGTCATTGGCTGAGCAGACTGCGGTGTGCTCCAGGTCGTTCCAGGTGTCATTGTCGTCAAACACGACTCGACCCTGCTGCCCGTCTTTGTCCTCTAACAGAGTGGACTCGTCCGCATTGCTGAGGAAGCTGTCACTCTCAGCATCATCGACCTGTGTCACATCAGACGCTGAGTCTCTGCAGCTCTCCTCGTCCTGATATGAATGCTTGTCGTACGGCAGGTTAGACTGTGCAGGGAAGCTAAGGGTGCTGGGAAATGCAGGAGGTTTGCCTGCTACTTCCTGGTACTCAAACTCAGAGCCGCCACAGGATGAAACATCTGAGATCTCGTGGTTGTCTTCCCGTCCAGCGTCCAGTTCCGTCTTTTCCTCAACGCTCACTCTGTTCATGAGTGTATTGTCTCTGATCTTCATCATAAACACTTCTGGGTTCACGGTACCGCTTCGGACTACCACACCAGCACTGCTGCCAACACTAGTGCATCTCCGAGGTGATACTTTGGGAGGGGACTTGATGGGGGTGGAGGAGAGCCGTCGTGGGGGGAGACTCCTGGCAGCCTGCAGCTGGTCCATCTGAAGGACCTGGGAATAAAGAACAAGGTCTTTAAAATCACATCGCTTTACAGTCAACATTTAAAAAAAAAAAAAAAAAACGGGGAACAAAATCCACACAATCAGGTTTGTCAAAACTGAAAAATTGGTTTCATTTGAAAAATATCTTGCGGCTTCTTTTGCACAATTCTGGTCCAAACTGAAGTTTCTGTCATCCTCATGGATAAACAAAAACAACCACGACTTAGCGAGAAATTCAAAGCCTTAAAGTTGCCGCATAAAAAAAGCAAAATAAGTCACAGATAGATGCTACTCAGCTCTATAGAGTGCCATAAACCCTGTTCACATACAAGTACAAATTTGCTCAAGTGTAACTATGAAAATACGTCTATGCTGCTTCATAAGGCATTGCTTACTTTCTAGTAGAAACCAAAGTGGTATAGAAAAAGCAACACTTGGAAGAGGCTTCAAAGACATGTCATGCAATCAGGCAAAACAAAAGTGTAAGAATGAATGAATATTAGATAAGAAAACAGAGAAACGGAGTTAAATAAAGCACCTTCAGGACAAAGGAGGAGTTGGACGAGAAGGAAAGCTCCTCGGCTGCTTGCTCCAGTAGCTCAAACTCTCCCAGCTCCATGTTCTCCACCTGCAGGTCACAATCCCAGCGCTGGAGCTTCTCCTGGAACGACAGCTCAAACGAATCCCGAGGAACTTCTCCTCCTGCTGATTCCACTCTTGAACCACAACTTTTCTCTCTGTCTGCGTCACTTTCAGCTCTCTCTGTCCCTCTCATCGTGCCCACCTGTTTGGTTACAGGGTTCGGCAGCATGTTGTGACCAGCGTTCCTCAAAGCTTGATATGACAGACCCTCTTTTTTGTTATTCTGCTCCTTTACTTGCTCCAGTTGAGGTAGTTTGGTTCCTTTACCCTCGGGGTCACTTTGAATAGATTGTGCTGCATCTGTGTTCTGTCTTTGATGACTACCCAAAACCTTTGGTCCAGGCTGTCTTACTTTCAAACTTGGTATCCTGAGGTGGGGGGCTGACACCTTTCAGTCGGTTCTCCTTGTTGAGTGTGGCAGTTTTACGCTGGACAGGAAACCGCTGCACACCATTAGAGACCCCTCTCTGTAAAGCTGTAGGTTCAGAGTTGCTGCGGGGGAGAACTCTGGCCTGTGGTTGTGGTCTGGGGTCATTTTTCACTGCTGTTTTTGGTTTGCGATTGTTGGTAAATCTCGAGAGCCCCTCGCCTCGCTTCAGAAAGGCTCTCTTGGGAGGGGCCTGTGCAGCTTCAGATCCTACTCGACCCTGAAGAGGCAATGATACACAATGGGAAGAAAGTACAATTTGAAGGGTTTGGGGATTAAAAGACTAAATTATCTGAAGCGCCAAAGACTAAGATCATGAAGCATCTGATGCACCAATATGGAGAGGTACTGCATACAACTTAAAGAGTAACTAAACCCTAAAACCACATTTTTCAACTATAAACCTCTGTATTTGAGTATTAACTAGTGTTATGGATCAATTCAAGTCCAAATCTCGACATTTGAGTACAAAGTATTGAAATTCGCATAGTGTCTGCCCTTCCATTTGAAAAAGTCTAACGGCTGTGTGGAGTGAATGCCTACATCACCAAACCTATAAAAGCCTCGTCCGACTCGGCGAACTGTGGGGAGCCAAGTGTAGTGGACTGAGTGCCAGACGTTGCTCTCCCGGTGCCGTCAACAGGAGGACAGTCACAGCAGCTGCTGCTGCTGCTGCCAACTTGTGTGTGTGGGGCAAAAACTGTATCATGTTGCGCTGATAACGGCGCGAAGGAGTGAGTGGGCGAGTTACCCCGCCAATCAATTATCAATGTCATAATAATAATCAGTCTGGATAAATGTATGCATCATATATGATAATACTTAATAACAACATTGGCTATTTTAAGAACTTTACTCTAAAAATTGTTGACAGTGAGACACATGTTACATCCTCTCACCTGCTGTTGCTGTGCAGATTTCAGCCTCTGCTCCTCCAGCCTCAGCTGCTCCTCCAACAACTCCTCAAACGTCTTCTTCTGACCCCCGATACCGGGCTGTATAGGTCTAAAGACAAAGAGAAACAAACAAGTTGAATGTATGTATTAGACAATTTGTCCAAAAGTCACTCAGCCTCTGCTGCATGATCGGATCAGCTGGTCTCGTCACGAGAGTCTTCTTGTTAAACTGGATAAGGAATATCAGAATGTTGAATTTACCTTTCATGAAATGCTGTATCTTCTTTTACTGAGGTTTTTTCATTCACAAAAACGCCTTTCCTCTGTATTAAGGTGTCATCGTGCTCATGAAATTGGCTTAAATCCACACTCTGTTCCTCATCATCTTCTCTGGAGTTCCATGATCCTGTAGGAGACACCCGCAGGGATTTAGCTTCACAACAATGTCAGCAATCTGACGACAGTTAAGGTCAGGCTTGTGCTGGCTGCTGTACTCAAAATACAAAAACTCGACATATTCTCATGTAATCTTAGAATTGAATATTCTCACCCTCTTCCTCACTGTCCACCTCTTCATAGTGTTGACCTCTTTGTGGCTCCATGTGTCTCCCTGCTGATGACAGCTCTGGTTCCTGTCCACAGGTGGCGCCCTGTTGAGCTCTACGGCACTGTAAAGTGGGGTTGTACGGGGTCCCTGTGTAATGACAGGCTTCAGTCACCTCACAAAGTGTAAGAAGGAAATTGATACTGTACACACAAAAAACTACAATTGTGGGGAAGCAGGGCAAACAAAAATACACATCCACACAGCGATGGTGGTTTCATTATTTTTTTGTACCTTCTGTGCAGTCCGGGGATCCGTTCATTATCCCCAGCAGCCTCTGCTGCTCCTCCTGCAGGCGAAGCAGCTCCTCCAACTGATGGGCTTTTAGCTGCTCCTGCATTTGCTGCTGCCATTTTCTCAACTGCACAAACAGACAAAATTAAACGATCATCCGCCATGTCGGAAACATTTTGTAGTAATTATTGGATTCTGATATCTGTCCCCAAATAGCTGGATTGAATTGGATAAAATGGGGCCAATCTATTTAATTTAACTCTGTGATTAATTCTGTGTGAGTGTGTGCACAACGTCATGCGTCAGCAGCTCGATAAATTAAAACATGACCATTTCTTTTTTTTCACAACAAACCTAAAATTAAAACACTTTTTTGTTTTTCAATTATTGCTTTGATGCAACGTATACACATAAAACTTCCACATGTGCCACATGGTAAGTACTGAGGGTTTAACCTCAAAGGAAGAAGAGCTTGTCTGAAAGCTGGATCGCTGGCTCTTTGTGAAGGATATTTGCATTTGCGGGCGTATTTGCATGGTGCTGGAACTCGAATGGTGCCAGGCCAGTTCCAGTACAAATGGCACATCTTGTAGGTCAGCCTCCAAGGATATAAAGTGTTAGCTTCATATTTGATGACAACTTTGCATTTTCCGCACAACAAATGCTTAAAGACGTGGGGACAGAACTGCAAAATGTTATGATCAACTAGTAAACCAACCAATCAAGAGTGGTATGGCATCACTCAGGATTGGCCATTAACAGGAGCCCAGGTACCTCCATAGTAACTGAAGAGTCAGATTGGTGCGTGACTGGCTAACACTCTTATACAAAATGTCTTCAGGGGGGGCTTTAAAATACTTAACTAGCCCCCTGGCCGTTGTTTCACAGAACTGTCACAGTGCATTTACCTCACCTCACACTGTCAGTAATTCCATCTCAGTGTTTTCCAACATGCTAATTGCTAGGTGCTTACTGTATTGCACGCATACACCTCTGCCACTATTTGAGTCCTTGTTGTTTGGACTGAGGCGAACTGTACTAATATTAGCCGGTAGAAGTGATGAGTCTGTGTTGGACAGTGTGCGAGCGAGGAGGGGATTATCAAGTAACCAGGAAGCAGTGACGTAACCAACGCAGAGCTCCACACAAAGTGCCAAAAAACTCAAAATCAACCCTCGTTAGAGATATGTGGTGTCTGCTCCACTTCCATTTGTTTGATACAAGTTCTGATATTTGTCTGTTTATGTTTGGAAAATCAGTAGTTAGGTTGTAAAGTCGATGTATATTTCATCATAATCACAGTGGGAATAGCTGTTAATCACTGATGACACAGGCAAGACATTTAGATATCTTGAAGTGTTGATTTCAGCATTCAATTTGTGCAACTTTAGTTAAAATATCAAGAAAGCATGTATGTTTTTTTGTTTTTTTTTAAACAGGCAGGGAACATAAATCCCAGCCCTGAAAGAATCCTGAATGTCTTTACCTGTTCTAGCTTCATCCTTAGGGGCAAATCTTGTGATGTATTTGCCATCTCATCCAAACAGTCCGACTCTCCATTTGTGTTCCTCTGAGGCCCAGGCGACAGACCGTTCACTGGCCCGTCAGCCCCAGTTCTCTGTCCACCAGCTGACCGTGCAGATCCATCCACACCGACACAGCTGCTGTCTGCCGAGGCTGGCAGAGGAGCGAAGTCGGAGGCAAACGAATCGTCCGGCTCAAGAGGAGGAGGAGGAGGAGATCCCACGGCAGAGATGTGGCGCATGGAGCCAGACAAGTCCGGGCGGGGGTTAAGGATCACCCCGGCTCTAGTGCTACTTGGCATCCACCTGGCCAGGAAGTCTGCCTGCGAGTGCTGGAGCCCGGCTGGAGATGACATGATGACCGCGCTGTCTCCTGCAGGTCTCGCTAATCCCGGGGATTTGAGCGACAGATTATGGTGACAAATTAGGGGGTTAATCACACCGTGGATAAACACTGGCACTAACTTAGAAGACGCCAAGACAACTATAAATAGTGACTAGTTTAAATTGCAATAACAGCCGCTAAACGTTGTAAGTAAGTCAACAAGAAAACAAAAGGTTAAAACTGTTAATGAGGGATCATTGGCAGTGTGACACGTTCATAATATGAAGCTAGACTATTAAATAATGCAGATAAACTAACAGCTTTGCATGTCAGTAAGTTTAAAAGGCTTTGGCTCTTTTGGTGATACGTGATTACGTCGCATTAAAAAAAAAAAAAAAGTTTTTAAATGCAGCAATTAAAACGTAGTGACGTGACAGACAAGCTCACAACATTAATAAAAAAAAAAAAAACGCGAGATTTTACCTGTGACATAGGTGAAGAGCGGTGCGACTGGAACAAAAAGCATACGCTATGAAAACATCGCAGAGAAAAGTTTCGAAGCCTGCCGCCATATCAAAACAAAGCCCGCGAGAGTAAGGAAAACGTCGAAAAAAATATACCGGGTTGCATTATGGGTAGTGTAGTTCATCTGTAGTTTAAAGTGTCACTTTTTTTCCAAGTAAGCGTCGTGATTTATTTATTTATTTTTACTATCGGAGGTTATTAGATTTGAACTTGTTGTGTTTTGACTCTTGGATAAGTTTTAATTGTTTTAATGGTAAAAATGTATAATATTATCCGGTTCAACGGCTATTCACAAATATATTTCACAATAAAGGTCATGGAATTAAAAGAAAACTGTGGTAGCGTTGACTTTTCGGTTTTGTAAACTTGAGTACTCGTGAAGGTAAGCTGCTTAACTACACGTTTGTATCGCTTAACCTCAGTATGCTTGAAATATCTGTTCATATTAAATAGCAAAAGACATCAGATTTTATACTGATAGTGAAAGACCGGATGTGTTTTTTGACAGCTGTGATTGGTTGATACGAAAATACCACATTTCGCCTTCGAACTGAGGAGCCGAGAGAGTGTGGCTGTACAATGGAAAAGGTCTTATGTGGTGTCCACGGTAAGTCAAACTGAATTAAATGTTGTTAAATAATTGTTACGACATGTAGAGTGAGATATTGTGTTGGGTTTCCAGAGCTTCCTATTTGTTTTATTCCATGAAATGCAGTTTGTTTTGTGCATGACAAGGCATTTCCTCTTAACGTGTACTGTGACGTTTACCTTTGACTCAACGAAACCTAGACGATCTTTTCTTGGGAGCTTCCCCCTGCTGACGTTTAATGGGATGATATTGAATATTATGAGTGAAATATCCTGTTCTCTACATCCCCAAACAGGCTGCTTGTGTCTGCTGAAAACGGGCGTGAAAGATGGACCGAATAAAGGCAAAAGCTTCTACGTCTGCGTTGACAAGCAGGGCTGTGATTTCAGTCAGCTGGCCAGGTATCAACAGCAACCAGTGCAGAAAATGCATTAATACATTCTCTTCATTGGCAAAAATCTAACAGTTTTTCAATTCAAAAGTTATAGGAATGCAATGCTGCAGTCCAACATAGCAGTATATAAATGCCTGGTACCTCTTAGTAAAAGTATTTTAGTTATTATACTGGCATCCCATTATAATCCACCCATAACAGCCATTACTACATGGGTTATTTAAATGGGTTTAACATCCTTTTTTGCTATGCTTAAACATTATCATCTCCCCCCAGCATCTCACCGTCCCACTGCCTCCATCATGAAGATTCAATGGTGGAACTTCAAGCTCTCACCTACAATCTACAGCATCAGAGTCACAGGTGGGTGTGCAGCTGGGTTCAAGGTTGTCTTTATTATCCCTGCGAGAGGGCGATTTGTCTCGCAGTCAGCAGTAAAAACACACACATGCATACATACAGCCTGAAATGAGCAAACAACATAGAAAGGACAGTAAATAAATACAATAGGTAAGAAACACAACGCACAGTTAGTGGTTTAAAAAGGGGATGGCAGCAGGAACAAATGAGTTGTCCTGCATGCTGGCAGGCTGAATCTGCGGCCTGACGACAGCAACTTAAAATCCTTGGACAAAGGTTGACTTTCTGTAATGGTCCAAAACAACATTAGAGTTTGAGAGTTGGTGCTTGAACAAGATACCTGTCCCTCGTTGGTCCTCTAAATTTGAAGTTTTTGTCCTTTTGCAGGTTGTTCTATCGATGTGTTATAGGTAAAAAGGCAGGCCAGAAGTGGTGTGGAAACGTGCCTTGGAGTGTGGTAAGAGGACACCTTTACAGAATAAAGAATAATTACTTTTAATTATTTATTTCAAATACCTTTCATCATCAGAATATATTTAGTTTGATTCTCTTGTTTTCTATCATTGCAGCCAGAGAAAGAAAATAGAAACCCTCGATCAGACACACATCTACAACCCTCTTGCCTGCCACCTGCCAGGAACCCCTTTAAAGCCCCCGAGAGGACAGATAAGGACTCTGAGAGGAGAAGGATGCAGGGTGGTGGAAGTAATGAGAAAAGAAGCGAGGAGGAAGAGAGTGAGTCAAGCCACAAGGCTAAAGGAAGAGACAGCTATCAGAAAGAAAAAGAGGAGAGTGTGAGTACAGGAAGAAAAGAAGAGGCGGAAAGGAAGCAAAATGTGTCTGACTCTTACAGAGGTGTTCAACTTCCAGCAGGGATGAAGTTAAAAAAGAGAGTTTCAGATGAGGAGAGACACTGTGCTGATGCTAACAGTGTGGACAAAACGACGGATAAGACGCGAAACGAGGATAAAGAGAAGAGCACGGAGCAAGCCGATAAATCAAAGGGTGTTCATCCTGAGAAAACAGATCAAGCCACACAGGATCCTCACAAGGGCTCACTTCAGAAACCTGCCGATGGAGAAACATCTGTGGTGAAACAAGTCAACCCTTCTGTAAAAGACACTGCTTCTAAATCTACACCCAGTATCAGCACCCAGGCCTTCACAGACTCAAAAACCACCGGGAAACCAACATCTGAGAAACCAACACAATCGGAGCCCAGTCAGAAACAACAAGAAGATGATGATGATGATGATGATGTTGTGGTGGTGTCAGTGAAACCTGCTTCTCAGAAAACTCCTCCTGTTTCCGCCGTGCAAAAGACCCTGACTGCCTACCCGGGATTTAACCCAGCCTCTGTGGTCAAAAGTCAGCGGGAAGAGCCCAAAGGCATGCGTAGTCTGCTCACTGCTCAACTCCAACAGAAAAAGGTGCGTTCTTGAATTCTTCGTCATTTGATTGAGGGGATGTTTTCGATGTGTCCATTTAATCTGTATCTGATATCCATCTTCTCCGTTGTGTCGCTCCTGTTCAGGCCACTCTGTCCGCGGTGAACTTGGCCGCTCTGCCAGACAAAGGGGAGAGGTTGAGGACTCAGGTCAAAGAGCTGGAGGACGCCCTGGAGTCTCTGAGCCTCACCGCTGCGTCTCAGCCCGGTAACTCTCCCGCTGTCCTGTAGGAAAAGTAGTTATATGAGTTTCTTCTGGATCCATTACTGACCATTGTATCTGTAATGCAGAATCACTTTCAGGTTCCCAGGGTGCAAGTAACAGCAGTGATGCTAGTGAAGGTAGCATCCATGTTAATCCATTCAGCAGGAAGGGGGGCACCATCCTGCTCCCTGCCCCACCAGCCACGGGCCCCTCCCAACACCAGGCCTCCAGCAGCTCCCTGGGGCTTCAGCTGAGCCAGGGATACAGCCAGATGTATGGAGGTAAGACATTTCTGCTCGGGCTTTGTTCCTTTAAGATATTTTTAGACCATACCATTTTTCTTTTCTTTTGGAGACCTAATGTTAAAAGTGAGTGTATTTATTCTGCACACTTTTGACAAGAGGAGGCTGTTCTTCCTCTCAAAAACACATATCTTCACACAGTCAACCCCGCCCCACCCATTTCCTCAATTTGTCATTCTTTTTCCCAAACCCCTTTTTCTCTCATTCCTTTGTGCTATCAGCGAACGCCTTTTACGGCGGAAGGATGACCGACGGCCGTCTGCTGGCGGTGAAAAATGCCACTTGCGAAGCCATCGACCATCTCCACAAATCCTTAGAGTCCTGCCCTGATGCTGAGGCCGAAGTGACGGACCCGAGGGGCATCAAGGTCACACACTTTTTATAGTTGGTCATCAGTCCTTCACTTAGACCATCTGTCACAACTAAAAAGGCTTTGACACGGCTTCATGGAATCTGCATTTCGATATTTTTAGAATATTGAAAATGATTCACCAAAAATGTAGACGTAGTGCTTTTGTAAATCTAATTCAGAATATAAATAACTTTAAAATAACTTTTAATAAGAACAGAGTACAGGAGATATACATGTTAACAGTTTTGAAAGCTGACATAATCACGGCAACAGTTTTGAAATATAATGTTCACCAATGTTTGGGAGTGTTTCCACCTACTTTTGGAATTTTAATATTTTCCGGAGGAAGTAGAAGATTTTTAATCGACCACTGACTATGAAATGGGGAATTATGCCTCTTGTCAATAACATTGCCCTCTTGTGATTGGTCGGTTAGGTTTCGCTCCTCGCCCATCAGAGGAAAGCTTTGGCCTGGCTGCTCTGGAGAGAAGCTCAGAATCCCTGTGGAGGAATTCTGGGTATGTTAACTAATATTTTCTACATTATCTGTGATCGTGAAAGAGAATGTGAGAAACAGAGGGTTCTTTGATTCTGCAGGGGAGTGAAATCAAGCTATTTCATCATTTGGTAGAAGTGCTTTCTTTCTACAAAATAGTTTCTTCTTCAAAAAATTTAACTTTATTTTTCTCTCCAAACAAAATCAAGCTCAGCATTTCCATTAGACAGGAATGTATTCTTTAAAGTTTTCAGGACATAATCGTTTTATTGTCTTCTCTCTCTCTCTTTTCCGACGCAGCGGACGACATGGGTTTGGGGAAAACTTTGACAATGATCGCTCTCATACTTTCCCAGAAGATAAAGGCGAAAGAGGAAGATAAAAAGAAGGAAGAGAAGAAGCCGGAGAGCTGGATTTCAAAGTCTGGTAACTGGAGCCTGTTTGATGGTTAACAACAAGGAAGTCATTACCACCAATATAATTAGTATTTTAATCAGACAGTAAACCTTGTTTGTTTAATTCCAGAGGTACATTATTAGTTTGAGTGTATGCTGTGTAACAGTTTTGATTCGTTTGTGTGTTTATCATGCAGACTCGAGCGTCGTGGTCTCTAAAGGCACTCTGATCATCTGCCCCGCCTCTCTGGTCCATCACTGGAAGAGGGAGATTGAAAGACATGTGAAGACGGGCAAGCTGACTGTGTACCTGTACCACGGCCCCAACCGTGAGAGAAGTGCCAAAGTGTGAGGAACCATGCACACATTCACTACTCTGTCCACACTCTGCCTTTACTTCTTATCTAATCTTTTTATGATAGCTATGAACAAATAAAAGTTCCCTTGGTTTTGTGATTTGTACTTTGTTTATTTGTCATTTACAGCTAAATAAAAAAAAAACACAGGAACACAACTACACATTTTTAACATGACTGGAGATAGCAATGCAATATACTTGCTGTTAATATTCTGGAAAAACACTTACAGGAAATCTTAATGAAGCTTTCTCCCTCCGTCCCATAGACTAGCAGATCATGATGTGGTGGTTACTACATACAGTTTGGTCTCTAAGGAGATCCCAGTCCAGAAAGATGAGGCTGAAAACCCAGCAAAGATGCTGTAGCTGTGGTAAGTAGTATCAGTGCAGCAGTGACTCCCCCTGTAAGATGTTTTCACAGTTTCTCTGAAGATTGAAGCGGCTGATACATACCAAAACAATTTGAGAATTATGTTCACATCATCCCATGTTGTTCCCTCAGACGTCACGCTCAGCTCCTCTTCTGCGCGTGACCTGGGCCCGGGTGATTCTGGACGAAGCACACAACATCAAAAACCCCAAAGTGCAAACCTCCATGGCGGTCTGTCAGCTGAGGGCTCGTGCACGCTGGGCTGTCACTGGCACTCCCATCCAGAACAATCTACTGGACATGTACTCACTGCTCAAGTAAGACAAAAGCACAGTGCAAACAATAGTTTTAAGAGTTTGTACTCGTGAAATGTTTCTCCTGTTTGGTTTAAATCAAGCGGCAACCTCCGGTGTTTAAAAATGAAGGCAATGTGAAAGTGGAAAAAATTGCAGTTCCCCGAGTGTCCACTTTAAGCTGGCTGCAAAAACACAACATTTCTACAGCCTGGTTAAAAAAACAGTATCAATAGCTAGTTTCTTTATTAATAAAAGTGTACAGGAGATGACTTTGTTCCATCTGTTTTGATTGTATTAAACCCTTAAACTATTCATATATATTTGCACAATGAGGTGGTTGGCTTTGGTTGCCTGACAGCTGAGCGAGTTGTAGCTTGTTTGCCAGCCGGCTGAAGGCGCCTCAGCTCTTTTTTTCTTTTTTTTAAGATTTGTGTTTGGGCTTTTTATAGCTTTATTGGAGAGAAAGGACAGTGAATAGAGTCAGAAATCAGGGAGAGAGAGAGAGAGAGAGTGCGGGAATGACTGTGGCTTCACAGGTCGGATTCGAACCTGGGCCGCCCGCTTTTAGGACTAGAGCCTCTGTACATGGTGTGCGCTCCCTAACCACTGCACCACCAGCTCCAGCTCTTTGCCTGTTTTTAGTTTGATCAAAAGTTAGGTAGCGGTTATGTTGTGCGCCCCATGTACAGAGGCTATAGTCCTCATTACAGCAGCAGGGGGTTTGAATCCGACCTCTGCCCTTTTTGCTGCATGTCATCCCTCACTCTCTCTTCACCAGTGCTATCTAATAAAGGGAAAAAGGCCCAAGTCAGGTAGAGTCACCATTTCCAATATGGCAACCGCCATCTTTGGGCTTCAAAATGTCTCTTCAGAAACCAATGTGTGACGCCACTGAAACTACGTCCATGTTTATACAGTCTCTGGTCTGAAGTAATAAATATGAGATTGTTTCATTTCTGCTTCTGCCTCTGTCTGTCAGGTTTCTGCGTTGTGCTCCGTTTGATGAGTACAAACTTTGGAAAGCTCAAGTAGACAACGGCTCCAACAGAGGCAGAGAGAGACTCAACATCCTGACCAGGACTCTGCTGCTCCGACGCACCAAAGCCCAGAAAGACACCACAGGAAAACCACTGGTAGGGACACACAGCGGCTTCCCTGGACTTCAATCGTTACAGTAGCTCGTGCTAAAAATATCTGATTGGTTTTAAACATCTACACACTCACTGGTCTCATCATTTCAGGTGTGTCTTCCTGATCGAACCTGTGAGGTGCATCAACTTAAGCTGTCCAAGATGAAAAGGCTGTCTATGATGTGGTCTTTGCCCAGTCCAGGTAACACAACAACTTCTCATTTTTTAAGAGATTTTTAAGAAAACATCCCAAATACTCCCCCCCCCCCACATGTTTTTCTTGGGTCAAGAAAGTTTAGAACAAGCACCAGTTACAAGATCAGGCTCTTAAAAATGTAAAGGAACTGTGCTGTAACTCTCTTTCAACCATCTTCTTTGATGAAGGAAACAATAGATCATTATTGTGTCCCCTTTTGTGTCTTTACTTTTTTTTTTTTTGTCTGATGTTAGCATTGTCTCAACAGCTTTCGATGTTGCCCACACAGCTTTTTTTTCTGTCTTTATGATGTTTACTTTAAAATCATCAAAAAGTGCTCGAGAAAAATTAGACCTCTCACAAATCTTAAAATCTGTCCCAGCTTTAAAAAAGAGATGACATGCTGATATCTTCCTGAAAACAATAGATAAACAAAAAAATATTTATCTAATGACACTTTTTTTCTTTTTCTTTTTTTTTCTTCTAGATCCACTCTACAGAACTACCTCAAGAGACACGAAGGAAACGACTTGAAAAAGGGGAGTACTTCCAGCTCCAATCCCTTCGACAAAGGTGAGATATCACCTTGGGTTTATTTTTGGGCTGTTTATGCCCCCATTTAGAGGGATAGGGCAGTGGAAGGAGACAGAGTCAGAAATCAGAGAGAGGGAGAGACTACAACATCTGCACATTGGGCGCACTCACCAACCACTAGGACACCGGCCCCCCTCAGCTTTTGTTTAACTTCTATTATATGGTATAACATTTAAGCCTCAATCCTGAGCATGTGACTCAACATTTAAGCAACAATATTTAACAGAAAGCATAGCTTGACGAAAATATAACGTAACAACATGATGATGAAACTCGGATATAAAGCTTGTTCTTGAGCAGTTTGTAACTAGCTATTATACCTGTTAAATCAACAAATAAAATAAAAAAGTGATGTTAAAGACATAAAATAATAGAAATCTGTGTTTCTCCTCTCTGCAGTTGCCCAGGAGTTCGGCATGTCCCAGGCTGACCCTGCTCTGTCCGGTTCCCAGCAGCCCCAGCAGGCGTCCAGCACCGTCCACATCTTGTCCCTGTTGCTGCGCCTGCGACAGTGCTGCTGTCACCTGTCACTCCTAAAGAAGGTAAAAAAAAGCACACTAACATACTCTAAAAATGCTCATCAGCTTCCTGCTGGAAGAAGAATTAATTTCCACTTTTTCCTAACCTCCTCTCCGCTCAGACTCTTGACTCGACGGAGCTGCAGGGTGATGGGATCGTCTTGTCCCTGGAGGAGCAGCTCAACGCTCTTTCGCTCTCCTCCAGCCCCTCGCCATCGGGTCCGGACCTTAAAGACACTGTCGCTCTTAACGGCACACGCTTCCCCTCACAGTTTTTTGAGGAAACCAGTGAGAGCTCCAAGGTGGGCAACGCTTCAGCACATGCAGCGCAATAAAAATAAAAAAAAAAGCAGCAACGAAAAGTGAACAGCACACTTACTTCATGCCACAAACATTTACTTACTCATCACATCCTAACAATACTCGGGGGATAGATTTTGTGCATTTTATGAGCATTATTATGAAATCTAAATTTCAAGTTCAAAATAACAGGTGCCTTTCATTCCATTTTTTGAGTGGATTTTGAAGCAAGTTCAGTTTTAATACTTGATGAAGATGATGACTATCATTATTTTTTTGACACACTGTCTCTAACTTGCAAACAAACATTTATTGGCAAGTTTTTGTTACTATACCTTCATCATCAGGCAAACCAAAGCGTTGCCAATAAATGTTTGTTTGCAAGTTAGAGGCAGTGTGCGGGAAATCCCAACTTCTTTTGTGTCATTTTTATTTTATTGAGTCAAACTTCCAACAAGCCATTAACTGATTCTTCTGTTCTTATTTTCAGATTTCTGCCATCGTCTCTGAGCTGAAGGCGATCAGGGAGAAGAGCGCTGATCAGAAAAGGTAAAACATTTTAATCTCATAATCACCCTCAGACTCACTTCTTCCTCCAGCTTTTTTTCAAATGTTCTTGAGTTTCTGTATTTTTTTTTTTGTTCTGTCAGCAAAAGTTGAAACACTTTCTTTCAGCAGACAGAAAGCGTCTGCCAAATAACTTCCAATCAATCGCCCCTTTCCACTCTGCCGTGTAGTTTTTTTCAAAGCAGAGGGAAGTGGAAATGTTGAGGCTCACATTTTGCTGAGTATAGTTCTGCTTCTCTGTCTATACTTCTGATCCTCACACTCCTCTTTATTTATAGGTGATAAGAACTAAAAATGAATTCACCTGTGCTCAACCAGCATCTGTTAAATGTTACACCCACACATGTAATCCATTTGTCTCCTCTCTGTTACTATGCAGCGTGATTATATCCCAGTGGACCAGCATGCTCCACATTGTAGCCGTTCACCTGAAGCAGATGGGCCTGAGATACGGCGTCATCGACGGGACGGTCAACCCCAAACGTCGCATGGACCTGGTGGAGGAATTTAACACTAACCCGAAAGGACCACAGGTAAATCTCACACACAACTCTCCACCCCAAAGAGCAAAACACATGACAAGAACCTGTGCATTCATTCAAATCAATCGACTGGCACTTCTTAAAGGTTACAGCGGTATAAAGTGAATATTTCTGTCATTGAAGGAGTTTTGAATGCATTAGAATTATCTTTTAACATCACTGCTACAGGCTCCATTTCCAATCATTATTGACAAGCACCTGTGTATTTTAAACATTTTAAACATGTGGTTCAAGAAGTTGGTTCATTCTTTAAATCTGTTGTAAGGAGTTTTAACTGCTTATAAAAAAGACAAAATATTTTTCATGCTTCGTCATGAGCTTTAAAAGCAAATAAGACCCTCAGCTTTAAGATGGATTATTTCTATTTATTTTTTATAAATGCCTGAAACCTCTACCACATGGCAGGTGTGAGGGGAAGCGATGATCAGCATCCAGAAACAGTTTTTGGATTGTTGTTTTTTCATGGATAAAGTTCTCAAATAGTTGTTCATTTGACTGTTACAATAAATAAGGATTTGATTCTTTGGTGTTAAAAACGATTAACGATTTAACACGTGTACTGGACAAAATCAGTATCGAGATAACGGGTCCAGTTTTGTCTGCAGAGGAAGAAGATAAGCGCACACACTTGCTCAAATGCCTCGAAATGTTGTGATCGCGATGAATGCAAACTTTTTGTGGCATTTGAGCAAGTGTGTGGTCCTGTCTTCTTCCTCAGCCCTGCACCTACTACGTGATGTGCGTATAACTGCCTCAGGTTTGTCCATAGCCAAAATGGACACAAACCAAAAGTTCCTCACAGGAGCTTTAATTGAGCTTTAGCTTTAACAGTGTTACCTTGAATATATTTTGACTAAACATACACAAATATACATATTTATATTGATGTTTCTCTGCCAAAGGTGATGCTGGTTTCTCTCTGTGCTGGAGGGGTTGGGCTCAATCTCATCGGGGGGAATCATCTCTTTCTCATCGACATGCACTGGTGAGCGACACGCACACGTCAACAAAAAGCCGTGATTGATAGTGTTTGCTTTCCTGTGTGTGATGTAGCCTGTTTTTTATGGTTCATGTTGTCGTTCAGTACATTTAGATATATTTTAATTGACCTGCTGAACTTTGCTTAAAGATGTTTTAAAAATAAGATTGCTATTATTACAGAGCAGCTGACCCTCTTACTGCTTTGAACACTCTCAGTTCAGCTTGCATTTAAAATGTGTCTTTAAGTGCTTAATCTGCAGTTTTACTTAAACTTCCCTTAAAATGCCATTTAAGTTCTGCTCCAAAAAGAGTTAAAACAGTGTTTAAATTGAATCAATCATCTCTCACAAACACATATCATCTAACCCATCACTAGTTAGAATACAGTGATTGGGGCACCAGATAGCTCAGCAGTAATTTTGCACGCCCCATGTAGACGCCATGTAATCTTCAAAGCAGGCACCCTGGGTAATTTGCTGCATGTCATTCCCCACTCAGTGTTACCCACACTATCCAGTGTCTTCCTCTACATTAAAGGCAAAAAGCCCCCCCCCCCAAAAAAAAAGAATAATTTTAGCATGCTAAGAGAAGAAAGGTTCAGTTTTTAACCCCCACTGAATACTCTGACAGGAACCCAGCTTTAGAGGATCAGGCATGCGACCGGATCTACAGAGTCGGACAAACTAAAGATGTCACCATCCACAGGTAATGAACTGGTGTGTGTGTGTGTGTGCATTCTGTCATTCACTGCTGCTCTTGAAACTATTGTTGCAAAAGCACAAGTAGGAACTAATGAAGTAACGACTGACTGCTTCAGCAAAATACAGTCTAGGATCAGACTTTAAGTAAGATGTGATATATGAAGGTGAGAAGATTTGTTTTGAGTGGGATGGTTTTATTAAGAGGTTTAATTCAATCTTTACAAACTTTTATTTGTATGCACGCCCATTGTAAGTTACTCAAACAGTGGTATGCCTTGTTTACAATGCATATGGTTTTAATCAAAAGTGTTTTTGTGTGCGTGTGTTTTGTTCCAGGTTTGTGTGTGAAGGCACAGTGGAGGAGAAGATTTCCACACTGCAGGAGAAAAAGAAGGAGCTGGCCCAGAATGTGCTGTCAGGAACAGGAAGCACCTTCACCAAACTCTCCCTGGCTGACCTCAAAATCATTTTTGGTGTCTGAGACGGAAGAGAACAGTCAACCCCCACAGTTACACCAGACAGCTGTTAATTCAAACACTCAAAGTTCAGGTTGTAGGGCTGAAACTTGGGATAGTTTTTCATATATCTTGGTTGAATGTTATACACTAATATCATCATACATATACAAATTCATGTATTACCTGTGTTTGAGAGCACATGTTAAAGTATACAAAAGGTCTCCATGCGCCTCTTATTTTATTTTAGTACATAATTATTGGTCAGCCTCTTTGTGCGTTTGTATGTGTAGCAAATTGACAAATACATTTTAAGATGTGTAAATGCTTTTACGTTCTTATATTTTTTCTTTCTTATGTGAAAGTCTGTTTAGTTTCTAGTAGCTGAAGCTCTTTTTGGAGTGAAGCAAACTCTCCCTTTTATTTGTGTTATGCTCGTTGGCCTTGTTTTTAAATGCATCATATGTATGTGTGGTGTATTGTTGAGTGATTATGTTTTAATAAATGTAAGTGTTGAAAGTTATTGTATATAGTGTCACCACTTTTTGAATAAGAGCATGCATATTAAAATAATAATCACTTTAAGATAATAAGACATTTAGTCACGATGATCTGCAACTTGCTCACGGCATTTTACTGCTGCCAAAAATATTTTTGCTCGTACTTAATTTTTAAACAGAAATATTAGACCTTTTACAAAATGCATTCACCTTGATTTGAATATAAAAATGCTTCTTATTTAAAATATTTCTACTATGCTCTCTTGTAAGGCTTTCATCAGGAATACATTGCAGCCATAAAAGGTATTTCATTAATATCACTTGGGATCCTAACACTTAATATCCTGTGTTAGCTGTATGTGTTTAAAGCTGACAGTGTAAGGGAGATTATTAATATTACCATTTATAAATTATGACTATGTTCTGATGTTTTCTATGAGATGTATCTATTGGTTTTACTCTGCCTTTTACAGTCCACCATGTTTTCATTGCCCTCTCTTTTTGTGTATGCTACCTTTACTAACATCGGAGTTTTGACTTTCGACACCTGGAATAACGACAGAGTAGAGTGACTAGAATCCATAACGTCGAAGAAAACAGTTAATTGGACTTACAAAATTAACTTTGAGGCCACATAGTCGAGATATATCTGTAAGGTTAAGTTTTTAAACGGTCTTAAAAGTCGTGTTAAACAGAACAGGTTAAAGTAATCCACTTGTGTTTTTTTTTGTATTTATTTGATTAGCTTTTTGTAAATTATTTGTAGGTCTGTTTTGAAGGGCAAATATAAGTTTTCAAAGGTAAGGAATTCCGACATAAACAAACATGTTATGTTACTGCTATTTGGATAATACTAGCGTTAAATGAGACTGGGTTTTGTTTGGAGATACTAGCGTTAAATTAGACGGAGGTTTGAGGCGGGCACTTGAACGCGTCATTGTAAGAGCGGGCGGTAGCTGGTCTGTCTGTAACCCTCTGAGCTGCAGAGCTAGTGCAGTAACTACAGCCAGGTACTTGGGCACACTAGCGTCCTGTCTGTTCTTACCTTACAGCCAACGCGGCCTTTACGGTTGCTAAATCAAATACTGCTTGATTTTTTGGCACCAACCCCGCAGCCATGGCGGCGGAGACCGACAAGGTAGAGCCTGCGGACAGCGACGAAGGAGAAGATCAGTACGAAGTGGAAAGGATCATTGACATGCGGGTGGAAGAGGTAAAAAAAAAAGAAGCTAGCTCGCTGCTACTTAGCCGCTTTGGCTTTGCTTGGCAAACATGGCCTGGGCATTGCTTTCACGCCACTCTCACGACGCACAGCCCACCTACAATGGTGTCTTGGCACAACACGGCTGTCAACACACTTCTTTTCCAGTCTATTTCAGGTGCATTTTGATGCATTTCGTTGCACAACAATGACATATTTTGGTGTTACTACACTGTAGTGTCATAGCTCCCTCCTCCATGCACAGCTTCGGGTTTTTTTTTTTTGTTTTTTGTACAACTTCTCCCATAATGTCCGCTTGCCTCTCCCCTGCTGGGGCCAAGGACAGACGCTCTGCAAGCTTGCACATATTTTCATAAAGGCGACTCTTGCCCAGTTGGCTTAGTTTTATTGAATTATTTGAGGGTAAAATGCGGGTCTTAACAACTGACGACTAACCCTCCGTGTACTTTACCTTTTTGTTGATTAAATACTGAGTAGAATTTATATTTTCATCTCAGTTTCACAAGTAAAGTCACGGTTTTTGTGCAAGAATAGTATCCCACATATGTGTCTTTAATATTTCTGTGCAGGTTCAGCTGTCATTACATTTAGTAACACCCACCGTCTTTATTAAAGGTTTTCAGCGATTTTTCATTAGTTTTTATTTTTAATTTCAGTTTAGTTTTTAATGCTGGTTTGTTAGTTTTTATTTTGTGAAAATGCTTAGTTTGAATTAAGTTGTTTTTATTTTTTTTTATAGTTTTTCATTTTCGCTGTATGTAAATGGCATAGAAACTTCTTTAAAAAATAAATAATAATAATTAAGTGTTGTACAAAAAAAGGGAATACAGTTTTAATTAATGCAGTCAGCAAGCTCATCCAAAAAAAAATTATAAAATGTGTCACTTAGTATGTCTGTGTCGATGAAAATGAAGGACTTTTCTCTATATTTTTATTTTATTTTGAAACCACACAATAGATTTTCAGTAAGTCCTCATTTTAAATATTATCTTTATGTTATTAGTTTACATTGACATCCACCAAGATAATATTTAAGAGCTACACATGTTACTGAGCTGCCCTCCACTCATTATTAACCATTTATATGTTTTTATCAGGACTTCTCAAATGTGAGCACAGTGTCATCACACAACTGAATAACAGTGTGCTGTATAGTTTGTACTGTTTTGCTGAACAGAACACAAGTATTTATTGAGAATTAATCTGCATGTTATTTATAATCAGCCTGTACTTAAATTGTGTTTACAAAGACTCGCCTCACAGCAAGGTGGTGCCACATTTTCACACTTACATGTTAACTAGGCGTTCACATGAGTGCATAAGGAGAGGGTGCTTATGTGTGTATGTGGAGGGGTGGGATGAAGGTGTGGTGTTTTGTTTTGTTCTTGGAGTGCAAGGTCTTTTTCATTTTCTTTACAAACTCTTGACGTTGACGCTGTTTGTTTACATCAATTAAAGTAACCAGATTTTTGCAAATTAAAAGATTCTTCAAGTTAGTTTACATGGGCTGATGATGCATGAATTCACGCGGGATAAACATTGTTCATGTGAACTCAGTTTGGCTTCTTGTTTTTTTTTTTGTTTTGTTTTTTTGAAGAGTTTGAATTAGCATTACAAAGACACAGACATTATTGCTGGGTATAGACTTGGTGAAAAAAGGAGAAATAAAAAGCTAAATAGTGAGCTGTTTAAAAAACAAAAAAACACAGATTACTCACACAGTATGGCTTCAATACTTGAACATATTTCTCGCCCTACGTCATGACGGCTCTCTTAAGAGTCTCAAGTGTTTCTACCACCTGCTTGTAAAATATCAAAACACTAATGGGAGTAAAGGCAGAGACAGTAGGGCAGTAAACTGTCTACATGAAGATGCAGCTGTTGAAACACTTTTCTTTAGTTTCTGCATTGCTGTTAAAATAATATGTAGGCACTGGGCAATTGTGATGGAACCCAGTTAGAAAGCCACTTAAAGACAGTCCTTTCCAGTCAGCGTAGGAACAATGTAGAAGGTGCACTGACACTTTCTAACATTACAGTTAAAGCCACATTGCGTCACACTTGTTCAGCATTGCTAATTTTCTCGTAATGACTTTTCTTTAGCTTGAACTCTCTGGGTTTTTTTTAGACTCAGCTGGGGCTGGCCTGCAAAAAAAAGATGATGTATGTTGTGAAGTTTTTTGTTGTGCAAAATGACGTTTGGTTTGTAACATCAGAAACCCTGGATTTCACAATGAAATATTAGCCTACCTACCTTATCCCATTTAGTTTCTTAAAATATGGCCCTGGTCCAGAATGAGTCTTTAATGTGCATTTTCTTCATTTTTTTCTTTCTTCAGTGAATGTTGACATTTTCCAGCTGTTGGTCAGCCAAGTGATCTGTGTTGTTGTTTTCCACGTTATATCTGTGGCTTAATTAATTGAATAAAATAAATCGAAGAGAAGTGTCCTGCCGCTGTCTGTGTCAGGTGAGTGTGGATAAGTGCTCTAGTTTCATATTCTCTCTCTGTCTCTGTTTAAAGGGTGAAGTGCTGTACAGAGTGCGGTGGAAGAACTACTGCTCAGACGATGACACATGGGAGCCCGAGGCCCACTTGGAGGATTGTCGCGAGGTCCTCTTAACTTTTAAGAAGACCATGGCTGAAATTAAGGCCAAGAAAGAAGCAGAAGCCAAGAAGAGTGTGGTAAGTCGAAGTGACAGTTGTCAAAACACCACAGAGTCTGTGCTCCTCCAGACAAAAACTGAAGGATTACAGAGTTGCGCTCGCTCATTGCAGCTTGTAAAAAAAAAACCTTTTACTTTGCTTGTCTTTAAAACTCATCACTTATCATAGGTGAATTATTAAAACAGGCTTCGCAAAGAGTCCTCAAATTTTTATGATTTCACATTACAAGAATATTCTTGCCTTGAATTACAGCCTTAATAAATGTCTGATTTGCAGCTTCATCTTCAAACATTAAAGAAAACCTTTTCTTTGTTTTTCAGTGGTGGAAATGTTCTCTGGTGTTCCCTTAATTTAAGAAATTTGCAAAGATCATTGACTTGGTGTTGCAGTTGCATTTTAATAATAATATATTATATTTAATGTAAATTAGTTTATCATTCATGTAGGCGTCTGTAAAAGGTTTTGATCATCTGGAAGTTTTTGATGTAGGTACTAAAAAAAGTTTTTACCCTAAAGAGAGCTCTGAACACGGCTAACACCAGATTGGTCTAAAACATTTAGAGATTTAGACAACTAACTCCCCACTTCCAAAAAGAATAAAGAAAGTTGTCCAACATATAAATGTATTCAGTAAGTATCTGCTGTGGACCAAATTTTCACCTAGCAAGATTAGAAATCAGATGTCTCTGCCTTCAAGAACTTGTTTATTTAGCTGTTACACAAACAAACAAACAAACTGTAAGATAGTCACAAAGACATGCATTGTGAGTTCAGAGTGGCTATTTGAATGTCTGTATTATAGGAATAACCTCTAATGTACCATCATTTTAGTTTCTGTTAACACTCTGGTAAGGTTGAAGACATCTGTACCATCATCTGATGTATAGGGGTCCATGTGTTTGCTGCTGCCTTGTTTAAAAGAGCAAAACAGCAAAACAAAAAAGGAGCACACTCAACCGTAATACAGTTTTTCAGGTGCAAAACCTCAACAAGGCTAAAGAGAGACAGAAAAGTCAGCACGCTAAATGATGAAGGCCTTGTGCTGAAAGGCGTCCATTGTTGATCTGTGCTCTGCTGCTCTGCCCAGATGAACACTTTTTAACGTGCTGACTTTTCTCCTTAGTCTTGTTTAAAAAATGGCAAATGATCAGGTTAACAGTTCAGTAAATCAAAAATAAATGCTGTCTAGTCTTGAAGACGTTGCAGGAATTGGTAATCAGACTTAAAATACTCGCATTATCGTTTATAATTTCATTCCTCAAAACGTTTGTCATTTTCTTTCAAAGTCTTCGTTTGTACATTGCTACAAATCCTGCCGTGTTACAGCCACCTGTACATCAGCCAACCGCACTGATAGGAATGTGCTATCTACCCTAGGTCTAAAACTTCTGGGAAAAAGACAATGCATCATTTTAAAATGGCTTATTTCTTTTACTGTTCTTCTGTTAGAAGCTGCTGCCAACAAAGAGTGACGTCTTTGATGCAGACTCTGAGAGTGACAGTGACAAAGATCGACCCAGCGTGGCACCCGTCAAGAAGAAAAAGATGAAGCTAAAGGAAGATGAGGAGGAGCCACTTCCGAAGGAAAAGAAGAAAAAGAAAAAAGAGAAACAGAAGGAGGATTTCAGGCCTCTACCGGCACCAGAGACAGACGAAGAAGAGAGAGCACCGACTCCATCCTCTCCTCCCAGGGAGAAAAAGACCGATATGAAAAAGCGAGTGGTTGACTCTGACGAGGAGGACAATGAGCCCGTTCCCCCGAAAAAACACAAGAAGGAAAAGGGAAAAGATGGAGGAAAGCACAAGAAGGAAAAGGCAGAGGAGGGAAAGAAGAAGAAAGGAAAGAAGGAAAGGAAGATTGAAACCTCAGAAGACGAGGCTGCTGCACCTCTAGAGGACGACCTAAGTGACGGCCCTTCAGAGTCTCAGGTGGACGACAGTGCTTCAGCAGACGCAGGGGCAAAATCAGCCGAAAGGGCCCGTTTGGAGGACAAGGTCAAGCAAAAGAAGGGGAAGTGGGAAGTGAAGCTGCAGGGCATTAAGGACATAATCCAAGACAAAAAGGGCAAAAAGCCAGACACTCCACTAAAAGAAAGCAGCCTCCAAAAACTCAAGAGTCTCACCTCTAAAAGCAAGGAGGAGGCTGCCCCTCACTCGGACTCCAGTGACAGCTCCACTTTACACAGGAAAGCTAAGAGCAAAGGGCAGGAGAGCACACCTGTGCCGCCCAAAGTCCCGTCTTCCTCCACCTCCTCATCGTCCTCCTCGTCCTCCGTCACAGCAGCTAGCAGCGCTAAAGGTAAGGAGGAAGAGGTGGCTAAAGAGGAGGTTTTGGGACAGAAGGATGCGACAGGCTCCACTAACCTGTTTGAGAAGTTCCTGTTAAACTGCGAGGCCAAGGACCGTGCCCCCCGAAGGCAGCCAGTACATCAGCCCACCCCAGAAAAAAGCATCAGCAAACCCACCAAGGTACAGCATTAGCGCTATATGTATGTATATTACCATGTTGACTTAACTTGCTGAAAGTATTTATTTGGTTGACCGAGTAGAAAGTCTGCTCGTTTTTTTTTTTGTGTCCTGTGCACACTCTGCTGACATATTTGCTTGGTTTACGGTTAAGATTACACCCTTCTTAGGATTACTGGTGCTTTGTGCAGAAACATAACAGCTCTGAGCTGATGTCATTAACATTAATCACACTCCTGCTCCTGTGTGTCAACAAGAAGAAGGCTTCTCTCAACATAACAGCAGGCTTTTTTCATGTAATTACTACACCTGACTGGCTAAACAGTGTTACTCTTGTATTCCCAAGACATCAAAATAGAACTTAAAGGTTCTTGAATCACATTTGTCTTGCATTCATTGTCACCTATGAGCTAGAATTACACAGCAAGGTTTTTGTTTTCTAGGTTTGCAATTTCCTGGAAATTATAATTGAATGTGACTGACCCTGTACCATTTATTAGGCTTTGTTTAACATTTTGAAATATGCAAATTTCCCCAAAATAGAATCCAGGGTGCAGAAATCATCCCAATCTACTCTCCTCTATAGAGGGAAGTTGTAGTCCATGTTGATTTGGGACATTTGGCATTTACTTGATATGATTGTTTTTGTCATTACTGGCTTGCACCCAGAGCCTACAGTGAAGAGTAATTTATTACATTCTGTATAAAGAGTCACAGCTGCACATCTGCAGAGTAATATTTTGCCTCTTCAGTTTGTCAAAGGAAGAGGGGAACAGGCCAGAGACGGGAAGCTGTTAGTATACAGTCATAATGAGTGTACATGGAGAAGACCTTAAGTGTCCTTTTGATGGATCCTGCTGCTCAGATATTGAACTCAAGGTATTTACACTTGTTCTTTTTCTTTCTAACAACAGCTAATCGGAAAGATTGAGAAGCTCTCTAAGCCGACCAAAGAGTCTCCAGCTCAGAAACCAGATCCTGAGAAGACGGAGAAGACCAAGCAATCAGATGGTACACATTTGACACAGACATTGATGTTCTTAGTTTGGTCATGTAAGCTGCCACGACATCCCTAAAGTAACCTCTCACCAGGGGAAAGAAAAGTGAATACAAAATCGGAAGAAAATAAGAAATTAAATTATATTAATTGATTATATTATATAGACTGTTTTTGTGCAATAATTCAGTCTCTTACAGATTCTAAAAGAAGAACAACTCCTTGCAGAAGCATCACAGTAATTTCTGTATAAACATTACAATAATCTGTGATCTTGAATTGAGGAAGCATTGAATCATCTGTGAAGTCTGCTGTTTTTAGCCCAAAGATTACGTGTTCAGTCTAGTGCCAAAGCAGTAGCTTTTCTGTGTGTTCTTCTTTCCTTTTATCTTTTATTTTCACTCAAACAACTGGCTTACGATCTTAGTTGTGGAAACATAACTGAACATAAAACATCCATATGTGGATCTGTCGGGTGTTGTGAGAGCCACTAAAGCAATAAATAGTCTCTCTAACAGCTGTGAGCTCATCAGCTGCTAACAAACCAATTTAAAACTTTTGTTTGAACATGCAAACAGTGCTCCCATTATCCCCAGTGAGAAAACAAGTCCTCATGGAGCTGGAATGGCAGCTGCGTTTTGATTGGCAGTTGGGATGGAGGATGAAAAAGACCTTCTAGGGTGTTTCTGACAGGAAGTATGGCGTCTGGTCTCTCCCCCCCCCTTTAGCCCCAAAACCTGGCCAGAGTCACGGCTTCAGCCTGGACAGCGATGAGAAGGAAGATGAACCTTCAGCAAAGCCAAGACCAGGAGAAGAACCCCGGGACAAGAGAGAGAAGCAAGATGAGGTGCAGCGGCCCAGCTGGGACAGGAGAACGTCAACAGACGACAGGCGGAAGAGGAGAGAGGACAGCGAGCCAAGACTCTTCATGGCATGTGATGACAATCAGGACATCCAGGACCCAGCAGAGGGCGCTGACAAATCTGGTATTTTTCTGATCTTGCCTCTGAGCATATGCTGACATTTGCTACTTCCAAATATATATTTTTTTAAATTGTCAAACTGTACATTTGTCTCAGCAATGTTTTTCAACTTTGTTATTTAATGCAAAACTTGACTTCTTATCACAGTTAAAATACAAACAGAAGCTGATATCTGAAACATACAGTAACGTTATCAAGCTTCTCAGAGAATAAAAAAGTGTTTTGAATTGCAGTTGTGACTGTTTCATCTTGCAAACTAATGATGTGTCACTCTGCAATGTGTTTGTACAGACAAGAGCCATGCAACCTTGAGTCTAGGAATGGACCTCAACCTGGACTGGATGACACTGGACGACTTCCAGAAGCACCTAAATGGGGAAGATGAGATCCTGTCTGGTCCCCCGCTATCTCCTAGTGAGTTTAGCATTTACTCCTTTACCCCTCAGACATTTAGCAGACTACTGTCTACTGCTATGAAGAAGTGTTCAAGAAGTTAAAAGGTAACTTTCCAACTTGGTCAAGGATAGTCACGAGGATATTTGGTTGGTAACCCTGATAGAAGTATTTTAAATCACCAATTTTGGCATTCCAACTTGTAAATCAAAACAGCAGTTTTCTAAGCACTCGCTCGCTGTTTTTCAAAGTGAATCTCCTTGGATATTTATTTCAAGTCCCCATGAAATGACAGTTTCAGGTTCTTTAGCTTCTTCTAAAGCAGGGATGTTGATAGGTTTCAATGGAGGATGTCCCCAGGACCCAGAGGTGGTGATTTATGGGGATCCAAGAGAAATTGAATGGGTCTCCAATAAAAAATGTGTTTGAAAAAGTAGTGCTAAACTGTTGTTATGATACTAGTTGTAAGATATAATTATAATGATATTTTCATGTATATGTAAATGTAGCTGAATTTGTGGCATGCTGATAGGTTGGTGAATTTGTTTTATTTGTGAATAAATGTGCCAGTTTTGTTATAATTAGATCTAATGTCACAGTGTGTTAAATTGTCATCTGAAAAGAGGACCTTATGGGTATGTGGTGAGACACTGTTTGAGAAAAAAAAACATAATATTTTTTTTGGGGGGGGGGGGGGATGCAGAGTGTTGCAACGCTTCTTCAGCTTTTGGCTCAGGAGGAGAGGAGGTACAGGCTAGTACAGGCAGTGCTGAGGTACTCGACCTATAGGCTATATAGCAGAGTCAGGGAGGAGTGCAGAGGTAGAAGAAGCACAAACAAACCAGCTGCAATCGTTTGTTTCTGCAGCAGAGCTGTATCATCAATTCAACTTTACAATAGAAATTCTCTTGACCCATTACACGCCAAGGTCCTCTGACTTTCTGTCGGCTGCCTTTCATTTAACTTCTGTTTTAGGGATTGAGAGGGTAAGGCAATTTATTGTTCATTTAGAATACATTGTTTTAATGTGTAATCCACCAGGTTTTTTTTTTTTATAGATTAAATCATGACATAATTGTATTTTTTTTAGGGTTTTTTGCCTTCATTTGATAGGACAGTGAATAGAGTAGGAAACACAGGAAATAGACTGGGGAAAGGAGCCACAGGCCGGACTTGAACCTGGGCCGCCCACCTCGAGGGCTATAGCCTACTAAATGGGGTGCCACCTAACCTCTAGTCCATCTGCCCTCCCTAACGTACATTATTTGATTTTGAGTATTTTTTAAGAGATTATATCATTTCCTTTTTACACTAGCTTGTACATTATTTTGGATTGTAACAATTGTAATATTTACTACTCTACCTTCAAACTAAATCTAGCTGTGTTTTGTTCCTGTCAGGTGAGCTGCGTGATGCTGTGAAAAGTGGAGATTACATGGCAGTAAAATTGGCACTTAATTCCAAAGAAGACTACAATCTAGACCAAGAGGTATGTGCAAAAAACATTTTTAACCCCCCGCCCTTAAATCTTTTATAAAACCTTATAGCCAAGCGAACCATCATGTTTTGAGAACTTGCCACATTTTCAATGATGCTTGCTTTCGGTTCTGAAGGACTTCCCCAGCCCTCAATTCCAAGAAAGATACGCATTACAGCTTTACTGCTCACACCTTGGTTGTCCCAGTGTGTATGTGTTGGAGTGTTTGTGCTGACGTGTGATGGTTGTTCATGATCAGTGTAACTGTGCTGTGTCTGAAAGAAAACACCCTTATACTGTTGAACTCTTGCCCAGCCAGGTCTTCTGCATTAAAAGCATTAGCTGACATAGCGTTAAAATTACACTACACTTCAATGAAGGAGAAGCATGATTGTTTAAAATAGTAAAACAAAGATAAAGGTTCTAGGAAACGTATTTGTCCTCAGTGGAATTTATCAACTTGAGACTTATTTTAACACACAGTATGTAAATTCAGCCGCCAGTTGACTCTCAATCACAACAATAACAAGACACGACGCCGAGGCTTGAAGGGAATAATGGGAGCGATTCTCTCTGCTACTCCATCCCCACCTCCGTTGAAAATGACCTCCGAGTTGACCGTAGTGAAGACGAACGGGCGAAACCGACCTGAGGAAGAGAATATGTTTACCGCAGATGTATACAAGTATAATTTATGAGACGTTTTTATCACAGCAACACATACAGCAACAGTACGGCAGCTTCTTATGCAGCGTACTTTGATGTAACATTTAGTGTTTCCATGGCAACGATAAATATGTTGCCACCAAGTAATACACGGGCCAAACAGAATTTCTCTGGTTTTGAAAACTGTTAAAAATATGAAAGGTAATTTAAGTACTCAACAACAACAAAATATAGAACAAAGGTTTAATGCATTTTTAATTAGTTAAGATATTTAAGTGTAAAAATTCGAACCCCCTAACCCCTCAGGTTCTTGGATGCAAACTTATTTTTTATGATTTGACTTTCTGAAACATATTTACAATGTCTTAGGAAACCTGAATTAAAAAGGCAGGAATGAAAAACAGCAAATGACTTCCTATGACCAGATCAAGCAGTCGAGATCACTCACTTTCATCATGTGTGGATGCTCTCTAAATTATTAACCATAAAGAAAAATTATAGATAAAAAAAAAACTGCATCAAGAAATCTGCCTCTACAAGATCTACACAATGACTTCCCTGCTTCATGTCTACTGTTAATTCAACGCTTCGAGACGTTTTGAATGACTGCAAGGCACCAAATGCAGGTAAGAGCATCACATGCTTTAACTTTTACATGCAAATAAAAATGTCTTAAGTGACGTGATCGTGTTGCTCATTTATACTACCGTCAGTTTTGTTTGTAATTTATCAAGCCAAACAATGTGTGGTTCAAATGAAGTTTTAATGGTTGATGGTTCATATAATCTAATGAGATACGTAAAGAGTGTTGCTTACTGTAAACCTGACCAGTATTGCTTTAATATAGGCAGAATATTTAAAAAGCTATGGTAAACTCCACCGATCTCTGTCATGAGATCTTTCTGATTCTTTCTGTTGTTGCCTGCATGACGTTAAATGCTCTCGTCTCTATTTACCAGTACTCATGCTTGACCTTAGCTAGATTGTTGTATCAACCATGGCATGGTTTGAGATTGCTTCTTTAATTTACATGTTATTGTACAATTGTTACCTTTTCATGCAATTGTCATTTCAATGTCATTATAATTTGTGCACAATAGAGACCTTGGTGTTATCTGTCCTTGCAGAGAGCAACCAAATAAAGAAGACACTGAACACAAGAAGTGATAGGACAAGATGACCCCTTTGAAGCAGGTACATAATGTTTGGAACATGTATCACCATCATAAACATAACACATGTAAAAACCAGCATGCACCAGTAACTATCAGAAAGCCATTTTTTCTTTATATTTCCATTAATATTTAAGGATAAATTAAATCTACTTACAAAAAACATAATGTTGGTAATTGAATCACTGAACACCATAAAAGTGTTCCCCTGTTTTGCATCTGTACCTTGCCTTGTCCTGGACTCTATTATGTATGTAGCCACATTGAAAGACGTGTTATATTAACTCATGAGTTTCATAGATTTAAATGTGAAAACTTTGCTATGCTAACTTGCTAAGCCAAAATTTTGTCTTGATTTAAAGCCATGCATGTAGGTGTAGCATCAGTTCATATTCTGTACCCTCCATGTAGCACTTCATCCAACACCTCATGATTACATTTACTTGGTTGGACATTTACGATGTCAAAACACTGCTTGATCCAATAAAGCCATTAATTGTTATCAAATGGGTCACATGTGGTCTTTGTACTGGAGATTTGAGAGGTGTCAGAGGTTTTTTGTTACCGATGTCGGTAGTGATGTGTGGCCATCACATTGACTTCTGTTTGAATGAGCCTGGATCTGGGTGGGGCATTGCCAAGGTGCTGATGCGTAAAACAGACGTTTTTTTTTTTTTTGAAAGACAACAAAACCAAAAAATTATTTCGACCTATCACCATCATTTGATAACCAAAATTCCAACCAACTTTTGTTTTTGTTTCTCCCCTTACATTATTTTCCTAAGAGGTCTGATTTTGAAGTTTTTCAAATTATTCATGGCTTCTGATTTGGCGTTAAGTCTTACATATACTTGTTCTTTTACAGGCCTGTACTATGGGTGAGACGAGGTCATTTGAAGCAGAGAGGAGCTTGATTGAAGAGAGAAGTTCGAGTGACCCTTATAGGTTGACTTCTAACCTTGACATTGCAAGAAATGAAGAGGGCACTACAGAAGTAAAAGTGAATTTTCCACAAGATTTGGATTGTCTTATAGCTGGCGAAAATATAAACAGCTCTACTTCTAATACAAACTCTGAACAAGGGACAATAAGAGATCATGAAAATATACATAATGCTGGGGAGGATGGAACTGAATTCAAAGACACTGGTTGTAATTCAGCTACTAAGCAGGATGATCAAGAAAAGGATGACCAGAGGGATGCACAGGAATCCGAGATGTCAGACAACTCAGAGGGTGGTTTATCAAGTAAAGTAGGTTTCAACACCGATCATTCAAATCAAACCTCACCTGATGGAAGGATACTGACAAGGAGAAGAGAGCAAAAAGAAGTATCTGCAGAACAAAGCTCAAGTGAGGAAGCGAATGACTCAAGTGATGAGACTGAGGATGTGTTAGAAGGTCAGTCTGATGGTTCAGATCAAGGTCTAAATGAGTCGGACACAAAGGTCATTGCCAAAACACCGTTAAGACGTCGCAGGCAAACTGTGGAGAGGAAACAACCAACACGATCCAGTTCAAGGACCTGTAAGAAAGTTCTTGAAACTAACACCAGCACAGAGAATGAGGAGAAAAAAGAGTCCTGCAAGAAGCACTTCTGTTTATATTGCAAACAGGCTTTCACTCAGATTGCAAAGCATTTGGAAAGAAAACATGCGGACGAAACTGATGTGTCCCATGCAATACACTTTCCCAGAGGTTCCAAAGTCAGACAGACTTTGCTTGACCAAATTCGTAATAAAGGAGATTACGAACATAATTGCAAAGTTCTCAAAAGTGGTGAGGGGGAAATTGTTACAAAGAAACAGGTCAAAAATCCTGGCGTATCCGTCCGTGATTACCTGCCTTGCCAGCACTGCTTTGCTTTTTATCGCAAAACAGATTTATGGAGACATGAAAGATCATGTAAGGCCAGAAAGGGAGATCAGAAATCCTCTGAAAACACAAAAAGAAGCAGTGTCCACAGCGCTGCCTCCAGGCTGCTTCCAATGTCAGAATTTTTGACTGGAGGTTGTGAGGAAATCATCCACATCATGCATCAAGATGACATCTCAAGGCTTATCCGAAATGACCCTCTTATTTGTAAATATGGCAATGCTTTGTCTGCTAAGTATGACCATGACAAGTCTCAGTTTGCTTATATTGCCCAAAAGATGAGGGAACTTGGCAGATTTTTGCAAGCTGTAATTGAGCTTGACCAGAGCGTGAAGTACTTGCATGAAATATGTCAACCATCCAGATTTGAATTAGCCATTGAAGGAGCCAAAAAAGCGAGTGGTTTTGACCCCAGTTCTAGTAAGTTTAAAACAGTTTCCCTTGTCTCAAAGATCGGCTATTCCTTAAAACGAGCTGCAGAGATAGCTTTTGGGGAAAGTCGAATGACAGAGGACAGTGAAACTGAAAGTGAGGTGAAAAAGTTCATACAGCTTCTTGATACAAAATGGAACGGCTGTTTCTCTCGCAAAGCTCTTGCATTATCACTAAAGCAAGAAGTCAAGAAGGTGGAAGTAGATAATTCAACCGTTACAGAAGATTTGATAAAACTCCACAGGTTTATCACAGGGGAAGAAGACGAAGCCAGGAGGGAGCTGACAGACAGTCCTAGTTTGTCAACGTGGAAAAAGCTCAGTGAGGCTACTCTAGCAGATGTATGTCTGTTTAACAGAGGAAGGGTAGGGAATATTGGCAGAATTCCCTTGCTAACTTACACTCACAGAAAGAGTAGGGACGCATTTGTTCCCTCTGCAGATCAAATAAGAAGAAGCACAAAATTGGAGCTGGAGCTTGGTGCCAGTTTTACAAGGTTGGAGCTAGAGGGTCAGTCTGGTAGGAACATGCTGGTTCTGCTCACTGAAAGGATGGTTTCATCAATCGAATTAATCATTGCAAATCGAGAACAAGCTGGTGTGGCAAAAACCAACCCATACCTGTTTGCACGGACTGAAGGTCCATCCTTTATCAGAGGATTGGATTGTTTTCGAAGGGCTGCAATGGAATGTGGAGTTAAAAACCCAGAAGCACTCCTGTCCTCATCATTAAGAGAGCAAATAGCCAGTTGCTGGCAGCTTATGAGCCTCAGTGAAAGTGAATTGGATCAAGTGGCCATGCTGGTCAATAGGAGCAGCCAGGAGTGTTACAGGCTCTCAGATGATGCATCACAGCTGGAGGAAGTAAGCAAACAGCTTCTCAAGCTGGATCGAACACTGCCATCAAGTCAGCCAAGCACTACAACAGATGGTGAGTACCTGGGTCTGCTTTGGTCTATTACACAAGTTTCATGTGAAATATCCGCTGTTAATTACAGTCTCTATGGCAGTTTCACAAACTTTCTGTTCTAGAAACCTTTACCTGAATCATGAAGTCTCCATATGCAGGTTGTAATTGAACAGAGGATGTTCTAACCTCTCGTGATCCTTTTTAGGAATTGATAATAAATTCTTTTGACCTTCATAATAGCTGTTGGAAAAAAGTACTCAAGGTCAACTTACTCATTCAGTTTTGAGCAAAGACACAAAACAAAATCTGGATTTTTCCAAGCTCAAGTATGAACTGTCCAACTCTATAGTAGAAATGTGGGTTTGACTTTAAAGGTTGACTGCATACTGCAGTTTTAATTTGATTAAGATTTCTTTCTGTTTTATAATCGTGAATCTTTTACTTCTACTCTTCTCAGGAGTAAAAGAGGACTCTACTCTTCTTTCTATCTTCTTAGGAACGGCACAAAAGCCTGCTTTGAAGAGAAGACCTTGGAGTGAGAAGGAGCAGGCAGCAGTGAAGAGTTACTTGAGTGAATTCATCACAACAATGAAGGTTCCGGGCAAAAAGGAGTGCAATGCTTGCATAGCTGCTGAACCAGATCTTTGTGGAAGGTCTTGGACAGATGTCAAAAACTATGTGCACAACACACTACAGACCGTACGGAGGAGAAATAGGTCTGAAGGAAATATAAATGAGAGTCCAAAAGCTGGAGGCCAAACACCAAAAACAGATTTGGAAGACACAAACATTTGTACTATGACAACAGTGAATCCAGATCATATAAGAGAAAGTTCAGACTGTTGTATGACGATGTCGTCACCAACCAACTTGAGGGACTCAACAACACTGTACTCACAAGACTTGACTCAGAGTTATGCATCTTTGTGTTCTACTAGTACAAATTTGGTCCATTCGAGTCAACAATTGATTTCTTCTTTCACACCATTGAATGCTACTGATACACAAGTGGTTCCTACATTCACCCCACACAACACTACAAACCCATTAATGTCTCCGGCATACACATCAGAGAGCATGATCATGCCAATGTCTCCCTCTTATGTACAGAATAACACAAATATGCCACCCCCATCTGTGTATACGACACAAGACACTACAAATTTACCTCTGATTCCTAATTATAGCACCCTCAATGCCCCAAGTACCTCAATGAGTCCTTCTTATACGTCATTAAACACAGCAAGTGCACAAATGATCCCTGCATTCTCAACATTGACTGATAGAAATAGGCCTATCGTTTCTTCCTTTACAGCTCTGAACCATCCAAGTACACCAACTTACCTCACAACCCAACCTAGGGCTCCTACAACTGCACAGGTTGTCCCAACCATCCATAGACCCAATGCTCCTGACAGAATACCAGTGGTGCAGGACAGCACGGGAAAGTCCACTGCAGGTAAACGAGGCACTCCAGCTGTTAAGCCTCAGAAGAGAAATAAGCGGTTGTGGAGTGAGGAGGAACAGGCGGCAGTGAGGCGTCAGTTTGGAGACTTTTGTAAACTGGTGAAAGTTCCAGGCAAAAAGGATTGCGATGCATGCTTAGCTGCAGAACCAGCCTTGAACACAAGAACATGGAGGGAAGTCAAATACTATGTACATAACTCAATTCAGTCCTTGAAAAGAAGAGGACATCCAGTTGCCTCCAAACAAAGTGTAGGACCCGAACCAGAGACTCAAAATCAAAATCAAAATGCAGAGTGGGATGGTCCTGTTTATCTTTCATTGTAAATATTTGTAATGGACTTGTTACAAACAATAAGAGGTGATACCTTAGTTGTGTAGGGACTGTGGCTATACCATACACATTTATATGGGTCTTAGAAATTCAGAAAATGTGAATTGCTATCAAATGTGTGGTCTGTGAACCATGTTCTCTGTATCCATATGGATCTAAAACAATAACAGACTGCCCTTTTATCCTTTTAGTCACAAAAGTTTCTAAATTATTAAAATCAAGGTTGACGACCAAGCTATTGTTGAACTGTTGCATGAATATACACTAAGTAGATTGAACCAAGGATGTTTGTAATGTAGGTTTTTCTCCAGCCAGTCAGATAATCATGTGTAATGTGCTTATGTCGCATAGAGTATGCAACACAGTCAGACATGAAACCATTTGTCAGTTCATTGAAGGTTATCATTTAGATATTGTCAAACCACATTTTGCCTTGATTCCCCAAGATTCATTGGTGGTGGACAGTTACCAATATGGCTTCCAAAAGGAAATTTGCAGTTTCAAACACAGTATTTCTAAAAATGGTGACAATTGCTTGGAACCTTCCATCCACTGTGATCCAGGCATTTTCCACCCTGTACTAAGCAAAGGTAGACTGTACATTTCTAGAGGGACTTTTACTCTACTTCAAAACTGACTTGGACATCAATATTTCTGCCTGTGCTGTTTTCAGTAGCATTTTTACTAATTTGAATACAAGAAAAAAAAAAAAGAGAAAGCCTACCTGCAAATCCTTGTATCCAGTGCTACGTTAAAGATGTGCTTTGACTTGATTTTCATAATTCCCAAATGCCTGGCCCAAGTGTACTATGTTCTGCTTTAGCCAGTAGCCTATAGAGTAGACAGCCCCTGATAGCCTGCAGCAGTAATGGCATACTTCCCTTCTGATATCAGAGAATTAGGAGCTCTGTTTATATACCTCTTTCCTTAACCTTAGAAACCTATTTTTCTGTTGAGGATCCTGTTTGATAAATGTTCATTATCTGCATATATTTGTATTTTCATGTGTGTTTACAAGCTACCGAAAGGTTAAGTTGTATTTTTTTTTATCTCTATACAGCAAGTGTGTAGAATATTTTAGTACTTTATTGTATTATATGTACTCTGTCTCTTATGTTAAAAAAACATATTGCATTAGTATCACTTTAATTTTTATCATCTGGAGTGTTGGACAATTATATCCAGCCTCCTAGATTCAGTTGCCTTATTATGTTGATTATTTGCTGTTTCACATTTTATCTGTCGATAGTTTTTATTTCAAATTTGTCAAACACATAGCATATTAACTACAACCATGATGTTGTGAGCACAACCACTTTTTGTGCTGATTTTTTTTCACAAGTAAATTGTACTACTCGTCATGATTCCTAAAAGTGAAAGTGACATTGGTTTACACTTCTAGTCTTAAGAAATGGACAGCGATTGGTGAGCTCTTTGTTGAACCAGACTTAAAGCATCGGCCTAAAGAAGCTACTTTTGGTTTCTGCCCCATGGGTAAAATGTTGATCAAATCCAGATTATTTTCTACTGTGATAACTTATAACTGAAGATGAAGATATCTGAAAATTAAACATTTCATTTGAAGTGCAAATGTAGGGTTGTATTGGTGATACAAACCTTGTTGAGTGTTTATACTGGATTCTTAAGAAAGGGTTCAACCTGCACCATTAGCAGCTGGTCACATTTTAAAACAGTAGTCCTGGTTTACCAAATGGATTGTATTTTTTTTGTTTAAGAAAATAGGTGCTTATACAGTGTTCATTTTACAGTGGTTATAAAAATGTTTTGTGGACCAACTGTTGTTTGGTTGAGTTGAATGACTGTAGACGCTACCACTTTTTTGTTTTGATGTTGTGACCCAATGGATTGGAAGTTTTGGTTAATCAATCTTTATTTATATAGCTCCATTTTATAACAAATTTTATCTCTGTGGTTAAGAGTTCTCCCTTGCTCTACTTGGGTTATTTTTATGGACAGAAGATTTGGTGTCATCCTCTGTAGCAGCTGTATTGAACCTTTGTAGAGTAACCAGTGTTTCTCCATTTCATACCAAAGCCTTTAGTATCTAACATAAATGAAACAAACCCTTCTAAATAAACCCTGCGTGTGAGCAGGGCTGCAAACCCAGGTGAGTTTTCCTATGCTAACCTTTTCACGGAGACAATAGAAAAGTTTCCCTTTGTCACTTCCTTCCTTTTAAGATGGATATTTCTGGGTTGCAGTTTAAACTGTAGTCAGTGTTACAACCAAGTTAAGCATTTGTAATCAGTCAAAGGTCTAGAAATAAACAATCTTTTATACACTACATTTGCTCTTTGGCGTCGCACAGCAGCTTTTTTTTCCCTGTACAGTAGATCTCTTTCATTCATTGCTGTTGTATAAGCACACAATCCTTGTTACTCTTCATCCTGTTGTGATCATGTTGCCTTCAGTTTATCCTTCTTACTAAGAATTGTAAGACACTTCTGCTTGTACAATAAATTGCTTCTTGGCTTAAAACTTGAAGATTCTATTGTCATGAAGACATCAGGAATGTTTTTTTTTTTTTTTTTTTTTTACTTTTTAAAGGTTTAAAGTGCATTAGAATGCTGGGTTTCATAGATTATATTTGCACTTGTCTAGATCAACCTCTGCACTTTGACCTTGGTGTCAAATGTAGTCTAGTTCTAGCTAAAATAATGATAATAATAATCCAAGATGGCAAAAGTCAAAATGCCAAACTCAAGGCATTGCTACATGTTTCTGCAGCATTTGAAGTTCCCTCCTGATGCCCATTCGAAAGATTGCAGGTTTAAATCCCTTCTGCATGAATTTGAATTATTCAACACTGTAGGATACATCCATACTTTTTGTTTTTGGGCCATGAGCAAAAGTAGAGGGCTAATTGAAATTAAGACCTGACAGTGGCACTAAAGAAAAGGTAAGATAATTAAATTCCATAGAGATTATGACTGGTACAATAATGTGTGTCATGGCTTTATTACTGGTATATAAACAAAAAATATAATATAGATCTCAGTGGTGCTAGAGAGAAGTTCAGTGTAAACAAACATCAGTAGGATTCAACCTCTTGGTGCCTCGTTTATTAAAACACCAGGGTTCTGCAGTGGACAGTGATTAGCACGTTCACCTCAAGGCAAGAAGATCCTCCGTTCTAAACTGGTATCAGATTGAGACCATAGTATGGAGTTTACCCCGTTCTCACAGATGTATCCAAAGTGTTCAGACAGGCAAGGTAGATAAATCTGCATCATTAGGTTGACTGTAAACATGAATTTAATGGATGGTTATCCATATGTGAGCCCTGCAGTAAAATGACAACCTATCAAGGAGAGCAGCTCTTGAAACTCTGCAAAGGTTGGTCAAAAAGACAAACTGATTTGGCTTTTGTGGTCAATAATTTGGTTCTCTTCAGCCAGTTACTTCAACACATTGTTTGAGATTACCATTTATTTTCACTAACTAATGGAAAACTGTTCCGACATTTGTTTCTGAATCCTTCAATCATAAACAGATATAATGTGTCCTTCATGTAAAACCATGATGTCAATGTGATTGCAGAAAAAGACCAATGTGACTTCTGCGGTTTAAGAAACTAGCAGAATTTTAAAAAAAACCTGTGGTGAAGTGTGTGGTTTCAGTTCCACTGAGAGCCCTTCTTGGCTGTACTGCAGCCAAACAGCCCCCAGCATGTCATTTTGAACTCCCTTATTTTACAACCTTCGACTGTGACACTGGCTTTGTTTGTGTCTGTTTGTCAACAGGATGTGAGTGGTATGTCTCTGAGCATGCTGGCAGCAGCAGGGGGTCAGGACGACATCCTCAGGTTGCTGATCAAGAAGGGAGTGAAGGTGAATGGACGACAGAAGAACGGCACCACAGCCCTGATGCACGCTGCAGAAAAGGTAACACAGCAGCCTCTCACACCAAATATGAAAAGAGGGTTTGCAGTTGTTACTGTGATGATGGACAAAGTATTTAATTTTTTTTAATTCTCACACCTTGTGTATCTGTCCTCTGTTAGAATTTCTTGACTACTGTTGCTATCCTGCTGGAGGCCGGCTCATATGTCAACGCACAGAATGTAGGCGGGGAAACGGCACTGATGAAGGTAAAGACATTTTAAGTGTTAAGATCTGTACATGGGACTAAGGCTGCGTTGGTAAATGTTTGTTGTATTTAACTTTAGGCGTGCAAAAGAGGGAACGCTGACGTAGTGCGCCTCCTGCTGGAATACGGCGCCGACTGCAACATCCTGTCCAAACACAAGAACACAGCCATGTACTTCGCCAAACTCAGCAACAACCTGATGGTGTTCGACTTCATCAAGGACCACATCAGCATGTGAGTTGTAACTACGGCTTAAACACTGACGGAGAAGAGCAGACACAGTCACAGATGTGTTTGACTGACAGATATTAAACTACTTTATTGATGTTGATGTGTGTTGTTTCTAAAAAAAAAAAATCTGAACTTCAGTACCTCGAGCAACGTTATGTAGTAAATCAGAACGTCTGAGCTGTCATAATGTGCACACAGTGCTGACACGGCCCCCCGTCACAGACAGCGTGCATTTGTTGATAAGCTGAGGGGTTTTGTTAGAAACTTAAGACCCACGTTGACTGACAAGGTACAGTAAAAGACTTTGTGCAAATATCGACTCTGCTAGAGTCCAGATAGATAGAGAGACTTTATTTGGTATGGACATCACAGATACATTGGACGAACCAGATGCATTGTTTAAGTGTTTTAGCATACATGCTAGTTTTCAACACCTGTCCACAGCAGGCTTTTGAGAGGAAACAATTAAAGATAGGAAGAAAACAAATACATGAGACATAACTTGAGTTAGATGACTTCCTGCACCTGGTAAAGCTGCTAAACATGAAACAACAATGACACCGAGAACAATACAGCTTACATACAATCTGTTATGTAAAGTATCTGCAGGGATGTACACTCGGCAACTTTCTCTCTTTCTCTTCTTTGCATCATCCATCATTGTCTTCTTACCTCTCTTAGCCTCAGCTATTCATCAAACAGTACAGAGGCGGGCTAACCGGTTAGTGCCTTAAAGCCGTACACACTTCTCGCGAGAGACCCACGGTCGCTGCAAAACTTACATAGTGTTATAAGCCAGTAACTGGGGCGATCTGTGACATGGGAGAGAGACTATTATCGACTTTGAAACAGTTATTTTAAGGTGGAGAAGTTACATGTTGTTGCTTAAAGCACTTTTTCAGATTAACAATTATTAAAAAAAAGAATGATAGAAACATTTAAATCTGATTTAAATCTCAACACTGTTCTTCTTCTCTGCCCATCTTTCTGTCTCTCAGGCTGTCCAGTGTGGCCGAGGACACGATCCGAGCGTACTTTGAGTCTCGTCTGGTGCTGCTGGAGCCGGTTTTTCCTCTTGCCTGCCACAGGCTTTGTGAGGGACCCGACTTCACCATGGAGTTCGGCTTCAAAACACAGCCACAACCAGAAGGTAAGAACTTTCACACTGCAAGCCATCAGCTGGTTGTATTTTTAGATACAGAACATAATCACAGAGATCACTTTGTTAGTGGTCCATCCAAGTTTTTTATCCGGGAGGAGATGAATCGATGGAGGGTGTGTTGATTATAAAAACATTCCAAGAAACCTCATAAGCTGCTTCCACATCTTCACTCCAGACAATGTTTAGAAAATATTAGGCAGACTGCCCCTGAAATCCTCCTGGCTCGCTTGTTCACACATGCACCTCACAGTGGGAGACTATCCCTGTCAGACAGGAGGGGTTTCAGGGGGGGGGGGGGCTCGTTAGGCAAGGCATGACGTATAAAAGACCACGCAGAAGTGGAGAACGAAGCAACGCGATCTGCTATACAAGACTATAATGAAAATGTTTGCGGCATCCCGTCCATTTTTATGTTGCCACCAACGCTACTCAGCTTCCTGGTAGAATGTGGCGGTCGGAAACTCCCTCCTCTCCTTTCAGAAACCCTCCTTGGTCGCGCCTTTTCTCCTCACTCCACCTTCTGTCAGTGTGGACATGATAGAAGCGTGTGTGTGTGTGTGTGTGTGTGTTTGCAAACCTAGCTTATAGATGTGTAGATTTTTTTGTGGTTTATTTATATGTATTGCTTTTTCTCTCATGCTGCGTTTGGTTGAACCTTATTTTATCATAGACTGTGTACTAAGAGGTAGAGCTAACTGTTTTGATACCGCTGCAACAAAAATAGAAGTCCGAGGCATTCTTCTTTCCTTTTGATGCACATGACCTCTGTCCCTCTCTTCTACTACAGGCTCGGGGATCCTCCTCTTCATCTTCCACGCTAACTTCTTGAATGAAATAACAGCCCGGCTCTGCGGACCTTGCAGCGTTCACGCCGTGGTGCTCAACGACAAGTTCCAGCTGCCCATCTTCCTGGTTAGATCTTATGAAAAACAACGCACACAGCACTGCTACATATCATATAGCTGAAGGCTAAATGGGTTTAACAGAACAAAAAAAAAATGAGATCAAGAATAATGGATATTAATAGATAAATATGTTTAAACAATCTATTATGCCGTACCCGATTTTAATTCTTCTAACAGTGACAATGATTGCAGTAGATATTTAACACATGTACGCTGAGTGATCATTAGCTTTAAGGAGGAGCTTGACATTTCTTCACAGGCTGCAAATTTTACCTGCACAAGCAATACACATAAACCTGTGTCTAACTGGTTAGTTGATGTATTTCATTCTGTTATATATTATAAGTGATGACGTTCTTATTTCTCCTTATGTCTTTATTTTTGTCTTCAAACATACAGGATAGTCACTTTATCTACTCCTTCAGTCCGGTGCCAGGCATCAACAGACTCTTCATTCGTCTAGCAGAGGCACCAACAGCCAAGGTACACACACACACACACACACACACACGTGCTCACCATTTTATAAAGTAGGACTAAAAGCTGTGTTTGAAGTTTAAAAGGAGGTTAAAATGGTCCTTCAGTTCACATGTTTAGCAGCACAATTTGTGTGTTAGTGTCAGGATTTGTATTTGCTTCTGACAGTCACAGTAGATGATGGACGGCTGCGGCTCAGTTGGTAGAGTCGGTCGTCTCTCAACAGGAAGGTCGGGGGTTCAATCCCCAGCTCCTGCAGCTACATGTGTCCTTGGGAAAGACACTTAACCCCCAAGTTGCTCCCGCTGCTTCGTCAGCGGCGTGTGAATGTGTATGAATGGGATGGCATTATTCCAAAGCTTTCTATTTTCCAAAAGACATGAAAAGACGAAACCAACAATGTGCAAACATGTCTCCTATTGTTTCCAAAAAGTCCTCACTCTCTCTCTGTTACCCGTTCCTTTTTATAAACAAATATCAAATTGAATTTGTGGCTGTCTGCAGCAGCAGTGAAGGGCATTTGTCTGGGACTATTTTCAGAGTAGATTAATACACGTTCAGACGAAACAAGTGAGTCAATGTTTGTAGAATCTAGTCCAAACCAACTGTGTGTGTGTGTGTGTGTGTGTGTGTGTGTGTGTGTGTGTGTGTGTGTGTGTGTGTGTGTGTGTGTGTGTGTGTGTGTGTGTGTGTGTGTGTGTGTGTGTGTGTGTGTGTGTGTGTGTGTGTGTGTGTGTGTGTGTGTGTGTGTGTGTGTGTGTGTGTGTTTTCATGGCAGTAAAGGAAAATGCCTTGAATGCAACAGTGTGGCCCATTCTTTTTAATAGAATTTGAAAAATAATGGAGCTCTATCACACGGAGGAAACACGTCTTTAACACTTCAGATACACAGAAAATATTTGCTCTTTTCATGGAAGAAAACAGAAAATAAGCGGCCGTTTATTTTAGAGCCTTCATTTTTTAATCAGCATATTTCAAACAAAAGAATGTACTCATCAAATACGTAACATTTCTCAGCAGCTAATATAGCCATTATTTTAAAGGTCACTTATTATGCAACATATACTTCACCATGTTTTACTTACACTAATATAGTCTGTCTACAAACCACCAATGATGAGAAAAGTCCATCCTCTCCAACTTTTGCCTGCTTCACTTTTCAGAAAATTTGTGCTCAAATTTTGGAGATTTAACCTTTGTGACATCACAAAGGGCAGTAACCCCTCCCCCAGATGGGTGACACTCCCACAGCTAGGTGTTTGTTCTGCCCTCTGAGTCTGCCTTCTCACCGTAAACAATAGGGCATGTAGCGAGAAAGCCCAAGACACTAAAGTCCTTCCAGAGAGGGGGCGTGGTCAGACACAGCTCATTTACATTTAAAGGTACAGACACAGAAACAGCCTGTTCTGAGCAGGGCTGGAATAGAGGGGTTTGTAGGCATGATCAAATACAGGATCAGAGTGGATTTAGAACAAGAAACTTCACAGACATGTTACCGGGAGCTCTGAGACTTATTTAAACTGGTTGAATTGGAGGATGATGTGTGACCGTTAACAAAAGTGTATTTTAACAGTGTAAAATGTTCTTTCTTCAGGTCAAACTCCTCATCTGTGCATACAGAGTTCAGCTGCAATGATGCCTCCTCTGATTATGTCAACAAGTCACACCGAGCCTGGCCTTAATGACAACACACCCCACACACACACACACACACACATACACATACTAAGCATTAGCTGAAACACACTGCAAGGCTTGTTGTCTTCAAAGAGAGGAAACGTTTTGTTGGCTTCCCAAACAACATTGAGATTTAAAAGCCAGACCTCGGAGAAGACTGAAGCTCATCGATGACATCCAGACTGCAGCTCCTCCGTGATCAACAAATGCCTTGCAGTCTTGTGTGGTTGATTAAACCTCGAAGTAAACCCTCAAGCAGCCCGTCCATTTTTATATTGACACCAACACTACTACACAGCTTCCTGTTACAATGTGGCGGTCAGAAACTCCCTCCTCTCCTTTCAGAAACCCTCCTGGGTCGTGCCTTTTCTCCTAGCTCCACCTTCTGTCAGTGTGGACATGATAGACGTGTGTCTGTGTGTTTGTGTGTTTGCAAACCTAGCTTGTACATCAATGTGTAGATTTTTAGGGGTGCTTTTGAAGAAGATGCAGAACGGTTTTCCATCTCTCCTTTTTTTTTCCAATTTTTAAGCATTTTTCTTGGACCAATGTATCGCTTTCCCACTCGTGCTGTGTTTGGTAACACCCGATTTTATAATAGACTGTCCTAAACATACCTGTTTAGCTAGCACTGAAACTTAAATAGAAGTCTGAGGCATCCAGTATTGGGTAACTCCTTGTTGTTATTTACAAAATTACAAGCCAAACTCCTGCACACTGTCTCTTTCTCTTGAAACAGATTTGAGTTCAGATATGACTGAAGATTTGTGTATTTTTTTAAAGCTTTGGTACTTTTTCAACACTGTCGATAATTACAGGAACAGAAAATATATCATTTCATAACCCGTGGTGTCAAAAATGTTGACAACCTTAGAAGCTGTGATATGCTGTTAAGGTAAATCTGTTGATTCTCCAATGACAACAAGTGAGAAACTACATTTCTACATCACCCAATCAGAAGCCGGTAGAGAAGTTAATGTTAACCAAATCACCAGGATAGACACTGTTTTGTTTTCAATCTTTGCCAAGCGGTCGACAAAAAACCTCACTGGCCATCATGGGGTCATGTTCTTGTTGGAGAAGCTTCTGAACATGATTCCATAACACTACATTAGGAAGGCGGGCAGATGCGTCCCAAAAATAAGAGATCCATCACAATATGTGGCGGGTATTTAGTGCTGTCCACGTGTGACCTGACGATCTCACACCAGGAGTGTAAACAGGAGTGTACTCTCTAATATGGATGTTCATACAATAGGAGGTTGTGATTGCATAGACAATGTTTTTATGAATGAAGAAAAAGTGATTTTATATTTTTGGGTCTGTAAATATTCACATACTATATATAGATATATGCAGACAAAGATACAGTTATAAAGTGTCATCTGATGACTGCTTATGTTTTGTTGCTCTTTTTTTTTCTTTTCTTTTTGTTGCAAATACAGGATTGAGTTAAGTTATTTAGTGTGTACAATAAAAATCTGTTTCCTTCACTTTCAAGGGCTTCAGTTTGTCGTCTTAGTTATCTACCCTCCTGCTAGTGAGGGTCAGGGTCAAGGATCTAGACTGATTGCTGGAGAGCTCAGGCTTTCTCTTTTTTTAACAGATGCTGAATGCTGCGCTGACATCTTGTCCATCTGGGTTTGAATGGTATACCTGCAGAAAAATAATAAAGCAGTTCTTCTACAGTAAGACCTGAGCGTCTAATGAAAAATGTTTGTGTGAACATGCCTGCGTCTTCGCCCGAGAACTCGGCTTGGGGCAGCGATATGTCCTTTGGTTGGATCGAGGAAACTTGACTCTTCGTGCTGCCTCGACACCCACAAGTTTTAAGTTTGTCTTTCAGTTCTGACTAAAATGTGAAAGTAAAGAAGTATGCCCAGTTGTACTATTTTTGACTGTTTAAATGACTTTATAAGCAACAGCTAAAAGGCACATGCAAATGTGACCTACGTTTTTTTTTTTTACTTTCAATCAATAGATTTCAAGAGCTACAACAGCTGGAGCAGCCCGAGAACATTTGGAGGCATGTGCTGTATGTTTGCATGAAAATGAAATCGGTCATGTGGTTTTGATAAGCAGATACAAACTTGAAGGTTCCTGGTGTGTTCAGTCTTGTGCAAACATTTATCTGATATTTATTTTTTTCTTGAGTTATATTTCTAAGTACTTCGATCTCACTATGTTGTTTCACTATGTTGTTCCAATATGTCTTACCTGGTGTTCATAGAAGTAAAGCTCAGTTTAGTGTGATCAGGCATAAAGACTCTCCAGATATGTAACCCAACACCTGTGAAACTCCTTGGCCATTAAACGGCTTCAGATGGTTTTAATTTCAGTCTTTTACCAAACATGTCAGAGAGAGGAAAAGAGTTTCGATTCAGATTTTTGAATACTAGCGTACCATTAGTGTTTTAGATAAGTGATGACTGGGATTGTGATCAGACCCAATCAGTGTGGCTGAAAATGATAAGACAAAATTGCGATTGTTCACCTAAAAAACAATTATATAAATTTAAAAAAATCAGTCCTTGGTGCAACACACTATCCCCTCTTTGTGCTGAACAGGATGTATCAGTGAACTCTGGGAAAAATGTTCAGTCAGGCTCGTCATGTCCATTCACTCTGGTATAATATGTAGTCATGATTAATAATATTTAAAGTCAGACACATTCTTCTACGTGTGCCATATATCATATTTCCAAACTATCCCTTAAAGATGGAACCCATTTTGCTTTGATAATAAATGTTTCAAAATGTAGAACGTTTGATAATTCCCCCCTTTTGACCCCACTCTAACTTAACCTCCGCCCCCTAACCCAAATTTTTGTTTGCATGACTCACCTGGTTACAGGGTTCCTCATTGGCCGTTGACTTTAGTTATCATTCTGAGGGTCTTTTTTAAAATCAATATGGACTTCACACTACTTTCCGGTGCATTGATAATGAAGCTGGAACAACAGTGAATCACCAACCCACAACGATTTTACCCGATTGATTTTTAAATGACCTGGAAATGAACGGATATCAGTGGTTCCCTGGCAGGAAGAACGCATCAACTAAGAACTACGTCATCTTTTAGCATGCATTCAAAACTGGTCAGCAGAAATTAGACTTTTAGTTGAGATGAATCTTACGGTATATAAACAGACATATAGTCCAGAAAAAACAGGGCGTACATTAGTCTGTTTTCTCTCTTTGTCTGCTGATAGTTTTTTCAAAACACTTTCAGTCCCGATCACTTGTTGAAGATGCCACAGGTCTCCTGGTTTGCCTGAAGACTCTCTAGTTCAAAGCACTCTGAATATAATTAAACCTTGAATGTTCCTGCAGGTAAACACTGTGAAGTAAGTGTGAGGAACTTACAGTCTATGGTGAGGAAGTGTGAGCCCCATGCTGTTTGTTTAGAGGCTCAAAAATGTCACTGTGTGTCTCTACGATAAAACTGTCTACATATTTATTTCCACTCTTAGTTCTCTGGACATGAATTAGTGGAGAGATGTCAAAGTGGGAGGAGTATCAATATTCTTTTTTTTAAACCATCAGACTTAAAGACAACATGAAACCCCGGACTGCTGAGCAGTAATATTTACAGTCAATGCTGCTGAGGTGCTGAGTGGACGCTCATCTTTTAAAGGCTCTGTAAAGCCTGAGGGGGTCAGGTAAATAAATCAAGGAACTGCTGGAGGAAAGGTACTGCAGCTTTAAGAAACAAGGTGAGAAAGGTGCACATGGGGGGGAAACAAACGATAATACCGAGCTGCACACCAGTCAAGACTCAGAATTTGTGACATTCAAGGACTTAATAACTTCTGTTTCCTCAGTTTTTCTGTATAGACTTATTATGACATTCAAAACACAAACCAGAGAGAGCTGCAGGGAAAATGGACATTTCAACATGAGCAAATCAACAACAGCTCATTCAAAGGGTTAAAGGGTTAAAAAAACAACCATAGAGTCGTCTAGCAGCGGGTTTAATATTTTAAATTAGAGTTGTGGGGTTTATTAAATTCACAAGGAAAGACGGCTCACAAGGGGGGGAAAGGCTATAATATTTAATTATGGTTAATGTTGGATCGAGTGGTTCACATGCTGGATCCAAGTTAGCTCATCCAAAAGTAAGTAAACTTATAAAGCCGATGCTTATTTGACTTGATTTATTTACAGTCTATGAGCAACACATAGTCTATGTCGCCAAATCCCCCTTTTGGACACTCAACTTTATAGCTCAATTTTATGGTTTTGGACTCAGTACTTTTGGCTACTGAGTCAAACAACAGTCATGTGGGGTGCGTTTGTTGGCTTCTGGGATAGATTTAGTATTTTGACCCACAGTGGATCAACTTTTAACCCAAGATTTTAACGAGTAGTCGATGTATCCTATTAGGTTGCTTTCCCCCCTACTGCAAAGGTGTATAGCCTAATTTAAACACAATAGCATCGCATGTGTCACATTTGCCACCAGTTGCGCTAGGTTTAAGATAAATGCTGACATATCCGTTGAAAGGTGCGCATGTTACGTGTAAAGAGCCGAAAGAGTCGAGGACGTCATTGCATTGGAAGGCAACATGAAAATTAACGGAGGTCCCCAAACGCCTCATAGACATTCTAATTACATAAAGGCTACCAGTTTGGTGATTAGGAATCCGTCTTAATCCCTTTCTGCTTTAATCCTGATCACGTTTTAATCTATTTCAGTGGAATTTGAACGAGATGAAACAGAGAAATGCAATAAATTCTGATTACCAAAAAAAAAAAAAAAAACCATCGACATCAAACCTGGCAACCCGGCTGCTTTATAGCTTACTTTCTCGGGCTGATTTAGCGAATGCAAACTATTCCACATTCTCTGCTTCTGCTTTTTATCCACTTAATCTGATCATTTAAGGGGTGTTTGAGGTGATGCGGAGATGTGTTTCATTATCTGCATGACGTGAGTTCCTTCTGCACCTTTCACAGTTGGTTTTTAAGTCACTTGAACGCACCTGATCCGCCATATTAAAAACGTGATCATGACTTCATTCGACTTTAATTTGCGCTCATGAAGGGGATATTATCGCCACCTAATCTTTGATGTTGGTATATATGATTGATCTTTATCTTGGTGTACTTAGAAGTGAGTGTGGATTGATTTTACTGCACATGCATTTCAGTTTGGTTCCTTTGACACCATTTATATCCTGTTTCTTACTTCTTCTGTTTTCTTATTGCAGTAATATTGGATTAACTTTTATTTCTGCGTCCGTTTGGTTCCCCCTCATGTTTACTTGGATGCAATTACGTGAGGAAACTCGTTGTTGCACGGACAGATCATGCTGAGTGCATGAACTCTCTCAACCCGGATCCCTGCCCCTGATTGGACCTGAGCTGTGTACTTCAAAACAGCTTGTTGTAGTCTCTCCAACAGAACCAGATCAAAGTATATCATGTTTTGCGGCTCATTGGGAGTCAGTTTACACTGGAGGTGTGATATGCATCGGGTAAGGTAAAGCAGCTTAATGGAGCAATTTAATTGCCAACCATGCCACCACTGATTGCTCTTCCTGCGCATGCGCGACGGAGGGAAAAAAAGAGAAATACGAATGGATGTTGTCGAAGAGGAACATAAACGAAAGAGGTCTCACTCTGTCTCTAATTCCAGTTACTTTAAACGTGAGCATACACACGTAGTAGGAGGGGCTTCCTGCTTAAAGGAACAGTGCAGAGATTTTCGGACCTTTTTTTTTTATTAAGTTTATTACAGTGCACATTACATGCAATACACTATCCACATAGGTGTTTGTAGTTTTTGTTTATCTTAACCTTATGCTTTAACTACATGTCCTGTGTTTGACAATGTTTTACAGAATTGATTTTAAAGTTTAATATATTAAATGTATTGATTCATGTAAACTATATTTTTTTAATGATCTCCTCTAAATGTGATGTTTGTGCGGAGTGCAGTGCTTAATTTAGCTTTTAAATGTACTATTTATATACTTGTTCGTATGTTTTTAATGAGGAATAGCTGTGCTCTAGGCCAGTGGTTTCTAAAGTGGGGGACGTGGGAACCAAGCCACCAAGAGTGGGGTTGCTAGTTGCCTTCAGAAACAAACTAATAAACCTTTTAAACAATTTAGAGCATTACATTTTAGACCTAATTGTAACATATAATCAAGTGAAATTAAATACTTAATGTGTAATTTTGCAGATGACAGCCACATTTATGGTGTAGTTTTATATGTCACTATTTATAACAGAGGCCATTTATCCTCTACTGGATGGGCAATTTAAAAAAAACAAAAAAACAAAAACATTTTGAGTATATCCACTTCTTTTGTCACCAAGTCAAATACCTGGTATGTTTAAATGTACTTAGCAAAAAAAAATCAGATTTAGGCATAACCACACCACCGTGTATATAAGGGTATTTGTGTTCATACGATGGAAACCATTCTTGTTGCAAAAGCTGGAAACAGTTTGAGGTAACAAAAAGGTTTCAAACATCATTTATCGACCCCTTGCTCCATTGCAGAATGAATGTCTTTGCTTTCTGATTATTCTGATTGTTAAAAATGCAGCTGCAGTGTAGTTGGGCATTTGAGATCACAGTTAGCCAGATATTTATCTTGAACTTCTTGTGAATTAAGAAGCATCTATGCATATTATTGCACCCACAGGTAGACAGAAACTAAATACTTCTTACTCAGGGACGCCGTAAAGGGGGAGAACAGTTAGGATGTTTCTAAGGGCCCATGACTGATCAGGGCCCCAAAAAATGTTGTTTTTTTTAACATATATAATATAATAATAATATAAACTTTTGTGATCATAATAATAATGCAAAACAGTAGCCTTCAGACAGCTTTAGTGTTGCTAAATGAGAGATATGTATTCATGGAGCACAGAGTTCCTGGCAGCACCCCTGCTTCTACTTGACATCACTTAAATGCTTAAATCAGACCTGAAATCAATAATTGCCTTTGCAATCAAGTGGTGATTCTCGTATTGGCCAAGCAACGTTTTAACTAAATGCGTTTCTTTGTATTCACCCAGACGTAATCCCCCCCGAAAGGTAAAGGTATCTATTGGACACCCCCCCCCACCACCCACAACGTTGCGTGTTTGCTACGTCACGCGAGACGCCAATCGCGCGTAGTGAGTCGTCACCACAATAGACGATCTTTGGACGGAAAGTGGAAAGTTCTACGTTGTGCGCACGCGCACCCTGGGATTAATGTCAAGGCACAAAAGTGGCGCTACACCGTTTCGAGCTCTACTCCGGTAAGCATATTTCTCCGCCGTTTTACATGTTCCACATTTACGCCTAATTGGTCAAAGTTTTAGGAAACTTGTGCGGGACATCAGCCGGAAGTCCAGGGACTCTCTGAGCACTCACTCGGGGGCGAGGACACACATTAAAGGGAACAATAAACAGTTAAATTGAACAGATTTGCTCCCTTTGCTGTGTGTGTGCTGTGGCTGCTGCCGCCTCTAGTCTCCAGTATTGTTCAGTTTGCTCCCTAATGGCGGACGGCAGGCTGTTTTCCACCGGGGGAGGAGGGGAGTGTGTGTGGGGGGGGGGGGCAACTATATCTCCCTGTGAAATGTTGAGTTACTACCTGGCCTAGGGGTCACGGCAACTCCAAGGAGACTCTTGTAAACGCGATGCGGTAATTTGTCTTTGCGCCTGGTTGTTTACCACCGCATGACACAAATGAAGGTAGTTCATGTGATACCTAGAGAGAGAGAGGGCGCCCCTAGCGGCAGCCGGGTGCACATGCCACTGATTGCGCCAGCAAGGGTGGACTCCGTGCAGGGTAACTTTCCAATTAAAACCACGGCGTCACAGGTATCATAAAAATCGGGCTTTTTTGTGCGGAACCTTGGTCTGTTTTTGGTGGCACTGGCACTTGTCCGACTGGAAATTATAAACTGCATAGGGAGGGAGGGGAGGGGGGGTGGCAGATGTGCGGGTAGGATGTGTGTTTTTTTGAGTGTCACACGGTGCAACATCTCCTCCTGTACTTGAATCATTTGATGTGCATGAGAGTTGTGATCATTTCGGGGTGGTTGGTGTTTCACAATGGCGCAGTCTGTGTGTGTCTGCTCTCCTCCCCTCGATCCGCCCGCTAATCCAATGGCTGTTTGCGCCAGGAAGGGCAGGGGTGGGAACGGAACACCCTGAACCACGTTTCTCCTGGATCCCAACTTGGTAGCCAACCTACCTACCTACCCCCCCTCTCTCTCTCTCTCCCCCCTCCCCACCCCCATTTTCACCTGGGTTATTTATGGAAGAGTTGCGCTGCTCAGGTAGTGCTTTTTCCGTTTATTGGGCTTAATTGAACTTTTGGATCTGTCATCTAGAGCCAAGTTTGCTTTTATATTTCTGCTTGGAGAGGAGGGGGGGGAATAGATGTGCGCAGACAAGGAAGCTAGGATCAGGTCGAGTTATATCCCCGTTGTAGCCGGATGCCTTGACCGGATTTGGTGCTCGCTATGGATCTGATCCTCTATCCGGTGTTGATAATCAAGGGCACGACCAGGGGGGTGGGGGGGGACTTCAGCGACCCCTGAAAGCGTGTTACAGGCTGTCCTTGTGTGCCGATTTCCTAACATTTCAGAGGAGAGCTCATCAGCTGTGTGGGGCTCAGAATAGTCCCGGGTGTAGTTTTGCATTTTGCTGCCAGGTAACCGGAATGGACTGCATTTTGGGCCATCAGCTGGCTTGTGGGGGGGGGGGGGGAGCTGTGGTGGCTGCGCATTACGCATCACTTCTCAGTGACATAAGCCTTATATAATAATCTCAGGCGTTTGATTTGAATTTGTGAGTTGTCTGGTGTTATCTGCGCAACTGCGCAAACAGACAGGTAGAGGAGCACCTATGGAGGTGGTGGTGTGGCGCAGCCGTTGATTTTAAGTGTTTTATTGCATGGAGGCAGTCTCAACTCCACCCCCCCTCCCCTCCCCTCCCCTCCCCTCCCCCCAGCCCACCTCTCTGTCCACCTGGTGTTCACGTTGGGAGACAAGGTTGCATGTCAGAGCTCATTAAAGCCGGAGCCTCGTTTCCCTCCTTCCTCCACGTGAATGCAGGCATGCTCATAGCTCTGCATTGCAGTCTGAAGTGAGTCTGGACCAGGCTATTCCCCCCCCCCCATAGCACCGCTGAGTTTCCTTGCACATAGATTCTCTCTGTTGGAGTAATATCAGGACATAAAGGCTGTAATGTGCAGCTCAGTTTTGCTTTGGGGAGGTGTTGCATATGAAGAAGCGGGCCTGTGGGTCCTCTTTTAGTATTTTTGACACCAGTTAACCCCACAGACATCGGGCAGATGTGTTATAACCCTGCTCTCATAAGACGTTAGAGTTAGGAGGATATCTACTCTAAAACACCAGCCTGGGTAACACAAGCTCTAGAGAACTGTTAGCAATCCTGTTCTGTTTTTTTGTTTTTTTAACAGTAGAGAACAACTTATTGATCTTGAATGTCATGCTGTTTTGACTAGTACTTCCTGTCACATGGTCTCTGTGAGCAGCTCTTCCCTTCTCAGCTTCAGTGTGTTACAGAGAAGAAGTCATCATACTTGCTATTTGCCTTATGTATGGTGTAATCATGATGCATTGTTTTTATTGGAAGACACAGGCTTTAATGAACCTTCACCCAAGCTAAACTGACATTTGAGATGTTTTCTTTACTAAGATTTAAAAGACATAAGTACAGTATGCATGCTGACACCAAATAGGCACAAGTTGCACCTTATATCTGACACTTAGCTCGTCGTTGATGTAAAGTCCTCTGTGAAAAAACGGTTGTGTGGTTAAAGAGGACATATTATCCACCTTTTCAAACAGTCCCCTGTGGTCTAAATGAAACATCTGTGCTGTGCTTTGGTCAAACTATAACATGAATCAAGCACCAGAGGAGGTTAGTGACCCTGTATAAACCAGCTCTCTCAGAGTGCTCCGTTTTGGTGTGTGTGTCTCTTTAAATGCAATGAGCGCCCCCCCCCCCCCCCCCACCTTAGTTTTCCTGGTAGACATCACACCTCTGTAGCGACAACAAAAATAGACACAAAACTAGATGACAAAAGAAACCTTCTGTAGTGTCATTTCAAAAGGAGTTTCCGTCCTGCGCTCTTCGGTGGACAATATGTGAAAAGGGGGCTGCGAGCTGAGCTGCTGTTTAAAACATCAGCTTGATCAATAGGTTCAGCCTCCTTCAGTGGTAGTACATGAAGGTTAATTAAATTACCTGTAATTGAAACTGGTAAACCTATAGAGTGGTTTTACAGAAATAATTGGTGTTTCTCTGCCTAACATAACTTTGGGGGCTGTGAGCCGAGCTTCCACCAGCTAGGCTTGTCTCTGTGCATAACTGCTTACTCATCGGTTTTACCGGATTAAAAATACCAGCTATTCTTACAATAAGATTTATTTTTGGGGGCTTTTAGTCCTTCATCTTGGACAGGACAGGATAGAGTAGAGAAAGAGAGATGGCGAGGGGAATGACGCGTGAAAGGAGCCACAGACTGGACTCAAATCCGTGCTGCCAACTTGAAGGACTCTCCCCTCTGACATGGGGAGCGACCTCACCGCTAGGTCATCAGTGCCCCACTTTTGACCCCTTTTTAAAAGTTATTGAGGAACGCGAGGTAAGGAATGGTGTCGTGAAGCGTTTTTATTCGATTTACCTTACATAGCAGAGTTCAAGATGGCCGCCGTGATGATGTCAAGGATACGACCTGGCTTCCTCCTGTAGTGTAGACTGATCTCTGTTAGAGCTCTAAAGGCTGCAGTCATGTGTTCTCAGGCTCTTCCTGTTTATGGTGCCTGTTGGGGTGAAGAACATGAAGCTACAAAGATCATTGTCTGCGTGCGTGCGTGCGTGCGTGCGTGCGTGCGTGCGTGCGTGCGTGCGTGCGTGCGTGCGTGCGTGCGTGTTGCAGCTGTCAGCAGTGATGTGAGGCTCACGGCTCCCCTCACTGCTGTGTGACATGAAAAAGAGATTTTGACAGAAACAGATCAACACTAGTGAGTGCAGAGATCCCCAAAAGTGCTCTGGATAATATTTGATGCCGAGTGTGCCACCAAATCAGCCGACAACCCATGTGATTTGTATTTTCTTCTTCTATGGATTCATAGAGATGCTAAAGTATTAAACACATTTTTGAGTTGGCTTTTTACTAATTCAGCATCATGCATCTTGTTAATTAAACCCTGTTAATATTGAGCCGGAAAACTCATCAGCACCCAGATGTAGAGCACAGACAACAAGTCCCTGTGGTGGTGGTGTTGGGCCTTACCATAACCATGGCAACCAAGGTGTAGCTTCACCAGTTGCTGGGGGCAACAAGAGAGAAGCTGTGCAGAGTGGCACACAGAGGTAGGGGGACTTGAGAGGCGGCAGGTAAGAGGAGGAGTGCGATGCTGGGTGGTCGAGTGAGGAGATGCAGAGAACGGGAAGAGGAGGATGAGTGGAAGAGACGTGACAGGGCCTAGAAGAAGAAGAAGGAGGGGGAGGAGCAAAGTTACTCCCTCCGTTGCTGTGCAGGCTGGTAGCAGCTCTTTAGATTCAACGTTCATACGCCATGGAAACATCGTCTACTCTCTACTACTGTCTACTGTCAACTTTCAGGTCACATTTTCTAGTTGAAATGACACCAGAAAGGGTTGACTATGGAGCACAGCACCCCCCCCCCCTCCCCCCCACCATCCTCCTCGCTTTTCAATATACTGCTTCTTGAAAGCAATATTGCAATCAATTTGGAAAATGTTCACACAAAAAGGGTCTTGATGGAATAGCTGATTCTGTAATAGGTCTCAACCATTAAAAGCTTTCCCTTTGCTTCTGTGTTGTTGTAGTTAAAAATGAAAGGCTCATATGTAGGGCAAGCTTGGTTGAAAACAAGATGGGTGTTTTAAAGGATCAGTCGTTATCTCCACTAAATATAACCTTTAATATTATATACTTACAAGATTAAAACCCTAAATATTTGTTATAATGCTGACTGTTCTGTATGTCCACCACATTTCAGCCAATGAAGACACTGACACTGAAAAGGTTGTAGCTAACAATGAGTCATCACTAGGCAGAAGGAGGCTATGTGGTGGTGGTGATGGTGGGGGGTGGGGGAAGGGGGGTGGCTCTCTGGGGACACCTGCTCTACCTGAACAGCTGTCAGGCATCCTGAAACCAATCACTGCTGCTGCTGGCTCTCACCTTATTGTCCTCTTTTCTTTGTGCTGCCAGGTGGTTGCCTTAGCGATGGACGGGGAGTCAGAACCAAGCCCTGCCGTAGCAGAAGAGGCAGGGGAGCATGTGGAGCCCATGGGTGCAACTCCCTCTCCCCAGCAAGAGAGCACGCCCCCCTCAGAAGAGGCTGGGGAGGCGGTTTCCATGCTAACAGAAGATGGAGCAACAAAGGAGGGTGGCACAGAGGACAATGATGATGATGATGATGTGGTTCTAGTAGGGGAGGAAGCCCCCAAGCCTTCTGCCACAACCCTTCCAAACGACACACCAAGCACAGACAGTCCCGAGCCGACTGCAGACATGTCTACGGCTTCCAAGACCCCCCGGTCCCCTGCGTCTTCCAGCATAACCACAGCAGCAGCAGCAGCGCCTAAACCTCCAACCACAGAAGCAGAGCCCATTGTCATTGACGACGAGGAGGACTCTGAGCAGAAGGACACTTCCTCCTCCTCGCCAGCACACCCTGGAGGCTCCTCCACCGCACACTCGCCGGTTGCACTCAGCAGCACCGAGCCGGATTCAGAGATCAGGATTGCCAGCGTCACCACATTGGGCTCCAGTAGCCAGGAAGAAAGCGCCACAGTCTTTACAGTAAACACTCCACCACATCCCGAAGATGACCAAGGAGACCTGAACCTGATGATAACATCGGTGACATCACTTCAGAGCGGGGAGGCGGCTGTCACATTGGTGAGAATCAGATGAACTGGTTTTATGTATACTTATAGAGTTGTATGAGTAACAGTCAAGCCATAATGATACCTGTTTTGAAACCACCTCAATAAACTGGAAATCCTAGGCACCTATTATTGGGTTAATTCAGTTTTTAATGGGTTGCTTATTCACATGTCTGTCACAGCATTAAGCGTTCCCTGTCAGACGGGGGGTGGAGGAGGGCTGTGTGAGTCAGGAGACAACACATGACGTTTTTTTTTGCCTTTATATCAATGCTATGTTTAATTGGAAGTATTGATGAAGAGCAAAGATGAACATACTCGTGAGCTGGAAACAGTGTGAAGCTGTTTTGTACTCAACGAGCCCACCAATCGTACAAGAGTCGCTTTAATTTTTCCGGGTGCAGACATTAGACCGTTGCAGCTGGATCCGAGAAATTCTGTAAATGTTCAGGAGTTTTGTGCATGTGTGAAAACACCTAGAGAAGCTGTGACTTATAGCTGATTGGCTGCTTTGAAGGTTTTCATAGCATGGAGGCCGAGTTCCAGGAAATGTGGTTCTTCTTGTGTAGTAGACATTCTTGAATGCAGGTGTGATCTTTGGTGTAGCTGGTTTTCGTCCTGGCACAGTGTCTAATGTTATCTCTGTTAAGACACTGCAACGAGCTGATTTTTTCATGCTCCTTTTTGTTCATACATGCGGGCTGCTTCTGGTTAGAATACTTTAGATTTATTGCAGATTCAACACACTGCACAGCATGTGACACCATCTTCTTTTCTGACGTATTTTCAATTAGGAGAAGCTAACTCAAGTCTTTTGTTCTACCAGGAAGGTGAAAGCCATGCAGAGGAAAACGGTCTCCAGATCAGCAGCGCGTTCAGCCTGAATCCAGACACCCCACCTGGTCGACTGACGGCCTCCTTCAACCCTGGGCGGGGCTCAGGTCCCATGGGCCAGCTGGTACAGAATGGAGACACAGGGACGCACAATAGAGCAGGTGATGAATTTAAGCCAAAAGTCAATTAGCTTGACATGTTCCAATATGAAATTAGAGGCTGCTTTGCTTACACATACATTTACTTTGACCTGAAGTTAGCCAACACTATCATGCGAGTGGTAGAAATCAACATGTTTCTGCTTTTTCCTTTAGCTGTCACTCTTGTGTCTGTTAAGCTAAAACATTAATTTAGAATTTGGAGTTAAGGACCACCTCAACTTATTTAATTCAGAAGCTTTATCTGCATTAAGTTTCAGGAATATTTTCAGCAAAGCTTTAAAGTGAAACATCATCAAACATTCAGGCCACTTAATAAAACAGATTAATAAATGTATGTGAAAATATATGAATAATATACAACTCTAAATGTATTTCAGAATCAGCCAATACACTGTTTTACCAAAAATTGGCAAAACTGGCCTAACTTTTGCTTCAAACAATGCAGAGTCATACACCAAAACACATGATTGGCTAATCAAACGTGTGCAAGCGTACTTGGATTGGATTGGTGGATTACTTCGTCATGTTTTGATGACTGCTAAGCCTTCAAACTCTTTCATCTTTTGCCCAAACTGCCTTCAGTGTCTCTAGTTTCTAGTGAAATATGTGTGCTGAGTTTTGGTTCAAATTCTTGGTGTTGCAGTTATGTTTTCTCTGGAGAGACAGCTTTTCTATGTCATCAATACAATAAATCAGGCACAAGAGTGTAAAGAATAGTGGATATAGGATTGGAAAAAAAAGGTTACTACTTAATACAAAAACTGAATAAAATCAAAAACTGACCATAACCAGTCCACTGTAAAAGAATTGGCTGGTGATTAAAGGAAGAATGTGCAACATTTTACACAAATACAGCAGAGATCCCGTATATCCTGTGTAAACGTCTCTCTGAGTCATGACTGTCTACAGTGAGTGGGAAGCGTGAGTCCAGCCAGCTGTGTTGTTGTCAAAGCCGTGTTTACATGGACGAGACAGCCCTGTGTATAAAAGCTGTTTCAGTCAAGGACTAGAGAAAAGAAGAATAACATGCTCACTGATTATTTGGATGTGATTTAACTGTCTTCAGATCACGGTCATTCTGTGTCAATTTATGTGCAATATGAAGCTACGAGTTAACAAAGTGCACTAACATTAGACTGCTTACACAACAATGCAGGACACAGACAACTGCAGCTCGAGCAATTTTGTCTGCTGCTTGCACTTAAAGGTGCTTATCATAATTATGTTGTCTTCTAATTCATAACTCCTTAGTGGAAAGGCAAGTGGAGAGGGGTTAGAGGTGTGTCGCTGGAGGAGAGCGGCGGCTTAATTATGGCGGAGGTGTCGTCAAACAGCAGTTTGTTTTGGTTTCATGCTGGAGCTCAAGGGTGACATCTACTCGATCAAGAAGATGCACATTCTTCCTTTAACGCTGCTATGTGTCTAAGGAGCCAAATATGGGTCATTTTTGGACTTAATTTAAAAAAAAAAAATTGAAAGGCAAACCCCTCACATTGTCCAAAAAACCAACAAATTTATTTGCAATGTTTCTTTCTTCCTTAATGTTGCCAATGTATGTGCAGTTTAGACAGTGCTTCCTTTAACTTTCCATCGACTTTTAGTTGAAAATATGAATAATCTCCTGAAGTTAAGAAGCACATTATTGTTGAATAAATTATGAAACAGATTCAACAACACGCTTTTGAAATCAAACATGTCCATTGTGAACAACTGTACTTGCCGTCTGTGTTTTGAAGAGCATATTCCTCTGATTAAGTTATTCCAAAGATTTTGCTCTCATTCAGCCCTAAGGCCACAGATGTTTACTAATAAGGATTGACTCTCAGCTGAAATTTCATTACTAAGAGTAGTGCTGTTCTCGGACTTTAAGAGTGTCCCCGATTCAGCCCCTAGATGTGCAAAATTAAAAAGCAGGTCAGTGACCTTGGTCAGTTGAGCATTTGACCCAGATTATGGAGTAATGTGAGAGCTTTTCGGATCCAGTTTTTAAGTAGATTCGTGAATCGCTTGCAGACACGTCGGGGCTGCCGAAAATGTAAAACATTTTGGTTATTCAGGATTTAAATATGGATGATTACATCAGATCTCTCTAAGCAGGACAACGATATCCAATTACGGAGAGGATTTCAAGGAGACGAAGCAGCTGATGGGGTTGCCAAGCAACTGTAAACAGTCTAGCCCTGAAGGCTAACGTATCTATCAACCTTTTTTTTGACCAGAATCATGAAGGTTTTTTTTGTTTTTTTTGCAAAGCGTTTCAACATCAGGTTGATTTACTGTGTCAGTCTCATTATGTTTACATCTGTGTGAGCTCTGCTCTCTCTGGCAGGACGATCTGAATATTCTTGTCAGCTCTTTTAGATTGTGCACATATGAGATGAAGAACATCTGTGAAGCTTCTACTGAAGTGCATGAAGCAGCCCGATTTCAAACTTGTGGACTCTGGATTTATAGAGTCCAACCTGCTAACGTCTTTTGTTTCTTGTCCTTCAGACTCGTGGATCTCTCAGTCGGCTTCGGTCCCCCGCAACCAGAAACAGACGGGGGTCGACTCTCCGTCACCAGCCACCTCCCTCCCTAAACCTGCGGGCCAGTCTTCCTCGACGACATCCTCCTCAGGCTCGCAGCCACAGCCAAGGACAGTCAAGGTGATTCACAACTGGGGGTTAAACAATAGACATTTGAATTTTATCATTTTTGCTGTTAGAGTTGTTCTGACAGATATTTATTGCAGCTTATAAAGTAAATTCATAGATATGCTTATTTCTATTGTTGAACTTCCCGGCAGTTAAATCGTCTGTGTTTGTTTTATCCCAGGTGACCTGCGCTAACTGTAAAAAGCCTCTGAAGAAAGGACAAACAGCCTACCAGCGTAAAGGATCAACGCACCTGTTCTGCTCCACCACCTGCCTCTCTGCCTTCTCACACAAACCCGCCCCCAAGAAGAGCTGCACCATGTGCAAAAAGTGAGTCTCCCCTGAAAGATGCTCGAACCATCGCTGTAATTTACGGTTGTATACAAAACACATAGGAGTTTAACAACGAACCAAGTCTGGAACAAATATTTCTTAACATTGAGTTTTGAGTTTGTTTTCTTCCCCAATTATGAGATGATTTTTAACCCATATTAGGCCTGCATTACAAGCCATGTCAGTTTTGATATCCTGATATCCCTCATTTGCAATCTACGTTTAGATAAGGCATACTTTTTGATATCACGTGCTGTTTTCCAAATAGAAAAATGAGGGATTTTGGGGGCTTGCAGAGGGCTGGACAAAGTCTTGTTGTTTTAGGATAATAATCTAAATGTAGTGTTGTAGCCAAGGCCGCACTAACCGAGACCATGACATACCTGAGGCCAGACTGCTCCGAGACCAAGTCAAGACCAAGACATTTAGGGATCGAGACCGAATCAAGACCAAGACCAAGACCAAGGCAGGGCGAGGCCGAGATAAGACTAGGACAATATATATCAATGAAAAAAATCATCATTTTGTGTGCAGGGGGCGTGTCACTCACTTAAACCATAGCACCAGGAAGGTTGCGGATGTGGGGGATAAAAATCAAAATAATGAATGAAGTTATTGGTTCTTTTAGAAAGAGGCGTTTTCCTTTCAACTCACTGACGTGGAAAAATAGCCTATGAGTGGTGGTCCTAATGTAAAATCCGGAGTCTGTCTAGACCCAGACAAGACCTTCAAAAAGTGATCTCGAGACCAAGACAGATCTTGAGTACTACAACACTGCCTAAATGATAAAAAATACCTAATTATTTAACCTAATATCTGAACTATAGCTGAAGATAAGTCCGAAACACAACAGAGAAAACAAGAATGTCTTTATGTGTTTATATTTTCTGCAGATGTTAATCTTTTCTTGTCATGTTTTTGTGCCTTTTTAGAGACATCACAAACATGAAGGGTACCATCGTGGCCCAGGTGGACTCCAGCGAGTCATTCCAGGAGTTCTGCAGCACGGGATGCCTCGGCGCGTACGAGAATAAGCAAAACCCACCGAAGTCGGGCATCAAAACCAAATGTACCGTCTGCGGCAAGCTCACAGAGGTCAGTCTGTTTGATGTGGTCATTCTTAACCACGACACAGAACCTGCAACTTTATTTCAGACAGCAGAACAAGTCATTCCTTTCAGTGTAATAAAATGTAATGACTGTGAGTCTGAGGCTTCACTCCGCTGGCTTCAGTGTTTGTAGGTCCTGTTTCATTCATGTATATATTCTCATCATTATTTTAAATTTTCTGTCTTTGATTCTTATCCATTAATAATAATTTCCTTTGACAGCATTACATTTCCTCGGTCTCGCGCCCTCCCTCTCTGTCTGTGTCCTGTTCAGCTCACACTCGTTTAATGTTTATCTCTCTTCTTCCTTCTGAGACCTCACTGTTCACTGTTCTCATGTTCTCCATAATCAGAGGAAGTATTTTCTTTAAAAATAAAAAATGATTTATGAAATAACAAATCAATTTTTTTAGTTGGTTTTTATGTCAATTTTACTTTCTTTTTTCTAACATCCACTGCTTGCCTTTAAAGCATTTTAATCAGAACTGAATGTGTTTGCCCGGATGCTCAGCTGGAGTTCCTCTAGAGAAAAGTGAACTTGCATCACAAAGCTGCTCTAAACTTAACGGGCAAATATGCGTTAAAGAAAGATATATCGGTCTAGTTTATAAGACTCTCTCTGCATTTCTCTGCCTACAGATCCGACACGAGGTCAGCTTTAAGACCGTGACCCACAAGATCTGCAGCGACACTTGTTTCAACGTTTACCGCAGAGCCAACGGGTTGATCATGAACTGCTGCGAGCAATGCGGAGACTACCTGCCCAGCAGAGCGTCAGCCAACCACTTCCTGCTGGTCGACGGCCAACAAAAACGCTTCTGCTGCCACAACTGCATCAGGGAGTTCAAGCAGGTACTTTAGACCCAAACACAGGACACAGGGTTGGGAAATGAACCTGAATGGAGCCTCGTTTAATTTCATTCAACCATATCTGTTAGAAATCACAGCTCTGCTTTGACAGCAAGAACTTCAGTCATTTTTTCTATGTTGACTTTAGAGCGTTCATGTCGTTCAGCTCAGTGTTTGCACTCTTCTCGATCTCAAATTCAAGTAATTCTGTTTTTACTGAATAACTTACAACTAAATTGAGTTGTAATTCAATATTGGCCAGTTATTAGAGGGGTGAATTGTATTTGTTGCTTGGCAACAGCAGCTTATAGAACATTTCGGTAATAATTGGAGAGAAAAAAACCTGGAAACTCAAACAGAAGGCAGACTGTTAGGTGAAGCTTGTGTTTTATATTCACACTGTCTGTGTCCAGTAATGAGCAATCTCTTTAAAACATCAATATGTGAGCCGATTAAAATTATCCAACTTCAAAGCATTTAATTTTTAACCATGAAGCTATAGCCACGTCTCTTTGTCACATTGAGTTGCTTGTTGTCTTATTGTGATGTTTTGCTCTCTGTCCCTCCCAGGTCAACAGTAAACTAGCGAGCTGCAACACTTGTAAAACGCTAATAAAGACAGGCGAGGTGCTCCACAGCATCGGAGCGGGTGGCGTCATGTGCTCATACTGCTCCGTCAACTGCATGAACAAGGCCAAGCTGGCACCAACCACCATCATTAGTGAGTAACCAGACTTCACAAGAACACCAAACAGAGCTAGAGACTTTCCAGAGATGTACACTTTTGTTCTCCTTTGTCCATCAGAAACGTTACTGAATGTTTTTAGTAAGACCTCGACATATCCGCAGAGTAAGGTTATTTTCTAAGGTCTATGTGTGGGCAGGAGCAGAAAAATAATTAGAATTTATGATTGCGATGTCTGGGTAACCTTTGGTTTGTTCTCAGGATGAAATTATTTCTCTCTCTGGATGTGTTAAGGTTTTTTTTTTTTAATTAATTGGTATGTACACTCTTCAATGAACGTGTCACTAAGCAGCAGAAGGGTGAAAAATACTTCATAAACCACCATACGTTTGTAAAATCAACGATTAAAAAAAGTTACCTTTTTATAATTCACCTCGATCTTGATCCCTAAATGTCTCGGTTTTGCACTCTAGTGTTGTAGTCAAGACCAGACTAACCGAGACCAGTCACTTCATTTTGTATTTGCTTCATTTTCTGAAGAAAACTATTTGAACTCAAATACTTAATGTTCTTAAAAGTCTTAGCGTCTTAGTATCTGTAAAAGCTATGAAAAGAAACATTATGGTTATGGCGCTCCTGTTTCTATAATGTTCCACTGAAGATCATGAGTATTTATTCCATTGATACTAAACACCAAATAGACTGTAACAACATGTGCCAATGAAAAGGAAGGCGAAAGAAAGAAAAGTGTATCAAATGTATTGTCTGAGTGTTAATGTTCGATTGTCGTTGTGTGTGCAGACACAGAGCCCACATGTCACTTCTGCAAGAGGAACTCATTACCGCAGTACCAGGCCACGCTGCCAGAGGGAAACATCCTCAACTTCTGCAGCTCGCAATGTGTCACCAAGTTCCAGGTGAGGAGTCTCCTGCTGTTCAAAACCAGAAGACATGAATCAGGAAACCAGAACATAACCGAAAGACATGCATGTCCACCAGTGAAAAAAACTTCCAAAAAGAATCGGTTCATTTTTATTTCTTAAATTCAGCTAATTGAAGGAAGATTAGTTTCTGTATCTGCCATATCTCAGCGGCTGTGTAGGTGAGGCTGCATACTGCTGTAAATAAGCAAACATGCATACTAATCTCATGCAGATTACTAGGTTGTCGGAAATTTAGGTTGAGGTGCTATTTTCAACATGGCCACCACCATTGTAGGGCCTCAAAATGTCCCTTTTTATTGAAGTCACTGAGTGTAATTTTTTGCACTCAACTGCACATCATAAAAAAAATCTAAATATTTTTGTGACGTTTTCTTCTCACAGAATGCTACATTTCAAACAGCCACAAATGGACAGTCGCCCAACTCCACCACAAACAACACCGTCCAGCTGAAATGTAACTACTGCAGAGGAGCGTTCAGCCTGAAGCCTGAAATCCTGGAGTGGGAGGTGAGAACATCCTGACAAGGTTTTATTTTCTTTCGTCTTTTAGAGTTCATAAGAATGTTTAAGGCTGGAGTTCTTCCCTCATATTAAGACCATTTAATTTTCTTTACATTTGTTTTGCTCTTTTTTGGGGGGATACAACACCAATGCAACTCAGCATTTTCAGCTCTCAGCATCTAAGTGCAAAGATGCTCTTGGCATCAGCTGTGTTTGACACTTCACTTACAGCCCTCCCAGTTGACAGCAGCTTGACTCATTAGAATAGCACTGCGCTCGTCAATGTCACTTCTCCCGCTCTGACCAATCAAATTCAAGAAGGGGCCGGACTTCTGATGTTAGCTTTGTCATCAACAATGGAAGCGGAGAAAGTAATCTGACTTCTTGAGCAGCTGCCACTGTCAGATTCATTTACATTGATTTCATGTTGATATTTACTTAAATAAAGGAAAATGTTCAACATTTAAAGCAAATTAAACCGACCAAACTGTCACTACTGAGGGAAGCAGAAGTTAAATTTAGTTACCTAGCAACAAAGAGTGCTGGGGAGAAGCGCTCTGTAAATGGGTTTATGGTTGCTGCCAGGGCCTAAATCAGAGCGCAAACACAAACCATAGATCATTTCCAAACGGTTTGATTATTTTGAAGCAGAGATTTTACACGAATTAGGCCAAATTTAATTTAATTTAAATTAATTTAATAGACAAAATCAATGTCAGAAATACTCATGCTGAAAATGTAGCAGTCTACCGCTGTAGCATCAACCTGCAGTTTTCTTACTTCTCCATGCATTATTTAAGACTTTCAAAACCAGAATTGTGGTTTTACATGCATCTATATGTATCTGTCTGTGTCAGGATAAAGCCTACCAGTTCTGTAGTAAGGCGTGCTGTGAGGACTACAAGAAGCTCCACTGCATCGTGACGTTCTGCGAGTACTGCCAAGAGGAGAAGACGCTTCATGAGACGGTTAAGTTCTCCGGGGTCAAGAAACCCTTCTGCAGCGAAGGTACTCATCTCTCACCCTCTCATCTCGTCTGAAGGACTCTTGATAAATCTCAGCCAATTCCTTGAAAGCTTTGAAGTAGTCTTTTAAAGAATGATTACATCCCACGATGGGTGTTGTCTTGAGGATTTCGTTGCTCCTTGATATTAGAAGAATATTTCTTGTTTGTTATGATTTTATTTGTTGCTTCAAGATGAAATCCCTTCATCCTTTTTTATACAGTATATCATTTTTACTTTTTCATCTTTCCTCCTTCTTTATGATTCTACTCACCTGTTTCTTGGTTGGATTATTTCTCAGGTTGTAAGCTGTTATTTAAGCAGGATTTCATCAGGCGGCTGGGTCTGAAGTGTGTCAGCTGTAACCACTGTAACCAGCTCTGTAAGAGAGGTGTGACTAAGCAGCTCGGCGGCATGACGCGGGACTTTTGCAGCGAGACGTGTGCCAAGAAGTTCCACGACTGGTACCACAAGGTCTGTTGTCATACTTTTTATATTTGAATAAAACAGCTAAGGATCTGTTAAATGAATGTTCTGAAACGATTCCTCTTGTGGCCACTAGGCGGCGAGATGCGACTGCTGTAAGGTGCAGGGGAACCTGACAGAGTCTGTGATGTGGAGAGCGGAGATGAAGCAATTCTGTGACCAGGAGTGTCTGCTGAAGTTCTACTGCCAGCAGAACGAGCCCATCATGGTCACACAAAAAGGCCCCGAGAACACAACCATAGGTACAAACTGTGTGTTTTTTGTGTTTTTCATTTGGTGCAGTTAAAATGAGTTCTATACATGACGCACACACCTACACACAGGCTGCACTTTGCACTTAATTCACACTTTTGTATCTTTATCTGTTTTTCTTTTTTTTTTTTACATTTCTTTATTTTCCTCCATTAGTGTGTCTTTTAGAGCAATGCTCGAGTGTTTTACTGCTCGGTCATTGCATTCCTCTGCCCATCTATAAACCTGCCTCAAAACACAATTTTAGATGTAACGATACAAAACAGTGAAGTAATAAAAAGTGGTATTTAAAACATTTAAAAGATAAATTGAAGCAATTCAATTTGTGCATGACTTTTTATGTGTCACATAACAATACTTCATGCAAATTAAAGGTTTGATGTATTTCTTTTCCATCTTCACAGGGTATCAAATGCAAGAGGCAAAACTCGGGGTGAGTAAGAAAATGGAAAAGTTTTTTTGTTTGATTTGAAATTATGGAACGTGTTGATTCTTAGTTCCTTTTTTTGTTACTCTTGCACATAAGCCATCAGTTTAAGCACCTTCTAACCTGAAATGTGTAGACATTTTCTTTGCAGAATCATTATTATTTTATTTTATTTTTTATGGTGCAATTCGGAAAATCAGTGCAAGTGCTAGACGATACAAACAGAACAATGCAAAAAAAACATAGAGTAGGAGGACAGCAAAGACAATAAAAAAATACTGAGACATTAAGTGACAGACTACAAGCAGCAAAGAAATTAGAAAACAATATGACAAACATGAACGAGGATACAAGAAGAAAACAAAGAGAGAGAGAGAAGGGGAAGGAGAGATGGTGCTTTTGTAAGGTGGTAATGAGAGGGAGAAGAGAGAATTGAGAAGAGTGTATGGTACATGTTGAGTGGGAAAGGTGAGAGTCTGTGTAATGTTTATGTTGTGGGGTAATGGACTGCTACAGTCCCATTATGTGTTTCCGTATAATAACAGATGTGTTCTCTGTGCCGCGTTGCAGACGGCGACTCAGGCTACTTCGCCGTACGCAGGCGGAGGTCTGATGAGAGACGTCAAGAATAAGGCGGTGCTCTGCAAGCCACTCACGAGGACCAAAGCTACTTACTGCAAACCACACATGCAGAGCAAACTTTTACAGACAGGTATAGTGGATAATCTTACTAAGAGGAGGACTGCAGACGGATGCATTAAATTTGTTTTGGTGGTTCAGTTAGCCCGATAAAAAGAAACAGTGTAGCCGCAGAAGATTGTTCTTTACATTGAGCCCTTAAGAATGATCTAAAACTACCTCCATAATTACTGGAGAAGATCTTAACAACACCTGCATAACACTCAGGTTGTTCAAATGCTCGGGATTTAAGGCAATCAAAGGTGTTTCATAATAAATTCCCAAAACAGGCTCTGGCAGATGACCTCTGTGTATTTTATTTTCACAGATGTAGATGATGGTGTGAAGAGGGAGTACGTCCCTGTACCCATACCTGTGCCTGTCTTCATCCCCATGCCCATGAATATGTATTCCCAGGTCACCCCCACTCCAGTCGCTCTGCCTGTACCGGTAAGAGATGATTCTTAGCTCATATAAGGTATAAAGCAAGAATTAATTTCAGTGTGCTTTCAGTAGTCAGAAGACGAGAAAAGCGCTGATCAAGCTCGAGGTCATTTACCATTTTCCCAATCTTTCCCGTCCAGGTTCCTGTGCCTGTGTTTCTGCCTACCACCCTGCAGGGGGCAGAGCAGATCGTCCAGACCATCAACGACCTGAAAAACAAGGTGGCGTCTGACTCTCTGGAGGCCGGCCTGATCTCTATGGCTGAGATGATCATGGAGGACCAAAAACCAGGTACACTTCCTGTATAAAGAGGAAGAAGATAGAATATACACTTTATCAATCCTGCAAGGGGAAATTCAGTTTACAGTATGTGACGGTTACTTTTTTTGAGATATCAGTTTCTTCGATGTGTGCTTTCATCCTGGTGCAGTGGAGCAGACCTCTGTTGTTTCTTTACAAAAAACCATGTCGTATTTACAAATTCACCAATCTTAACACAAAGCTCACCTCACTTTAGTTTGAAGAAAACTTGCAGCAAATGATGACACTGACCGGGCTGTGTTTCAGATGTGAAGCTGGTGAAGGTGAAGAGAGAGAGAGGAGAAGGCGAGTCTTCCAGCAGCAGCAGCAGCAGCAGCTCGGAGGAAGAAAAAGAGAAAAAGGAGAAGGTGAAAAAGGAGGAGAAAAAAGAAGAAGAAGAAGAAGAAGAGAGGAGGAGGAGGAGGAGGAGGAGGATGACAACGACGACAAGTATGAGCCGGACTTAGACCTGGAGGCCGACTTCCCTCAAGGTAAACATCTACTACCTGGAGAAATAGACCTGTTGAATACTGAAGACATGCTGCTGAATTTGAACATGCGAGTTGGTCCCCAAGTCCCTTTCTTCCCTTCTGTGTGAATACATTTCATGCAGCTCTTATATAACATCTGACTGACTGCAGCGGTTTGTTTTCAAAGGATCAGTTCAGTAATTGAGATGAAAATTCTTCCCTCTGGTTATTTCTGGCCCTGTTGTCATCACTACTGTTGGAGCAGAGGTTTAAAGGTCCGGTGTACTGTCCAGAGGAGGAGTGTATAGCCAGTAAGCAGGCCAGGAATAGGAATCAATTTATTGTCTTCTCAATATATATCACAGACTTTAGCTGTGCTGAGTCTGCTCACCCTTGAGCTTGAGATCATGGCCTCTGTTGGATCCAAGATGTGAATATCTATTTCTCTAAGCCTCGTCGTTGTCACCACTGTAGGTGGCACAAAGGTTTTAATTAAATATCATTTTACAAAGAAAAATTAAATGAATTCAACATTTTCCGTTCCCCTCTCAGCCTCAGATCCTGCTCCAGTCCTGGAGGGAATGGACGAGGACATGGGTTTCTCTCTACCTCCTGTTCTGGCAGAGGAGAAGGAGGAGCCGGAGGAGTCTGTACCTCGACCGCAGCCACGAAGACTAGTAATGCACGCACAGATACAACACATGTTACAATTACTAAATATGTCCTGGTCGAGTAAGTGTGATGGGGTAGAACAGGGTTATTCAATTACAAATTCAAAAGGGCCAGATTTTAAAACCAGGAAATTGAAGAGGGCCGGATTTTTAAAAGATTTGAAGAAAAAAAAATGAATTAATGTAGTAAAATACAAACATTTATTTTTGTTTCACATTTGCACATTTTCACAAAGGCACATCATAGGTTATGAACAGAATTAACCCAATGCCATCACTGCACAGAACCATAGAAAGTGGCAATAACCCCCAGTAACAAAATATTTCTCTCTGCCTGTTTGTCCTTCTTCTGCCTTCTTCCTCCTCTGTCAGATATGTGACCAAGTGTTTATTGAATGGTAGACACAGAGTCTACCATTCAATAAAACACTCGGTCACATATCTGGCAGAGGCACATTAAAGTGCATGGACATTATTAAACCATTAAACCAAAACAAAAAGGTGACGACATGAACTATTTGATAACACTCACTCCCTCTCTCTCCCATTGTCTCCCTCCAATCTGTCAACCACATGCAGAACAATTTAACTTTTTAAATTAAATACTCCGGTCACATCTGACCCAATCATTTTAATCAACGTGTGTCTGAAGCATTTCTCTCAGTAACAGTGTAAAAGCAGAACTTCCCCTCGGGATTAATAATGTTTTTTTTTTTTTTTTCAAAATTGTGATATGTTTCTGTCAAGTAGATTTGTTTAACTTTATAAATTAGCCTTTTTACTGATTTATATATTTTGTTTTCTCATCAGACTGAAGTGTAACCCGTTACATTCTCTACTCTGGAAGAGTGACACTCTTGTAACCACTTGTTTTGGTGTAAATGTATTGACTCTGTAGTAATCCTTGTGTTTGTGTTGCAGGGGAACAAGAGGCAGGCAGTAGAGGAGGAGAGCTCAAATCCGGCTTCGTCCTCTTCGTCGAATCCATCAGGAAAACCCTCAGAAGGACGGTCGCTGCCTCTTAAAGCTCGCTACGGCATCTACGCCTGGAAACGCTGGGCGATGTCTGCTCCTGACAAATCACACAACGCCAAAGCAAAGGATCACTCCAAAACAGGTACGCTACAATTCACCGTGAAGTTACTGCCCTGTCTGAGTAGTCATGTTACATACACCCACTTCTGTAAATAAAATGTTGCTTTTAGAATAATTTAGAACTTGATTTTAACAGCAGTCTGTGTCTGTTTCCGTGTCCCGCAGCTCGGTCTAAAAGTAATCTTTTGTCGCTGAGTTCAGAGGAGCTGAATGTGGCTCTGTCCCGGTTTGTTAGGGAGGTCTGCAGGCCCAGTGGGGAGCGCTACTCTCCAGACAGCATCCTCTACCTCTGTCTGGGGATCCAGCAGGTTGGTACCAAGCCAGGGAATCGAACCCCACAACACCAGTTCAATTAAAAAAAAAACTTTACTTCTCCTGGGGGGGGGAATTTAATAAGGCAAGTTCCAATAAGCCGATAGCAAAACATAACACTTCAAACTGGGCTGTTTCCACATGTGCACTAAAACCCCTCGAAAGTTTCCAAAGTCTTCAGGGTGAGCTGCATGTGTGAATGCTGACAGACAAATTGTTCTCATAGCATTAGTATTCAGGTAAATTCAAGCGAGCGAATGGGCAGGGTGATGACGATAATGTCCTGCAGCCGGTGCGCTAATGGCGCAATCTTTGTGCACCTCATGAAACTGCTGCATACTCTTTCCCTCTCACCAGTATGTTCTTCTCCACTCTTTCTTTCATACTGTGATATGTCCAATAACAGGTAGCAATGATTTATTTAGCAAAAAACTGACTCTGACTCTGTCGCTTAATCTGCCAACTTAGACAGAAAGAGGGTCATAAAAAAGACCCGGAAAATGTATAAGGGGGCTTGGATGGTAAATTCCAGGTTTATATGGTGTTTGCATTCAGACATGCAGCTCTAACAGGGAATGCCAGGAAGTCTTTAAGAATTATGTGCGTGGTTGAAAGCAGCATCAGCAACTGAGGTCGTTTTCAGGGTCAGGGTGGAAACTTTCAGGAGTGCTTCTTTGAAAACTGTGATGGACACTTAACTCAGCTGCTCGTCATCAAGAGTCACTTTTCCCCACGCTTCCTGTCCCTCTGGAGCTCTCTTTCACAAGCAGAAATGCCCAAAAAGATATTTAACCATAAAAAGAACAGTTTTAATAAATGTTTTATGTCATATATTTATGCCCTGAAAGACGGAACCCCCTTTTTTAGTATATATTTTCAAAACCCAGAATGGAGAAAGGGCTCAACACACAAACCCTCTATTAACGATCCTTTAATCTAAGCCGATTTGTCCCACCATCCCGCCTCCTCCATCTGTTTAAAAAAAACGCTTACAATAAATAAAATACTTTAAAAACACAAATGTGAAACCTAAAATTAAAATCAAAAACAATGCATGTTTGGCTATTCTCACAATCAAAAATCTGATTTACTATCAGAATATGACATTAGATTCACATTTAAGTGAAGATTAAAACAATCACTGCCAATTGACCTTTCTGTCCCGCTTCCTCTGTAGTCACTTTGGAGGTAGGAACTAAATGTAGGGGTGTTGTTTCCAGTAGGACATAAATGACTAGTGCACGCTCTTTCCTTCCTGCTCTCACATGTGAGCAGTAGCAGCAGCAGCATGGCTGCAGAAAAGAGTCCTGCATTGTCTCAAGTTTTCAGGATTTGGATTCTTCTGGCTGAAAAATGTAAGATTGATTTTGTGATTGTGAGAATTAACTCAAGTTTAAGATTTCATTTTTTAATTTAAAGTTAAATTAAGTGTTTTGACTTAAAACTCTCGGTAATGTCTTGTGGCTTTTCAGGGCCTGCTTTTCTTTTCTTCTACCTGCTTCTCTAAAAATGTCGTTTAACAAGCTTTTAAAAATCTTTTTCCTTCTTTTAAATGAGTAGACTATTAGTGTTCAGATGTTTTATGAAATGTGAACGCAGAGATTTGTGTCCAGTGATTATAATCATTTGCTGTTCACATCCTGAAAAACAGTGATGATCATTTTAATATGAGGACACTCAAGTTTTAAGCAAACACAGACTGCAGTTTTGATTTTATTCCTTTGACCCTTTTATTTTTTTTATTTTTATTTTTTTAAATCTGCGTTTTTCTTGGTTCATAGCATCTTCATGCCAAAGGCCGGGAGGATGACCTGTTCAGTGACCCGTGTTACCAGACGTTTGGAGACGAGCTCAACAAAGTCCTGAAGGACTGGCAGCCCAGTGTGCTCCCTGATGGTGAGTGAAAAGACCCTCCGCACTATTCTATATGAAATAATGTTTTATGGTTTTAAATAAAGTTACTTCAAATGTATTCAATGAGTAGAAAAAATAGGTAGCTGTATAAAAAAATGAAAAGAACAAAAATGCAAGTCATAGCATGAAGAGAAAAGAAATGTAGAGGTCACATTTGTTCACTGCAAGGTGAACAGACATGTTGAGTTGAAACTCAAATAATCCTTCAAGAAAGATCACGACGAAATGAGGAAAATCCAGTTGTTGGTTTAGAACAGTTCATCTGTTGTGTTGCTCTGTATTATGTGACGGCCCTGTGGCCTGTTAGGTGGTGCCTTCTCTTCTCTTGTGTTGGTGCAGGTACATGTAATTAGTAGGTGTGGTTGCAGCCTGACTGAGAGCACCTGGGCACAATGCTCCAAGTCACTGTAAAAGCTGCCACTTTAATCTGCCCAGAGACTATCGGCACGCGACTTGTTTTGTTACTGAATCTTCTTTTTCCATCCAACACATGCACAGTACACACAAACATCATCGCTTTCTGCAATGTAATCATATTTTGTAAATATTCCTTGTCATAATCATGACAAGGAATACTTTTGACAGAGAACAGCAGATACAGCTGTTGGTTGAGGCTCTAGAGAAGTAAATCTGTTGTGTTGCTCTTTATTATGAGCAGCGGTGTCCGATGATTAGAACTCTTCTGCTGTTCACATCCTGATTTTTTTGTGATTGCACTTTTTGTAATATGAGGACACTAATGCGTCAGATGTTTTCTAGAGCTCAAACACAATGAGCAGGTAGACACTGCAATTTAAGAAGTCTTAAAAGTTTGCAGAAAGATGACCCGAAATGGGAGGCAAAGGAAATGAATATTACTGAACTCTACATATAACCTTACAGGATGCTGTAAAGTGAGTTTTGAGATCTTGTATTTTAAATGCATTCTGTTCTCCTCCAGGCTCGTTGTGGGGACGCGTGGAGGAGCAGAGTCTGTGGAGCAGCCGGCAGCTCGGGGAGCAGAGTCCTTCCGCTCTGCTGCGCTCTCTGGTTTACCTGAACACCAAATATTTCGGCCTGCGCACCGTGGAGCAGCACCTCCGCCTCTCCTTTGCCAATGTCTACGGCCCCGACACCGTCCATCCTGTCACCAAGGAGACCACCGTCTGCATCCGCGTGCCTTCCATCTCTCAGGATCACAATGGTAAGACCGGTAAAATGCACGGAACGGGACACTGTTGTCCCTCTAAGTGAGGATGTGTGCAATTGGTCCATCAAAAAAACTAAACATTGTCACCATTGCCAGTCAACGCAAGAATTACGAGGCTGTTAGACTTATTAATAATATTTATATTAAGGCACACAATGCAAGTTAAAAGTTGTGCCTAAGCTGTAATGCAGTCTCCTGCCACAAGATGGGGCTGTAGCTCCACTTAATGAGCCTGCTCTCCCCTGACCTACAGCCCGGATGTAAACCAGCACAGTGGACGGATGCAACTTGAGCGCTGAGCAGTTTGCAGTTATATAGATGCAGAAATGGAGATTTAGTTTCTATGTAGGCTGTGTGAGGTCAAACAGGTGTATCAACCGGAGCAATGTGGAGCACAGGAAGGGAGACATAAACCTGTGGAGAGGACCAAAAGGCTGGTGCTAATACCACTGCTAACGTTAGCAACACTCAGCATGCACAATACAAAAAAACTTAATGAAATTGGCATAACTAAGTGTACTTTTGGTGTCTCCCTTTATTTACCCGTCATGACAGGGAGTACTTATGACAGAGAAAATGTTGATTTGAGTCTTAGAGAGGTTGATCTGTTGTGTTGCTCTTTATGAGCAGTGGTGTCCGATGATTAGAACTCTTCTGCTGTTCACATCCTGATTTTTTTGTGATTGCACTTTTTGTAATATGAGGACACTAACAGGCCAGATGTTTTCTAGAGCTGAGGGAAGGTAGACTAAAATTTAAGCTGTTGTTAAAATACATTTGTGATACTATAATTGGATTTATTTATTTCAAAAATGTGTTTTTCGTTGTTGCACTTGTGAATATTTTAAATAACGAGTGAAGAGCTAGTAAGGATATATCATCTCTTGATTTAAAAAAAATGCAAGTCTTAAAAGTTTGACTTGCATTTTTTTCCCCATGTTAAGCCGGTTTAAATAGTTAAAGTATGACGGTTTTCTTAATTTAAGACTAGTCTGAATATAACTGTGTTTAATTGATTTTAAAATTACACACCTTGAAACATAACTACCCTAACTAGTTTTTAAAAATGTTAATGATGATTTCGTCGTCTGCTTTTCAAGTGCAAACAGAGTCGAGGAAGAGGAAGCGGAAGTCGGAGGACGGCGATCAGGACTCTGAGCGAGATGACGACTCGGGAGGCTCCACCATGCGCTGCCCGGTTAAGAAACACGAGTGTCACCTGTATGAGCTCTACAGATCCAAGTGGTGGGTTTGATGTCTTCACTGGTCATAAGGCAGATTTACTGATATCGCAGTCAGCTATTTTTTTGAATATTTCATCATTGGAGTGCATTTTTTTTAGTCAGTTGCTCCATTTTGCGTCCCCTATTCAAAGGCTGCTTGTTGTCTCTTTATTCCTTTGTCAAGTCCTGTGATTATAACTTATTGCTGTTCACATCCTGAACCACAGTGTTGATTATTTAAATATGAGGACTTAACGTAAAGCAGTCTCAGTTGTGTTGAAGTTATGAACGATGGATTGACTCTTCTCTCTCTATCCCCCTTCCCCTTCTTTTACTCCTCGTCTCTCCTTTAATCTCTGCTCCCTTACCTCCGTCATTCTCTCTCCTCGCTCCAGCCCTGCGTTGCTGCAGGAGCGTTTGGATGTCTTCTACGTTCAGCCCGATCCAGCCTACAGTCCTGAAGATCCGCAGTGGTTCAGCTCCACGCCGCTGGAGCGACGGATCCTGGAGAGCCTCCTCACCAGAGTCCTCCTGGTCAGGGACGTTTACACAGACAAGCAACACCTGGAGGAAGACGAGGAGGAAGAGGACCGGGGTGATGCAGTCGGGGGAGAGTAGCAGAAGCTTTGACTTTTTTTTTATTTTTAGAAACTAAACAGAAACTAAAGAGGAGGATAGCTAATAGAGTATGTGCTGCCCCGTCCCCTGACGTAACATCTGCTCCCATCTCCCCTCCTCGCTGACTGGCTGTGTCCTCCTGGTGAGGAGCGTCCAACACAGGGAACTTAAACGAGTAGAGGATGAAGAAAATGGCGCTGAAGAGCAGCTCAAACTGCTGTAGAGGAGGAGAAAGATGTGACCTAAGTTTAAACAGAGGATGAGGAGTTGGGGATAAAGGAGGTGTGATGTGTTCAAAGTAAAATCAGGTAGATGGCAGACTACATTGACGCTCATCATCGAGATACATGGAGAACGTTAGACGTACAGTTGTGCACCAACGGTTCTGAGGGCATCGTTCTTTCATCGTGCTCCGACGAGGAGTTTGAAATTATGAAATCATGCTTTAACAAACATTTCTGCATCCACCTGGAGGCTACGAGGAGGAGGAGGAGGAGGAGGAGGATGAAGGCTGACGCTGGTTTTACCAAGTTGTGAGCAGGAAATGACACTCAGGAGGTTAAAATGTCATCTTTGATGCAGGCAGAAGTTCAGCTTCCTAAAAATAGAAACAGAGCTGGTTGAAGTCGAGCCATCATCCACAGCTGTGCTAAATTTAGCAACTAGAAGTGCTAGTTTGATTTCTGTTTTTCAACTTGTATGATCTTTAAAAATGCCAATGATATGGTTATGTCCAATGATACTTGACTGACAACCATTCCTCCTCCTCAGATGGTCGCAAAGTTTGGATTTGTACGAAATAATTTTGATAAATTTCAGATTTTAAAGTCATGCACACCCACACACCTGTTCTTTTTTTTCCTACCCCCCCTCAGCTAGAATTTTGGCCAAATGTACTGTGCGGTTGCTTAAAGGCAGGACTATCAGGATGTAACACGGGGAAGGTTAAAATCATTAAATTTCCGCAGCCAGAACAATAACTCTGTTCTGCTCATGTATCGTTATCTGTGCCTGGTGTTGTTTCTCTTTGCTGAATTAAGAACTGCTGCAGACACGGGGGGTTCACTCCATTTATCATAGAAAAGAACGGGAAATAAAGTCTGTTCTAAATGCCTATATGTCATAAATTGTTGGTTTTCCTGTCAGTTTTAAACGGCCACGTGAAGCAAATATGATTTTCCATCTTTTGGGTTTGATCTCCAGCCGGCTCTGGTTGAATCACAGGTCATACTCGTTATCCTTTGACCAGACAAAATATATATTTTTTGCCTTTTGCATCACAGTTTTTAGCACTTGTATTACCAGGCTACGCACTGCACTGTTGCTTTTACACATGGTTTAATTTGTGAGGACAGAAGAAGACATTTACCTGCTTTAACCATGTGACAGAATAGATCTTTACATGGACAGGAATGACATGAGAGGTTACTGAACGATGTGTGTCTGACCCTGGAAGTTACGTTTTATTGAGTACTCTAAAGTTACATTAATTTGTGTTGATGGTTTAAAAGTCCCTAATGTTCAAAGTCACCCTTCAGTTTGAGAAATGTTGCCCCCTGGTGTCTTTTCATTGCACTTTCCCCCCTCACGAAGGTGGAGTTTCTGACTTTGCAACCGTGCAACCTTAACTCCATCAGCCTCCTCCTCCTCCTCTCACGTCTGGGTAGCCTTCTGTTTCACACATTTACCCGCACTGCACTCATTTCGCTCTTCCTCCATCAGTACTGCTCTCAGGCGAAACCTTTGCACCACAGAGGACCTTTCAGCTCAGCAGGATTCAGGACTGCAAAAGAGGAACGGACTCTGACGGGCCTCCCTCGCCGTGGTGCAGGGGTTAAAAGGCAACCTCATGCTGACATGCTGCGTTTCTTTGTAAGACACGGGGAACCCTCATCCATGCAATGTAGCATTAAGAGCATACTAAGCCCAGATTGGGTTGCTTGGACGTGTAAATATCTCTGGAACATGGTGATGAATCAACACAGACGACACTGCATAGTTTGGTTGACAGAAAAACTCTCAGTGAAACTTTCATCTTGAAAACCTGCCTCCTGACAAGCCTTCTTTTTTTTTTTTTTTAAAGACTGGTTATTTATTTAATTTTTTTATTACTTTGACTGTGTCCCCCCCCTTATGTCACAATGGGATTATCATGGCTCCCACTTCCTTCTCACCCATCATTCATTGCAAAAGCCGCTGCAGCCCTGCACCCCTCGCCGTGTCTTTGAGAAGGTATCGTTTGAGAACCTGTGAAACGTGAGGGACACAGATCATTCAGACTGTTTTTCCCCTTCTGCTTTTTTGACCCTGTGTTTTTTTCTTCCAAGTCAAGACAGATTTAGTTTGAACATGAGCGTTTGGTTATTAAGCGCTTTATTCTTCCTCCAAGCTCTTTTTGAGTCCATGCACTGCAAAAGTTAGTTGGTTGAAGTCTGAATACTTTATTTTCACAAACTCAAATCCTTTTTTTTCTTCCAGTGTTCATCGTTTATTTCCTTTTTTATTTTTTTACTTTTATTTGAAGTTTCTTCAGGATTGTTTCAATAAAAATTAAGATGTGTCATCAAGTAAAAAAGGTGTTCATATTTTTTTTTTATTTGATTTTTTTTTTACGGCCTTTTCTTGACCACGTTTACACCACGCTGTAAAGCTACATTTGAACACTAAGCAGTGTGTCTTCGGCTTATATTCTAAGGAATACTCTCCAGATGTTAAGTTACAAAAGTCTGAACGTGAGAATTGTCTCAAAATGTTCAAACATGTCGTCTTTGCAGGATCCTCATCGGTTTTCTTCTATCCTAAGAGCTACGTTCCAGTTATTTTGTGCACTTGACTCTGCTGCAGTCACCGGTCTCGATTTGCAGTGAGACACTTCAGGAACAGAGTCGGTGGATTCAGAGGGAGACTAAAGGGTCTGGTTTTCTGATACCAGATCAGTCACCAGCCCAAAACCCAGTCCTTTAAACTTGACTGAGGAAGTTAAAAAAAAAAAAAACTGACCGCAGATCAGAGGACTCTCTTAAGCCCGGCTGAATTTTCTCCTGCTGGGCTCGGTGGCGGTGACCAAACCTCTAACCCCGGGATCTGGACCTCCAGTAGTTGCTGTGGCTGGCTTTAAAGCCGAATGTGATTGTGCCTATCTGTATATACTGAAAGTGAGTGATTGTGACTCGATGCTTTGTGTGTGGGCGGGTCGGCTGATACAGTCGTGTTAAATAAATGGTTTCATTTTCTAACCCGACTGCTGCAGTTTGATTTACCTTAAAGAAAACAACAAAACATAAGACGGGCATCGAAGGGTTATTAATTCAACCCAGAACTTCTAGATGTTTTTAAATAGAGTTTAAGCAAAATGAGGTGATGAGGTCTGACTTTCCAAAAGAGAAATGATAAGCACATGTCCTCTTCCTGTTACACAACTGGAAGAAAGAAATGTCACCACGCTCGCTAATTATTTGTTTCAGTCAAGCATCTGCTGGTTCCTTTTTTTTTTTTTTTTACACCCGAGGATATTGTGCGTTATGTTTTTCTTTTCATAGTAAAGGAAAAGTCTTCTGTTGACTTTTGATTTGACAACAGAAGTCATTTGAAAAAGCAAAATTTTGGATTTAAGAAAGTACAATTGGTGTTTTAACAACTAGACACTTAATAGGGAAAACCATTTCCTATTTAACTTATAAAATTGGTCAAAACAAAAGTTCTGAAAAATAAAAATAAAAATTTAAAGATAATTTTTTTTATCAAGAATCACAAGGGCATTGTTTCAGCCAAGACAAGCGTCTGTAGTTATTTTTATTTGTTTTGTACACTTAATTCCGTCTACTTGACTTGTTTTTCTCTTTGGTGTTGACTTAAGAAATCCTGAATTTTGGGCACCAGATAGCCTCGTGGTTTTGTTGCGACTTCATGTATGGAGGCAGTCCTCGTCGTGGTGGCCCTGGATTCCAATACGACCTCTGCCCTTTGCTGCATGTCGTCCCCAACTCTCTCTTCAGCTGTCCTATCCATTAAATTATCTTAATGAAGATTCAAAAAAGAAATCCTGAATTCAAAACACTTTACCACAAGGAACAAGAAGAGAACTTGCTTCTATGATTTTTGGTTAACTGGCCCTTTAAAAACAGGCTTGTGTGTCTACATTTGATGGTGCCAAATGGTTAGAGGAAACAGAAATAATGGATCAGTTGACGATTGTTGAACCCACCACTGTGCAACAGGTATGTTGACACCTTTACTTTACACTCATTACAAACCCAAATTAATTTTCTTTTGTTTTCAGACTTTAGAAGGACTCTGGATGCAGAAGTCTGCGTCCTTCAAGGCAAAGGGAAATTGGTGAGGTCCAGTACCGGTGATTGGTGGCATGATTTGGCTTAAAATAAAGGTTCCTGTTATGAAAATGATCCTGGGTAGGGTTCAGCCAGACCTGGACACACTCCTGCTCCTAAACGTCTTCTAATTCTTTCAGTTTAGATAACTGACATAAAACTGATGGAATGAGATGTTTTCTACAGCGTGTGAAAGTTGGCTCAACATGGGGGGCCTCCTCAGTGTGTTCTGACCTTCCACGCGATCATGTCCTTTTCTTTTCTGCAAGGTGCCAGGCCGACATGACACTGAGGCAGGGAGTGTTGTCTGGGAGATGACTGACAGCTGGGCGGGAGGCGGCGTGGTCTGTCGACACTCAGGGGTCAGTGCTACAGCCTGGGAGACGAGGCTCAGGGTCTCAGTGAGAGGACGTCACCTTGGATAAACTAAAGAGGTAAGGAGGTGTTGCTTAAGTATGCAGGGGAAGCACTCAGCAGAGACTTGGACTCATGTTGTTCATATAGTTGCCTTTAAGTTCTGTGAATTCCAGTCCAGCAGTTCAGACAGATTTGCCACCACTAAATCAATGACAAGCAGAAACCAGACCAAATATATTTTTGGTTTATACCATAGACTGCATTAAACATGGACGTAGTCTGAGCCTCATCACCCATTGCTTTCTAAAGAGGCGTTATAAGGCCCAACGATAGTGGTCGCCATATTGGACATGCTGTTTTAACTGAACCTTCAACTACGCTGCATTCACACTAGACAATCCGTACCATGCCCCAAGAACGCTTGACCCCAAAGTCCAGTTCGTATGACTAGTGTGAGTGCTCCGTACCCATTGGCCCTGGTACACTTGGAAGAGGTGGGCATGGTACAGTTGCAAATGCATGAGCACAGGAAGGCAATGTGGACACATGAGGTATAACCCTGCATTATGAGTGTTACAAGGCTGAAACTGACCAAAACGACTCAACGTAAGCCACAAAAAGTCACAATCATATTTCTCTGCACCGTTCTGTTGTGCTCCTGCAGCACTACACGTATGATGATGATGATGATGATGATGATGTATGAGCAAGAGGTAACCATGTTCAGGTTGGGTCAGGGGACTGGGAAGGTGAGACAATCGGTATGGGAAACAGGGCATAGTATGGAGCCCAAAATCTAGAAAAAGGCAAAAATAAGGAGCTTCCTCGCAAACAGCTACAACTGTTACCCCTGTCAGTCAACTCTGTCGAGCCTCTAATTATGAAGATTTTTGAATGACTTCATAAAAGCTAAATAAAATAATAAAACTGGATGAGTAATTTCAAACAAATCATCCTCTGTACATTTTTTAGGACTAAAGAATGGAGTTATAGAGACCAAATATCTTTGTAAACATGCTTCTTTCTGCTTTTGCATTTCCATATTGGCCTTCTTCCTCAACAGAGGTCGCTGCTTGGTCCATATGTAGATATCTGTCTGTATAGCTTAGCCCCGCCCTCTGTGATGTAGCCCTGCCCAACCCTAGTTTGAAAGCTTTTTTTTTTTATGTGGGAATGCATAAATACATGCAGGTTCAGAGCTGCAGCTGTTATAGTTCTGTATCTTTATTGTCTATCTCTTTTACAGACCTCAACAAATATTTCATTAAACCTTCCTCAACTCTTACAAACTTCTCTAATCTGTCTTTAACAATGGTCACAGACATAATAAATGTTTTTTTTTTTTTCAGTTTTTGGGTAATCTTACAAGAGAAGAACATTTGTTGGGGACTTTTTGTTGTTTTGGTTTAATGCTCACCACTTCCAGTAGTGGGTGAGTCAATGGGATTTAGGCATGATAAATGATATTTTGTGTTACCATGGTACTCGAGCATCATGGCATAGTGTGGTTGATGTTTGAATAGTTTCTGGACAACATAGAGCTCTGTGGCAAAGAGGAACACCTGCTGATAAATTCAATATCTCAGCTTCAAAATGTAACAAAAGACCTCCAAGTTCGAAACACCTCGTCTTTGTGTGAGTGTGAAAAAAAGGGCACTGTCGCGTCCCCACCAATGGGTGGCGCTACGCCCTCGCTGTGAACCCCGCCCGGGGGGGAGATGGCGATTGCTCCTTTATTGGCACCTCCATCATCATCACGAGATGTGCTGTAAAAATCTAACACCCATCAGTAGCTGCAGGACCGTCGGCAGCTTTGTTGAGCTTTCATATCAGCCTGTCAAGAGGTTTCATCTGCAGTTGGCTGAAGTGAGGCGGCCTCCCCTCTCCTCCCATAAGCCTGTGCACACACCCCACCTCCTCCCCTACCCTCCACCCTCCACCCTCATCCTCTTGCTCTTCATACACACAAGAAAACTAAAATCTTTTGGGGAGCTTTGAGGAAAAAAAAGGAAAAAAAAACATTCCCCCGTTCCACCTCACATTTTTGTTGGGAACATGCACCGGTGGAGTTACAAAACACGGTGACAAAACCTAATTTTTTGAAGAGGCAAGCTTTTTTCTTTCTGTGCTATCTGTCAGAGTTGGCCAGACTCCAGTAACTTGTCCCATTGATCTAAAGCTAAAACGGCCGTGTGCGCCCACACAGCCAGGCCTGCGAGGGAGCGGGGTGGGTGTAAAAACATTTTTTCACCCTCATGGGGTTTTTTTTGTTTGGGCTCAATCCCCAGCTCTTTCAGGGGGCATAAAGAAAGCGCTGTGCTCAGCAGGGTCATGTGGGCGAGGCCCGGGGGGCAGACTATAGGTGGCGATTAGGGCCTCTAATGTGCAATGAATCCTCTTCGAATCACATGATATGAACTAATGTCGCCATTTAATGATAAAACAACAGCGACTGGGAGGGAGAGCCAGTGTGTGTGTGTGTGTGTGTGTGTGTGTGTGTGTGTGTGTGTGTGTTGTGTGTGTGTGTGTGTGTGTGTGTGTGTGTGTGTGTGTGTGTGTGTGTGTGTGCTCGGTGTGTGTGTTTGGTGTGTGTGTAGATGCAGTGTACAGCTGCACAGAGGACAAGAGGGCAGGAATGGATGACAACTGCATTTCTCAGGTTGTGTGCCTCAACGCCGGGTGCAGGACCGGCTGAAGGATGGGAAAGAGTTTAGCTGGGATGTGTGTGAACGTGCAAAACAATTTCCCCCATTTTCTTTACTTTATCCTCTTTGATACTTCTTCTGACATATTTCTTAAAATCTAACCCACTAAATATGTTCATTGATCCTTTGTTTCCACATTGTTGTAGAAGTTATGGCTTCTTGCAAACTGAGACATTTCCCTGCAGACATGCACAGTTGTAACCTTTGGCAGGCATTGAAGGAGAGTAGGGGGCTTGGATTGGGTTAAAGTACACTATTTGGAGAGTAACAGTGAAACCACCAAACCCACACTGCATGACACAAACACTCCCTGTGTTCCACTTTGAAGTCAGAGTCACACTCCCCTCTACCTTATCTCTTAACTTATCTACTCCCCTCTACTTCAGTTTTATTTTTAAAAACTAGTAGCTGATCCTAGTCTCTTATAAAGGTCTTACTTGCCTAAAAAAGGTAGTCTTAACTTCACCCTCTTCAACATAAATGATCAGAATAGACATGTTATTTTCTCTCATTGAAACTGCAGGATGGTCTGTTCCTTTTTACGATGGAGTATCAAAATTGCATTAAATGGTGACTGGTCACATTGAAAGGGCTGGGAGCCTTGCATGACAGGTAGAAATCCTGCACGCTGCTCCTTACTTATAATTAGATAATAATATATATAATTAAAGTAGAGAGTCCACCAGTCTGAGGATGCCAGAAACACCTAAACGCATCAAAGTTAATGGATGTTAGTGATCTCTTCTGTCTGTCTTCACTGTGATTTAAGGATGAATGAAATGGGTTCAGAAAACAGAAATAGAAAACATTCATGTTTACTACAAGCAGGGTCGAAGACCTTTGTCA